AGGACAGACAACGAGTTGAATAGTTTCTTTTGATGCCATTTTCAGTTGGGGGCTCACGAGCTTGTGTTTTAGTTTTAAGTTTTATGAGTAGTGAGAGTAAAGTTGTTCACGGAATCAGGAGAGTTTTCCAAACATTGAGTAAGTAGCGAGCTTATCACCTTTGTATTGACACTGAGTTTATTATGCTGTTTATATGTTGGTCCAGTAGAGCTGGAATTTTTATTTTTATTCAGTATAGCTGGAGGGATTAATGCCCAGTATACTTGAATGTTTTTTGTTTGGTCCAGTGGAACTGGAGTGTTCGGGTTTATTCAGTACAGCTGGAGGGTCAATTCCCAGGTACGTGAATAAATTCGTAATTTTTGTTTGGTTTGCTCAGTATAGCTGGAGGGTCCATTCCCAGTATACGTGAGTAAATCGTTTGTGATCCAGTGTAGCTGGATATCTTAGTTTGGTTGGCCCAGTATAGCTGGTGTCTACCTGTTTCAAGTGTCAAAGGTGATAGCCCTACTTTTAATGTTTAAGTTAAAGTTGTTTGTTGTGAGCCACATTTTTAATAGTTAACCGCCACCATTTAGCTGAATAAGTTCCGTAAGTGTGAATCATGGACGTAATGAGTTTTATTGAGTGTCCAACTCTAGAAGTTTTAGACAGGTTTTGTCGCGTAGAGTTGTTGCGACTAGTTGAGGAGCTAGGACTAGAGGGTGATGTCTCGGATAGAGATAGAGTTCTACGAGATCATATTTGTGTTGAGTTAGTGAATACAGGTAGATTAGAGGAGGAGTGTCTAGACTCGATAGAATATTATGAGATAGGACGTATTAGAGTAGAAGAAATTGAGAGAAAGTTTCAAGCTAAGTTGTTAGAGATCGCGAGAGAAAAAGAGGATAAGTTGTTAGAGATCAGGAGGGATATATTCATGTCAGAATCTTGGAAGGAAATTAACATTAAAAGTTTAGAGAAACTGTTCGGACATGAAGTTAAACTATTAGAGATCAGGAGGGAACGGGATTTACTTAGGCTATGGGAGGAGGCGCAACTTAGTGGGTTGTTTGACTTTCCAGAATCTGTCTCTGTTTTCTCTCAGGCCAGTGTAGTAGTTTCCGAGGATCGGTATAGAGATGAAGATAGTTTGTTGTCTGATAGAGTAGGTAGTGAGTTTTGTCAGTCTCAGACTAAGGCTGCCACTAGCTTTGGCTCAGTCCCTGAAGTCGACTCTAACCTAGCACAACCAGCACAAACGTCAAAACGTGCTGATAGCTTACGAGTTGAGAGTTGTGTGCCGACAAGTACTGAAGGCAGTCAGCAAGTTATTGGTTTAGATAAAATCACGGCGACCACTCTAATGTTGACCAGTCATGAAAAGGGGCTGTCAATATCTGACCCAGTGGATACAACCACCGATGATATAACGGCAACCACTCTGATGTTGACCAGTCATGAAAAGGGGCAGTCAATATCAGAACCAGTGGTTACAACCACCGCTGAAATCACGGTAACCACCGAGAGAGTGAATACCCATGAGAACAGGCTGTCCTCGTCTGAACCTGAACCAGTAACTGCATCTGATCAAGACCTTACCACTTGTGGTCTTGAAGGCGTCATGACCTTAACTGGAGGTCATGTGAATGGTGACCTACACCCTCAGTTAGACGAGTCAACGAATCTTCTGCCAGCCTCGGTAACAGACGAAATTGTTACCCATTGTCTTGGAGGTGAGCCTAACACGGGCTGTCCTCCCATTATCACAGCAGTGTTTAATTTCTCCCCGACCAAGTCCAGCAACCCAGAGGCCATGACCTCACCTGGAGGTCACGTGGATGGTGTTCTACATCCAGAGATCGAAGAGTCGGTGAATCTTTTGTCAGCGGTGACGAGCAAAGTCGTTACCTTTTGTTTAGGAAATGAGCCTAACTCAGGCTTCCCTCCCCTTATCTCGGTGGTGATTTATTGTTCTCTGACCGACCCGGTCAAGACCAGCAACCTGGAGGCCATGACCTCACCTGGAGGTCACGCGGATGGTGTTCTACATCCCGAGTTTGAGGAGACGACGAATCTTTTGTCAACGTCGGTGACAAGCGTAGTTGTTACCTCTTGTTTAGGAGTTGAGCCTAACTCAGGCTTCCCTCCCCTTATCACGGAGGTGATTTACGGTTCTCTGACCGACCCGGTCGAGACCAACAACCTGGAGACGGTGACCTCAGCGGGTCACTTCAACCGAGGGTGCGTACATGCGAGCGCATACCCCATCGCTTTCATGGAGACGGGGCGGGTAATCGTTCCCTCTTTGTGTGCCTCGATGTTCAGGATTAACATCGAGTCAAAACATGGCATTAGTGCAAGCTGTCCTGTGAAGCCACGCCTTATGTGCGAGTCGTTATTGGTGTGGACGGACAATACTTCTGTTTCTAAAATTGTGCCGCGCCGGTATAAAGTTCGGCTTAAGTTTTATGTTTACGGACTCATGATGACCCGAAAGACGGAAAACTAATTTGTGTTTCAAACCTATTAGAACTGTTCCCAAGATAGACTGTTTCATGTTTTCCCAGGACGCAAGTGTTCTAATCAAAATGAACTGTTTTCAGGCTTAAAGAGTGTACCTTTTACATGTCTTGTTTGAAAAAAAAAAAAAAATGTGTTATTGATGTTTTACATGATGATGAATTCGTGACAGTTTTTAATTGTATTGACAGGTTTTGTTGACTGATGACGTAACTATCAGTAAAACGAAGACTGTTGGTTTCAATATTAAGATTATTTGCGACAGTGACATATGTGTTGCAGATTTGCGGTTTTATTTACTTTGATGTCTATGTTTGATGACATTGTGGTTGGTGTATTTAGTCAAATTTGTTATTATGACTAGATCATCCACGTTTCTTATTTCTTTTTATAATGATGATGTTAAATTGTTTTAGTCCTATTTAGGTTTATTCTGGGACTTTTGAGGAGTTGTGAGATTGGGCTGGTGGTCTAATAAGAAATGTTCAATTAATTCACCAAGTGGCGAATTAATTTCTTGAAGGGGGGTGGTGTTACGACCCCAAGTGATCTTTACCTGGGTTTGGTCCCATCGAGGAGGGCCAGGTAATTAGAATGAAATGCTTAGGCATGTTAATGCACTGACCAGTGCTGGTCGTGAGAATCTTTGGGCCGTGATGGCCACACCGGATTAGATTCCACGCGTGTAGGCGTGGCAGACTTGGGGTCTTGGGGGACTCGGCTATTAACGTGGCCAACAGCCCATAAATTACCTGGTGACACCACGGGCTGACCGTTGATGCTTGATCTAGGCTAGTGACGGTCCGTGTTTTACGGCTGGGAAAAAAACCTTCCAGGTCGGAGGGGGCCGAGGGGACCGTCATGGACGGATATGACCTAGGGTCAGGCCTTAATTAAAATCGTTCCCACGGTGTAGGGCGGGGGACGAGTACTTTAGGAGGGTAGACCGGAGACTAGGGACACTCACACACACAGACACTCGGGACACGCACTCGGAGACGGACGTACTCGTCTCGGATAGCTAGGTAGAGGAGACATGGGTCGTCTCTGTGAGCTAGTGGAAAGCCACGACATGTTTTAGACTTAGGCTAGGCTAGACAGTTAGGGACAAGTAGGGTAGTCGTACTAAGAACTTTAGTTGTTGTAGTTACTGGTGTATTTTTCTGATTGTTGTACTTCGGTGGCGGGTTAATGTTTAAGTGTTGTGATTTGTGGCGAATAAATAGAGATTACTGAAGTTGGCTTTTATTTATTTTTATTTTTCTTCTTCTTGTTTACGATCCCCTGACTAGTTCGAAAGGATTAGAGAAGGGGGTACGTAACATCATTTACATGGATTTAGTTCCAGTCACGTGATCTGCTGGTTTAAAAACGATAGGCATCAGAGAATTTTCTCAGGTCGTAGTACTGTGTTTATCTGTGTCGTGTGGTGTGGAGTCTTTGGTGTTTTACAAATCTAACAGGTTTTCAGTTCAGGTAGGATGATTAAAATTTATTGGAAGTTCTAGCTGTTAAAAATTACTCTATGCGTCGATATAACGCTTGTTTAAATTTTTAAAGTTAAGCCTAATACTAACAGTGTAAAGCTGTTTCTGAAGTTTTTCGATATAGATTTTTTTAAACTTGTGCATTGAACGTATTTACGCACAAGTTATCTCCCCTGTACTGAGTTTACTGTCTTCAGCTGTGACCCAATTGAAGCTAAACAGCTGTGTAGTGATTCATCTTCAATGTTCTAGTTGTAAAATCTGATTAGCAAACTAGATTTTAACTTTTCTCGTGTATTTCAAGGCATTGGCTACTAAGCTATGCATCAGAAAACTGGATTTTATCGGCAGAATTTTAAAGTATTTTTACTTTTGTCCGGTTGTTCTTTTTAAATAAATGAAATTTGTACTTGTATGCCTTTACTATTTTCATCTAAAGCCCCCACCCCCATCTTTTTTATAGCTTAACCATCTAACCCCCCCCCCCCCACACCTTTTTAAAGCTTAACCATCTAAAGCCCCCCCCCCCCCCACACACACACACCTTTTTAAAGCTTAACCATCTAAAGTCCCCTCCCCCATTTTTTATAGCTTAACCATCTAAAGCCCTCCCCTCCCCCCTACATACCTTTTTTATAGCTCACCCATTCATAATGTCCTCTGTTTAACGGGGGGGGGGGGGGGATGGCACTGTCTAACGGGGTGTTGTGTTTACCGTCTCCCCTCTCACAAGCGCTGTATAACATCCCCTGCCTAATCTGTGATTTATTGTAAACTTGAGATCTAGTTCTTATTACAATTTTCCATTTTGTTTCATCAGTTGGACAAGTCTAAAGATGGCCGCCTGTATAACCCCCACCTAATCTGTTTTATTGTAAACTTGAGATCTAGTACTTATTACAATTTTCCATTTTGTTTCATCAGTTGGACTAGTCTAAAGATGGCCGCCTGTATAACCCCCACCTAATCTCTGTGATTTATTGTAAACTTGAGATCTGTTTATTTCATCAGTTGGACTAGTCAAAAGATGGCCGCCACATTCCGCTACACCCGCAACTACGTGGGCCCAGTCAAGGCCTGCATCCTCGACTGGAGCGGCACCACCATAGACAAGTACGTTCTGGCACCGGCCGTCGTCTTTGTGGACGTCTTCAAGAAACACAAGGTGCCCATCTCCATGACGGAGTCCAGACTGCCCATGGGGCTCCGCAAGGACCTCCACATCAAGGTATGTTTATTAAATCACTGGATCTTCTCCTTTGTTATTAAATCACTGGATCTTCTCCTTTGTTATTAAATCACTGGATCTTCTCCTTTGTTATTAAATCACTGGATCTTCTCCTTTGTTATTAAATCACTGGATCTTCTCCTTTGTTATTAAATCACTGGATCTTCTCCTTTGTTATTAAATCACTGGATCTTCTCCTTTGTTATTAAATCACTGGATCTTCTCCTTTGTTATTAAATCACTGGATCATCTCCTTTGTTATTAAATCACTGGATCTTCTCCTTTGTTATTAAATCACTGGATCTTCTCCTTTGTTATTAAATCACTGGATCTTCTCCTTTGTTCTTAATTGTAAAGTTGGAAGGGATTTCAACAAAATTATGGATTATGTGTCAACCTGTTATGGGCAGTGTAGGCAGCAGACTCTGGTTTCAGCTTTTCTCTCCAACAGTGTTTCTTCCAGACTTTTATCTGCTGGTGCACTTGAACTTTTTGGGGAGGGGACTAAAATTTCCGGGAGGGCGGAAACTATATTTCCTATATAAATTCCAGTTTGTTCAGGGGGGGGGGGCGCGGTAGACTCCCTTCGGTGGGAAGAAACGCTGCTCTCCAATGACTCATCTAGGAGACAACTCCAAAGTCAAAGAACTGCTGCCTTGTAGTTTGATCTTGAATAAAGGCTATGGAAGCAGCCTTTAGCACCTCAAGGGCTTGACAGGGTTAAGTCAAGTAAGCTAAGTCATACACACAGTAGGCTGAAATATGAATCAATATGGTCATCTGCATAACATGCACTTCGTGTGTATCCATCATGTTAAAAGTTAAATGAATTGGAGAAAACTCTCCCGTTTTACAATTTAAGAACAAAGAATCAGCTTCATTCTGTATGCAGCACTTTCTGCAGGTTCTTTCATTCCCTAATATTCTACTTTTGGCAGTTCCCATGGTCTCTAGCAATGAAACATTTTGGTAAATTCGTTGTACATTACTTGTAAATTAGCTGTACGCAGTTAGCCTGGAAACACAATTGTGCTTAATGCCACCAATTAGGTTAGATATGAAATTTCACATTAGCATACAATTTGACACTAGTAAATTAATGTTATTGCTACAGCTGGATGTTAAAATATTAATGTCATGGTGGTTTGATTAGAGTTGTGGTGGTGGTTGATTGGTGTTGAGGTGGTGGTTGATTAGTGTTGTGGTGGTGGTTGATTAGTGTTGTGGTGGTGGTTGATTAGTGTTGTGGTGGTGGTTGATTGGTGTTGTGGTGGTGGTTGATTGGTGTTGTGGTGGTGGTGGATTGGTGTTGTGGTGGTGGTGGATTGGTGTTGTGGAGGTGGTGGATTGGTGGTGTGGTTGATTGGTGGTGTGGTTGATTGGTGGTGTGGTTGATTGGTGGTGTGGTTGATTGGTGGTGTGGTTGATTGGTGGTGTGGTTGATTGGTGGTGTGGTTGATTGGTGGTGTGGTTGATTGGTGGTGTGGTTGATTGGTGGTGTGGTTGATTGGTGGTGTGGTTGATTGGTGGTGTGGTTGATTGGTGGTGTGGTTGATTGGTGGTGTGGTTGATTGGTGGTGTGGTTGATTGGTGGTGTGGTTGATTGGTGGTGTGGTTGATTGGTGGTGTGGTTGATTGGTGGTGTGGTTGATTGGTGGTGTGGTTGATTGGTGGTGTGGTTGATTGGTGGTGTGGTTGATTGGTGGTGTGGTTGATTGGTGGTGTGGTTGATTGGTGGTGTGGTTGATTGGTGGTGTGGTTGATTGGTGGTGTGGTTGATTGGTGGTGTGGTTGATTGGTGGTGTGGTTGTTTGATTGCTGTCATGGACAGTGTTTAAATGCTATTTAGAAATGTCACATCATGCTAATACAGTTGACTACTGAAAGTAACTGTCAAGTGGTCACTATACAACTGACACCAAATGTCATGTTGACATCTTAAAACAGACAATACCAGCTGGTTTGACCTGTTAGTAACTAGCACATCATTTAGCATCTGCTACCCACCCTTTAAATAAAAACCTGATCTTTGACCCTTGAACCTATGGTGACCCCCTAATGTTTACATGTGGTGACAGCTTGGGTTATGTTGACCTGTGTTACAGTTAACATTCAGTCCGTGGTAAACAAACTTCAGGTTACTGACCTTTCTAGTTTTAAAATGGCTCTATTTTAATTGACTTTGTTAAAAAAATCTCCTACTACATCAGAAATCCAGTTAATTTAATTACAATCAGTAATGTAGGTAAAATCTAAGTCTGGTAACAAGATTATGAAATGTTTAAAAAAGTTGCCACTGAATTTTGACCTGTAAGGTTATGCTGGTCAATGTATTTTACCATGTAGATCAGGTTTCTGTTTAACTGTTCAGCCGTTTTATGTCATGACTGTGTCAAGTGTGTGTATGACTGTCAAGTGTGTGTCATGACTGTCAAGTGTGTGTCATGACTGTGTCAAGTGTGTGTGTGTCATGATTGTGTCAAGTGTGTCATGACTGTGTCAAGTGTGTGTGTGTCATGACTGTGTCAAGTGTGTGTGTGTGTCATGACTGTGTCAAGTGTGTCATGATTGTGTCAAGTGTGTGTGTGTCATGACTGTGTCAAGTGTGTCATGACTGTGTCAAGTGTGTGTCATGACTGTGTCAAGTGTGTGTGTGTGTGTCATGACTGTGTCAAGTGTGTGTGTGTGTCATGACTGTCAAGTGTGTGTGTGTCATGACTGTGTCAAGTGTGTCATGACTTAGCTTACTTGACTTAACCCTGTCAAGCCCCTGGAGCTAAAGGCTGCAGCTATACCTCTCCACCAGACTCAGTTTTGGGCAGCTTTCTTTAGTTGAGCCCATGTAAGCCATACAGCCCTTGCTTCTAAGTTTCCCCCCCCCCCCCCAGGGGTTCCAGTCTAACCCTTGCCTCTTGATGTTGACCTCTTCTCATGTTATGTCTGGTCCATCCATCTTCAACTACAGGTTTTAATATCCCTGTGTTGGCTGTTTTGTGATTTAAAGCAGGTAGTTGTTTGGCATTTTGTCTGGCCATCTTATCTTTAGTATTCAGCTTAGGCTTTTATATTTGTGAAGGAGTTAAGTTGGTGTATTTGCAGCTTCTGAAGCTTGGTTTATTTTTACAAGGCAGGGTTGCTAGAAGGCTGGGTTGCTAGCCTTGTGCTCAACCCTTTTTTTTTCAACCCAGGCTTGGGACAGACTTGGGCTGAGTTGTGTATATGAATTAATGTATATTCATGTATACATGTATGCTGTAATGTGGTGTGATTTGGTGTAGTGTGGTCGTGGTTCTGTTTCATACGTATAACATCAAATTCTATAGCTCAGCTATACTGACAGAATAATTAAACTAACCTTTGACCTTGACCCCTGTCTACCCAGGCCATCACAGAGCTGCCAGAGGTCAGGCAGAGATGGAAGGAAGTCCACGGCAAATATCCAGACCAGGGATCCGTGGACGCCATGTTCAAGGACTTTGTGCCCATGCAGATCGCAGCCTTGTCCCAATACTCGGAGCTCATCCCTGGGGCAGCAGACGCTGTGAAGACGCTGAAGAAAGAGTTTGGCTGCAAGATAGGGGTCACCACTGGTTTCACAAGGAGCATGGTGGACGTTCTGCTGGCTGCTGCCAAGAAGCAAGGGTCAGTAACTGGGTTTTTTAAGTTGTATTGATATGTAAGAGCAGCGTTTATTATTATAATATTCTGTAGTCGTAGATATATATTCTATACAAATTCAAAAATTTTGATTTCATGTCAAACTATGATAGAATCATTTTAACTTTTAAACTCTTTTTTGGAGCTGCAATTTTATTTATTACTTGTATTGCATTTGTTAGTTCATTTTATCATCTCTCTTCATGTCATTAGTTTTTATTTTGATATAGAACATTGAAATATTTATCTGGCTGCTTGTCTGTTGTACACAAATCTGTTTAAAAAATGAGTCTTCTACAATACAACTGTTTGACCCCTGTGTTTGACCCCTGTGTTTGACCCCTGTGTTCGACCCCTGTGTTTGACCCCTGTGTTTGACCCCTGTGTTCGACCCCTGTGTTCGACCCCTGTGCTCGACCCCTGTGTTCGACCCCTGTGCTCGACCCCTGTGCTCGACCCCTGTGCTCGACCCCTGTGCTCGACCCCTGTGCTCGACCCCTGTGCTCGACCCCTGTGTTTGACCCCTCTGCAGGTATGAACCAGATGTCAATGTTGCTGGTGATGAGGTCATCCATGGCGCCAGGCCCAATCCCTTCATGGTTTACCGCAACCTTGACCTTCTCAATGTACCCAACATTCACTCTGTTGTCAAGGTGAGGTTCACTGTTTTAGCTATCATTTTTAAAGTTAAGTGTTGTGTTTTACTGTACCTGCTTTAGGGATGGCCCTAATGGTGGCCCTAATGGTAACCCTAATGACGGCCCTAATGGTGGCCCTAATGATGGCCCTAATGACGGCCCTAATGACGGCCCTAATGACGGCCCTAATGACGGCCCTAATGACGGCCCTAATGACGGCCCTAATGGTGGCCCTAATGGTGGCCCTGATGACGGCCGGCCCTAATGACGGCCCTAATGACGGCCCTAATGAGGACCCTAATGACGGCCCTAATGATGGCCCTGATGACGGCCCTGATGATGGCCCTAATGGTGGCCCTAATGGTGGCCCTGATGACGGCCGGCCCTAATGACGGCCCTAATGACGGCCCTAATGAGGACCCTAATGACGGCCCTAATGATGGCCCTGATGACGGCCCTGATGACGGCCCTAATGACGGCCCTGATGACGGCCCTGATGATGGCCCTAATGGTGGCCTTAATGATGGCCCTAATGACGGCCCTAATGGTGGCCCTAATGGTGGCCCTGATGACGGCCCTAATGGTGGCCCTAATGGTGGCCCTAATGACGGCCCTAATGATGGCCCTAATGACGGCCCTAATGACGGCCCTAATGACGGCCCTAATGACGGCCCTAATGACGGCCCTAATGGTGGCCCTAATGGTGGCCCTGATGACGGCCGGCCCTAATGACAGCCCTAATGACGGCCCTAATGAGGACCCTAATGACGGCCCTAATGATGGCCCTGATGACGGCCCTGATGATGGCCCTAATGGTGGCCCTAATGGTGGCCCTGATGACGGCCGGCCCTAATGACGGCCCTAATGACGGCCCTAATGACGGCCCTAATGAGGACCCTAATGACGGCCCTAATGATGGCCCTGATGACGGCCCTGATGACGGCCCTAATGACGGCCCTAATGACGGCCCTGATGACGGCCGGCCCTAATGACGGCCCTAATGACGGCCCTAATGATGGCCCTAATGACGGCCCTAATGAGGACCCTAATGACGGCCCTAATGATGGCCCTGATGACGGCCGGCCCTAATGACGGCCCTAATGACGGCCGGCCCTAATGACGGCCCTAATGACGGCCCTAATGACGGCCCTAATGACGGCCCTAATGATGGCCCTAATGATGGCCCTAATGATGGCCCTAATGGTGGCCCTAATGACGGCCCTAATGATGGCCCTAATGATGGCCCTAATGACGGCCCTAATGACGGCCCTAATGATGGCCCTAATGGTGGCCCTAATGGTGGCCCTAATGGTGGCCCTAATGACGGCCCTAATGATGGCCCTAATGATGGCCCTAATGACGGCCCTAATGACGGCCCTAATGACGGCCCTAATGATGGCCCTAATGGTGGCCCTAATGGTGGCCCTAATGGTGGCCCTAATGACGGCCCTAATGACGGCCCTAATGGTGGCCCTAATGACGGCCCTAACGATGGCCCTAATGGTGGCCCTAATGACGGCCCTAATGGTGGCCTTAATGGTGGCCTTAATGGTGGCCTTAATGGTGGCCCTAATGATGGCCCTAATGACGGCCCTAATGATGGCCCTAATGATGGCCCTAATGGTGGCCCTAATGACGGCCCTAATGATGGCCCTAATGGTGGCCCTAATGACGGCCCTAATGATGGCCCTAATGGTGGCCCTAATGACGGCCCTAATGATGGCCCTAATGACGGCCCTAATGGTGGCCCTTATGACGGCCCTAATGATGGCCCTAATGATGGCCCTAATGGTGGCCCTAATGATGGCCCTAATGACGGCCCTAATAGTGGCCCTAATGACGGCCCTAATGGTGGCCCTAATGACGGCCCTAATGATGGCCCTAATGACGGCCCTAATGATGGCCCTAATGACGACCCTAATGACGGCCCTAATGGTGGCCCTAATGACGGCCCTAATGACGGCCCTAATGACGGCCCTAATGGTGGCCCTAATGATGGCTCTGATGACGGCCCTGATAACGGACGGCCCTAATGACGGCCCTAATGATGGCCCTAATGACGGCCCTAATGACGGCCCTAATGATGGCCCTGATGACGGCCCTGATGACGGCCGGCCCTAATGACGGCCCTAATGACGGCCCTAATGATGGCCCTAATGACGGCCCTAATGATGGCCCTAATGATGGCCCTAATGGTGGCCCTAATGACGGCCCTAATGGTGGCCCTAATGACGGCCGGCCCTAATGGTGGCCCTGATGACGGCCGGCCCTAATGACGGCCGGCCCTAATGACGGCCCTAATGGTGGCCCTAATGACGGCCCTAATGATGGCCCTAATGGTGGCCCTAATGGTGGCCCTAATGGTGGCCCTAATGACGGCCCTAATGACGGCCCTAATGGTGGCCCTAATGACGGCCCTAACGATGGCCCTAATGGTGGCCCTAATGACGGCCCTAATGGTGGCCTTAATGGTGGCCTTAATGGTGGCCTTAATGGTGGCCCTAATGATGGCCCTAATGACGGCCCTAATGATGGCCCTAATGATGGCCCTAATGGTGGCCCTAATGACGGCCCTAATGATGGCCCTAATGGTGGCCCTAATGACGGCCCTAATGATGGCCCTAATGGTGGCCCTAATGACGGCCCTAATGATGGCCCTAATGACGGCCCTAATGGTGGCCCTTATGACGGCCCTAATGATGGCCCTAATGATGGCCCTAATGGTGGCCCTAATGATGGCCCTAATGACGGCCCTAATAGTGGCCCTAATGACGGCCCTAATGGTGGCCCTAATGACGGCCCTAATGATGGCCCTAATGACGGCCCTAATGATGGCCCTAATGACGACCCTAATGACGGCCCTAATGGTGGCCCTAATGACGGCCCTAATGACGGCCCTAATGACGGCCCTAATGGTGGCCCTAATGATGGCTCTGATGACGGCCCTGATAACGGACGGCCCTAATGACGGCCCTAATGATGGCCCTAATGACGGCCCTAATGACGGCCCTAATGATGGCCCTGATGACGGCCCTGATGACGGCCGGCCCTAATGACGGCCCTAATGACGGCCCTAATGATGGCCCTAATGACGGCCCTAATGATGGCCCTAATGATGGCCCTAATGGTGGCCCTAATGACGGCCCTAATGGTGGCCCTAATGACGGCCGGCCCTAATGGTGGCCCTGATGACGGCCGGCCCTAATGACGGCCGGCCCTAATGACGGCCCTAATGGTGGCCCTAATGACGGCCCTAATGATGGCCCTGATGACGGCCCTGATGACGGCCGGCCCTAATGACGGCCCTAATGACGGCCCTAATGATGGCCCTAATGACGGCCCTAATGATGGCCCTAATGATGGCCCTAATGGTGGCCCTAATGACGGCCCTAATGGTGGCCCTAATGACGGCCGGCCCTAATGGTGGCCCTGATGACGGCCGGCCCTAATGACGGCCGGCCCTAATGACGGCCCTAATGGTGGCCCTAATGACGGCCCTAATGACGGCCCTAATGGTGGCCCTAATGGTGGCCCTAATGACGGCCCTAATGATCGCCCTGATGACGGCCCTGATGACGGCCGGCCCTAATGACGGCCCTAATGACGGCCGGCCCTAATGGTGGCCCTAATGACGGCCCTAATGATGGCCCTGATGACGGCCCTAATGACGGCCCTAATGGTGGCCCTAATGGTGGCCCTAATGACGGCCCTAATGATGGCCCTAATGACGGCCCTAATGGTGGCCCTAATGGTGGCCCTAATGACGGCCCTAATGATGGCCCTAATGACGGCCCTAATGACGGCCCTAATGACGGCCCTAATGACGGCCCTAATGACGGCCCTAATGGTGGCCCTAATGACGGCCCTAATGACGGCCCTAATGACGGCCCTAATGACGGCCCTAATGGTGGCCCTAATGAGGACCCTAATGACGGCCCTAATGAGGGCCCTAATGACGGCCCTAATGATGGCCCTAATGAGGGCCCTAATGACGGCCCTAATGATGGCCCTAATGATGGCCCTAATGACGGCCCTAATGACGGCCGGCCCTAATGACGGCCGGCCCTGATGACGGCCCTGATGATGGCCCTAATGGTGACCCTAATGGTGGCCCTAATGACGGCCCTAATGACGGCCGGCCCTAATGACGGCCCTAATGACGGCCGGCCCTAATGACTGCCCTAATGACGGCCGGCCCTAATGACTGCCCTAATGACGGCCGGCCCTAATGACGGCCCTAATGGTGGCCCTAATGACGGCCCTAATGACGGCCGGCCCTAATGACGGCCCTTATGATGGCCCTAATGACGGCCGGCCCTAATGACGGCCCTAATGGTGGCCGGCCCTAATGACGGCCCTAATGACGGCCCTAATGACGGCCCTAATGATGGCCCTAATGATGGCCCTAATGGTGGCCGGCCCTAATGGTAACCCTAATGACGGCCCTAATGACGGCCCTAATGACGGCCCTAATGGTGGCCGGCCCTAATGACGGCCCTAATGGTGGCCCTAATGACTGCCCTAAGCCCTAATGACGGCCCTAATGACTGCCCTAATGACTGCCCTAATGACTGCCCTAATGATGGCCCTAATGATGGCCCTAATGACGGCCCTAATGACGGCCGGCCCTAATGACGGCCCTAATGACGGCCCTAATGACGGCCCTAATGACGGCCCTAATGACGGCCCTAATGACGGCCCTAATGATGGCCCTAATGACGGCCGGCCCTAATGGTGGCCCTAATGACGGCCGGCCCTAATGGTGGCCCTAATGGTGGCCCTAATGATGGCCCTAATGATGGCCCTGATGACGGCCCTAATGACGGCCCTAATGACGGCCGGCCCTAATGACGGCCGGCCCTAATGACGGCCCTAATGACGGCCCTAATGATGGCCCTAATGACGGCCCTAATGACGGCCGGCCCTAATGACGGTTCTAATGACGGCCCTAATGACGGCCGGCCCTAATGGTGGCCCTAATGGTGGCCCTGATGACGGCCGGCCCTAATGACGGCCCTAATGATGGCCGGCCCTAATGACGGCCCTAATAACGGCCCTAATGATGGCCGGCCCTAATGACGGCCGGCCCTAATGACGGCCCTAATGATGGCCGGCCCTAATGATGGCCGGCCCTAATGACGGCCGGCCCTAATGACGGCCCTAATAACGGCCCTAATGATGGCCATAATGGTGGCCCTAATGGTGGCCCTAATGATGGCCCTAATGGTGGCCCTAATGGTGGCCCTAATGATGGCCGGCCCTAATGACGGCCGGCCCTAATGACGGCCCTAATGACGGCCCTAATGATGGCCCTAATGACGGCCCTAATGATGGCCCTAATGGTGGCCCTAATGACGGCCGGCCCTAATGACGGCCCTAATGATGGCCCTAATGACGGCCCTAATGACGGCCCTAATGATGACCCTAATGGTGGCCCTAATGGTGGCCCTAATGGTGGCCCTAATGGTGGCCCTAATGGTGGCCCCAATGATGGCCCTAATGACGGCCCTAATGACGGCCGGCCCTAATGACGGCCCTAATGATGGCCCTAATGATGGCCCTAATGACGGCCCTAATGACGGCCCTAATGACGGCCCTAATGATGGCCCTAATGATGGCCCTAATGGTGGCCCTAATGACGGCCGGCCCTAATGACGGCCCTAATGATGGCCCTAATGACGGCCCTAATGACGGCCCTAATGGTGGCCCTAATGATGGCCCTAATGATGGCCCTAATGACGGCCTTAATGACGGCCCTAATGATGGCCCTAATGCTCATTGCTTCCCTTCACAGGTAGATGACACTGTCTCAGGTGTGGGTGAGGCCTTAGCCGCCGGATGCTGGGGTGTGGGCGTGGCCCGCCACAGCAACTACATGGACATCAACACCCTGGAGGAGGACACCCAGCTGTCCAGCGAGGAGATTGAGAAGCGTCTGCTCAAGTCTCGTGACATTTTGGTCAAGTCAGGGGCCCACTACGTCATCGATACGATAGCCGAGCTGCCCGCTGTTATAGAGGATATCAATGCTAGATTAGCCAATGGTGAAAGGCCATAGTTCATTTCCTGCACGCTTGTCAAAGGTTCTCAGTCATAAAGATTCAATATTCAAAAGTTCAATTCATCTCTTGAATGTAATTAGAGGACCACCTGTGTATGTAGACTTCAGTGTTGTTTTGTTAGAAAGTAGAGGGATACAAGTCATGTTCAGCGGCTGTTGTTGCAATAGTTAGTTGTAAATGACTGGGTTAGGTTTGTAAAGGTTTAGAATTTACTATGTAAACCAAATGTTCTGTTTACTGGAGGTCTTTATGTATTATCTTTGTGGTAACATTAAGCTGAGTTGTCTCAATTTTAATTTAACAATGGGTTATGCCCCTTCTTGTGCTGATAATTAACACTGTCCTTTCTGTATGTTGATGTAGATAACATTGAGTTATGTCCCTGCTTGTGTTGAAACAACTGTCCCTTATTAAGGGGAAATAACTTTTTACTTGTTACATTTCACTGAGTTATTGTTTTTAGGATAAAAAAAATTCCAGCATATTTTAACTATTGACACCTAGCCTATAGCACACACCTTTAGTTAAGATTTATTAGTGTGAATGTGTGTTGGCTGCTGTTGGAATAATGTAATGCTCTAGGGTCAACAAAAATGCCAGTTCTCCACATCTACCTCTCCACTGTGCTGTCTACAAGTTTTACTTGTACCCCATAAGACACCACCTGTATATGTCACTGGGCACGTTTCAGATACAGATTGCTTTAGATTTTGACTCTGCTGAATTTTTTTTTAGATCAGTCAATAATTTTGTGCATTACTTCTTGTTTAAAAATTTCACCAACTTTGTATATATTTACACAAAATATTTTTGCAATCATTTTGAGTTTTTTCCCTTTAACTTCTGAATTGTGGTTTGTAGATTATCATCAAAATTTAAATTAATTATTGATTCTCATATTTTACCAAGATCAACCATCAAATGTACACAAAATTAGGCCCAGATCTGTTTTATAGTTAACACTTTGTCATTTTACATTCTTGATATTATTTTGTCTATACATGACCTTGCTTAAAGCATGTCTGCTGATATTTACCTTGTTTACAGTTCTTGAATGTAAGGGAATGTACTCTGAGTGTCAGCTGTGTAAGGGACTGTACTCTGAATGCAGCAAGTATTTGAATGCACCATTCCAAAGTTGTGGAGATTTCTATATTGTACTAAAAATAAAATTTGTCTACTCTATAATTTACAAGTTTTTATATTTCGTTAAAATGCATCTTTAGCGATATTGAAAATCAGCTTCATCAGCCGGTCTTGTTGTGAAGGAAAACCCTAAGGGCTCAGGGCCACTGGTATTTATAGAATTTACTTTAGAGAAATCATACAGGGCCACTATTTTAGAAGTCTTACAAGCGCCATCATACATCCACACCACAAATGGGACACCATTAGCAAACTACCTCACAAGTACTAATGTACTACACAAAATCCTGCACAAAACTGAAAATAAATTAAATGTTTAATTTTTCATTCAAATAATTTGTAGAGCAACCCTTTTGGCACCAATTTTATTTTTACTACTTAGACAAAAGTTTAGTACATCTAAAAAATAAATTTTTTAAAAATCTGTTTAAAAGATATAAGACTTTCAAAAACAATTTGTAGCATTTGATTTCAAAACACAATCAGTAATCTAAACATTCTTATGCCCCTTGCTAGTTCTATCAGCTCTTAAAACATGGGTGAAGAAAAATCACCCAACCAAGATTTGTTATTGAATGTAGTCATCTTTACATTTTTGACCAATATAATATCCAGTTAGATGATTGACATTAGAAATGAATTCATTTGGAAAGATGTCAACCTTTGGAGTGGGTAAAAATTGAGTTGAAAATTCAGTCAAAAACTCCATTTTAATTTACATTTTACAAAGCTTGGAATAAAGTTGTCTTGAGAGACTCACCAGGATCAGTTCACACAAGACCTGATCTAAAATTTATGTAATGCTAACCAAAACATTTTTTTGCATAAACTTCACAGCAGCTTTTTTTTAAAATTCAAAAACGAATAAAAGAACAAATTTATAGTACAATACAATTTTATTTATTTGGCAGTTAAGACAATCTGAAAATATAATTTTGAAAAAAATCTCATACCGTAATACTTTCATCAAACCTGTGTGTGTTTAGAGCAGTACAATGTTATTTATCTATATAATTTTACCCTATGAAAACTTTACATGACTTAATCACTAACTACTTCCAAGACGTGCACTCCCAACAGTTTAACCACATACATGCTTTCTTGCACATGAAACAAGTACGCATGAATTTCCACTTACAACCTACTCAGCTGCTTTAAATTTATGACTGGAAAATTAACAAAAGAATGATGTAAAACAACTTCTACAGCCATTCGTCAGCGTCAACACAGAAATCTTTAGCCACTTCTACAACAGGCTGGACAGCAACTATTGAAGTAAAACAGCTCTGATTATTTATTGAATATTAAAATCAGTTACTTAGTTATTTCCCATTTAAAAATTTTAACTGGTCAAGGGAAACTACTTATAATTAAGATCCCAAAAGTTTTTAAAGTACAGAAATATTCACAATGATAAGGTTTGTAAAAAAATACAGTTCATTATTTATTATTACGCTAAACATGAATATTAATAGTGACATAATATTTGTTGATTTTTCATTCTTTTTAGATTTTGAGATTATCATTTGACTTAAAACGTTTATGAGAACTATTAGCTAAATTGAATACCTAATTAGTATACTTTTTAACATTAATATTTGATCATGGTTGCATACAACTCTTAACTGTTTTCAAGCTGTTATTAAACTTTCTCTTTTCTCTCAAAAAAAAAAAAAAAAAAAAAAAAAAAAAAAAAAAATATTAAACTTTCTCTCTTGTTTATGTCTTGTGGATGAAAACTGGCTTATTCAACCAAATGCTAACAAATCGATTTAAATAAAACTTCACACATGGGTGTCAATCAAATTTCTGACATCTAATTTGACTTCATTAATTTTTTAAATTAAGTAAAGTTCGCTATATAAATTACAAATTTTCTGCACACATATTTACATAGTGGTTCAATACTATATATTTAAAGAAAATCCTTTATTCTCTCCTTTTAAGTTTGTAATTACACAAAAGCTAGGTTTTTAAATTGTTTTTTTTTTCCAGCACTTTTCAGTACTTAAAAATAAAATAAAAAATCATTTGCACACTAAATGGACACTAAAAATATGCACATATAAAAAGTGCAGTAAATATTACTTTATATAGGACAGAGTGGCTTAGCAGGTACAAGTCAGTAGTGTGGTCAGCCACACTATTTATTTATATGCTGAGGTCACAGAAACAAGGGAACTCTACTTCACCTGCCCTGTTGACCGTCAGATTTGAGAGGGAACTTTAATAGAAAATTTTAATTAACTTTTTTAAAATTAATTAATTACGCATCCAATTAAGTCAAATATGATGTCAGATTGCATTGTCAGTGGGTCGTGACCCACATGCCAAGTTTCAGAGAAACTGGTTGGTAAGTAGTCAAAATTTCACTAGCAAGTTTTGATACATGACGGACAACAAAAGCACAAGGAAGCAAGTTTAATTACAGCTTATAAAAAAAAAAGTTAAGCTTATTATTAAAACAATTTTTTATGAATTATTTTTTTTTTATTTTCAAATTATCCCTTTATGACACATAATGACACCTTAAAATATTTGAAATGTCTGACCCACATCCTCCAATCCCTCTATCCTCACATATCCTGGATGACAACAACCCCATCCCACCACACACACACACAACAGTGGGCGGCCCCAAAGAATCTCCCCCCCCCCCTGAATAAAATAGAAAATAATATATTTAATATAGAAACAAAGATAAGAAATGTAAAATTACCCCATAAAAATTCACCAACCACTGGACAAAAACTTTGCATCTTGGACTGAGATGGTAGATAAAACAAAACACTTCCCTGAAGAAAAACAAAGGCTTTAAATTTGTTGTCATCAGGTAGGTTAGTGGAAACCATTAAAATCATAGCCATAAATGGTTTTAGTTTTAAAAAAAGATTAGAGTTCAAATTTATTTTAAAAGTTCTGTTATTTACATTTAAAAGCTGTTGTTTACCTAAGTGCTGTTGTTTACCTGAGTGCTGTTGTTTACCTAAGTACTGTTGTTTAGCTGAGTGATGTTGTTTAGCTGAGTGATGTTGTTTAGCTGAGTGATGTTGTTTACCATAAAGCTTTTGTTTACCTGAGTGTTTTTGTTTACCTGAGTGCTATTGTTTAAAAGAAAAGCACCAACCGTAACTCACCTGTTCTGGGAGCACTGATATATTGTGATCAGTCAGAACAACTTGACCTCCTTTCTTTACTTCATTCAGCTAAAGCAGGAAACAAATTTCTCACATTTATTCACATTCCAGACTTTTAACATCAGTAAAAATAAAATTTTATGTCAATATTTTATTATCTCAATTACTTAATTCTTTTAAACAAGTGAACATATGATATGTATTTTAAAAAGATAATCAAGTTTAAAACAGTGTGATTAGTTCTAGATTTAATAATTACAGTAATTATTGTTATTACAAGTATGTGGGACATCCATCCTAAGATAACCCGCTTTCTATTAATAACTTACATCAGGTTCTTTATACATGCTTTTATTAGTGAAACTGCACAGAAAAACTGTATACAAATAATTCACAAAAGGATGAACTCACAAAAATAAAGTAAGCTCCTACTTCTTTGCGTTTGAATTCTTTTTCTGTCTTCTGTGGGTGAAGTTATTTTTGTACAAGCAAAAAATAATCAAGAAATATTCCTAGTTGAATTGCTTTGCCAATGTATGCAAGTCAATTTTAAAAAAGAGCATTATATAATTGATCAGATAAAAACTGTGTCTTGAATTTGATGTTTAAACTTGATTTAACAATTAGTGATAAAAATAATCTAGAATTGTTGCAAGAAAAAATAATCTGTCATCATTTTTAACTAAATTAAACTGAGCTCTGCAGCAAAAGAGTCAATTTAAGTATGTATATATGGGATTTACTAGACGATCACCTTTAACACACATGTTTGACTCTAATAATACATTTACAAATATTTTATTAGTTACAATCAGTTACCAGTTCCAGAAGATTCTTGTATTTCTCCAGGTGCATGCCATGCTGTCCAATGTTGGCTAGCTGCAACAAAATTAATATATTTTAAAATTATTTTTAATTAATTATCTTTTACTTAGATAATTAAAGATACAATGTTTTAAGTATTGGGCCTATAATAAATAAATAGAGAAAATAGAAAAATACAAACATTTAATGTATATATAAAATAAATCATCCATCAATCATCAATGTATATCATTTAATTAATTTTTTATTATTCACATCTGCAATCAGCTGAACCTGTGTTCCATTAAATATGAAGTATGCATGCATTGTTTTCACTCTATCGTGTTTAAATTGCTATCGATTGCTTTCATTATCTTGTCATTTTTTTGTTACTTCTTGTGTGTGTTGATGAATGATTCTCTAAACTTCACAAGGTCAATTAGAGCAAGAAATAAATCCAGTTGGGCTAGTTAGTCACACTTGCATGCTACACATATAAAAACAAGCTGGGCTAGTGAGTCACACTTGCATGTTGCACACAAAAAAACAAACTCTGTCCAAAAACTTTCACTTCCATACAAGGCACGTTGTTAGTTTTGTTAATGACAGCTATTAGTGTGAAAAAAGGCCTATGTGCCTACTGTTACCATTGGAAAATAAAGTTGTATTGTTTTTATATATTGATTAGATTTGTTATACAATATCTTCATGTGTTGAAGAGACTACAGTATGTTTTTAAAAAACTTACATGAAGTTTCCTCCAAGAAAGAGTTCTTCTATTTAAAGCAGTTGACAGCAGTTCTAAACTTTGTGTAACTTGTCTGAAGTAGAGTTTTACAAGCTTCCCTTTAACAGCATTGCTCTCTAGACCAATACTGGGGTTCAAGGGATTAAAAATGGGTTAAAAGTACTTTTAAATATGTGAATGTCTACAAGAATGTATTTTCAATATGTATTTTTTTGTGTGCATAATCCAAATCTACATTTAGCTAAGTAGGTTATCCAAAAAAAAACCCAATATAATGGTGTAAAATAAAAACTTTAACTTACTTGAATTTAGGAGGGTAGTAAACTTCCTCTCTGTACCATGCACTATTTGTTTGCTGGTAATGTGAGAAAATAATTAATTGATTTGCTGCAAAGTACCTGATGTTTGCTCTTACAAGTCAGCTCAGTTTTGTACTGCTTGTTCTAAACATTTTTTACAGACACTTTTTCAAACTTCTTTTAAATTCTTGAGCTTATTATTATTGTTTTTTTTGTGTTAGAATTATTATCATTTTTTTAAAATTAAATCAACTTCTAGAGAAAAAACATTTTAAATCAACTCAAAGAAGTGAAAGAGGTAAAAACATACTGTTTCATATGCATATTTTTTCAAATTTTCAGCAGTATTTTTTGGGATGACATCATGAACCATAACCACATATGGTCTGTCACGTATTGGTTCCACTTTGAAGAATGTTAATCCTGCACGAGCGACCCAACACTTTTTCTTTAAAGCCTGAAAAATACAAAATATTTTTAAAAAATTTAATTTTGACGTTATTAAGTTTTAACTTACAAATTATTGACTTAAATATTAAAGATAGAAGTAATAATAGAAAACAGTATAATATAAAAATTATATAATCATTGATTAGAGACCTTCTAAATATATATATACAGATCAATAAAACTTAAATAAACATTGAGAATATAAAGACAAGTAACTATATTGATAGGGAGTAGCTACATCATATTTTCTCATGTGCTCTAGTAGGCTTCTGCTTGAATTTTTGCAGTACATCATTGTGAGTTGAAAGTATTTTGGTTTGATTATGCTTAATATTTCCATTTTCAGTGGAGGATTTAAAGCTGTTATATCAATGATGTACATACCCTTCTTCAAATGTAGATAAATAATGTGAAAGACCGGTACAGTACCTTCCTTTTGCGTCTAGAACAAAGTTTTTCATATTTAGACAACTCCTCCGTGGGTGGGGCAGTCAATCTCTTCTCGTCTTCGCTGTTTTCTTCTAAAGCTTTCAGTTTTCTCTTGAAAAAATTCAAGTTATTTTCAGCAATCATGTTGGATGGATCTGGAAAATTATGAGTTTATTTTTATAAAAAACAAAATAAATTATTTATAGAACTTATCTCAGCATTAATATTATACTGTTAAAATTAATTCTTTAAATTGCTTGTAAGATATCAAGGATTTTTAAATTTTGACTTATTCCTACAGCATTGGACTTCATGCTGACTATATGACAGAATATGATTCAATGTGTTGGATAAAATTAAAGATAATTAACAAGTTTTAAAATTTGGTTCATTAATAAACATGTTTGGATAAATTCTTTTTCTCTTTTTCAAAAATTTTTTAAATGTAGATGAGCCAGTAATGTATAATGATAGAGATGTCATATACTTAAAAAAAAAATTAGTAATTTTTTATATTTAAAAAAAATCAGTTAAGTAACAGTAATCATGTTTATTTTATGAAAAGTTGTCTCCCTTGAAAATTTCATTCCTCTATCTAATGTATCTATCACTACTGAGGTTAATTACCCAGTTGCAAAACTTTCTCTGTTACTTTTAGAGCATCAGGAATATTTTTCATCTGAAACAGAGGCATAATATGATCAATATAGAAAGATTTATAAGTTAAAAAGAACTACCCTTTTTTATCCACATTATATTATTTAAAAACATCTTTACAATATGGAGAGCATAAGAAAGATGTTATAGAAATGGTTTTTACAAAAACGTGTAAGGATTATATCGAAGGTTCTGAAAGTGTACCAGAAAGGGACATAACTCTTATCAACCTGTAAACAAACAACAGATTCCACCAGGACAACTTACGTGGTAGTGAGCAGACGCCATAAGGTTCAGCACATCAGTGACCTTGAACCCTAGTTGACCGCTCTGCGTTGAGTTGTAGCTGATGAGCAGTTTTAGGATGTAGTTGAGCCACTCCAGGGCTATGTGCATGTCATCCCTGTCATGGAAGATCTGAAACATAATGGGTTTTTTAAAAATGTGGATTTAGATATGGTAAAACAACTCAAATAATATGTCAAGTAATAATTTTGTCTTGCTAGTGATCACGCACATAAATTTAACAAGAAGACATGTTTGACCCACCCCATTCCCCATTTACTCTTATGTAAAAATTTTATGGACCATCATTCCACATATTAGGCCCATATTAGTATTGAAAAAAAAACCCACTCCAACTGGACAAAACATCACATAATTTTATGATAAATTAACTTAGTAATGGAAAATTAATGTTTTAGAAGAAACCATTTGTTATATCTTCATTAGATACAGCTGTAAAGGTTTTTCAAGTTTTTGTTGTATTCAAAGTCGAAGAAAAATAATTAGCAAGCCAGTAAAGTCAGTTCATTCATCTCAAATTTTTACTATCACTTATAACAGTAAAGTATATTTTGGAGAGAAAGAAAACGAATTAGCGAATATTGACATCATCTATGTCAGCCGATAGACTCTTGTGAAAACAGGTGTGAAAGTTAGGTTGTTGGTTATAAAAAAAAAGGAAATAATTATTTTAATCTTAGGTTTAGTGTGTTATGGTAAATATTTCAAAATTTGTGTAAGAGTATGGTAAGACTTTGAGTTCGGGATAGGATTAGCCTGGACATTAACAAGTCATACTTAAAGTTATTTAACAACCAATAACATATCACTCGCTTTTATATGAAAATTCCATTATTGAGGCATGCATTATGTGACTGTTCTTTTTAATAAAACCTGCACAAAAAAAGCAACACTATGGTCATAAATTTGTAGTTGATTTTATACTGCTGCTACTGTGTTAATTAACATTGGCTTATTATTTCATTCAACAACAGAGTGACCTCTGACCTTGACTATATCAAACTGCTCATCGAGGTTCAAAGGTTTCAGAGACGTGGCCACGCCTATTCTCCCTTTAACGATGTCATTAGCATTCAGCTTGTACAACTTCTGCAGTGTCGCTATGTACTCGACCACCCGTTTCATTTCCGTTTTCCCGGGTAATTTGGTCTTCAGATACTGCAGACGGCCGGCCATTGACGGCACGTTCCCTGGTAGAGGAAAGAGAAATGTGGACATTTTATTTTAAAGATTGGCGTTATAAGGGGTCGTCTATAAACGACGTCACACTCTCAAAGGAAGTGGTGTCTGACTTTAGGTGACGATTTGTGACGATAGAATGGAACGAGGTCAAATTAGTTTAAACACTTGACGTGGTTTTTTGGATGACTTGAAATATGTAGGAAGGCCCCATCAGTGTTTTTTTCAGACTTTTTCTCACAAGTGGGGGAGTTGGGCGCTTGAAATATCCCGGAGGGGGGGGGGGGGGGGTAAAAGTATTTATTTTCTATATAAATTATATTTTATATATTTTATATATTGGGGGGAGGGAGGGGGGTGGTAATCGTGCTTGGGGGGGGGGGGGTCCAAGAGATGCCTGAAAGAAACACTTTGCATAAAAATAATATTTTGAGTTTTGGTGATTGACCTGTAAATATAAATAAATACGATTTTTTTTTAAATGTGCTAGTTGGGTGAATTGAGATGTGCCGATTGGTATGGTGGGACTATAGTAATGGTTCAAGGCGAGCTACCATTGTATATCCGTAAATCCAAAATCTAGCCGTTCACAGAATCATTGAGAGCTAGTAGGTTAGACTACCTAAAGAAAGATAAAACGTTTTTTTTTCTACGGGCAATGTTCATAAATAATAAGGGATTGGAATTTATTTTTTGTCGATTAAGGTAAATAATTCAAATAAAGAGGTTGAAAACAATTTTTAATCGAAGAAAAAACCCTCTCGACATTAGACTAAAATACATTCGTCATTTATGAAAAGGAGAAACCTCTGTTCCTAGGGTAGATTAGACACTGCTTAGTTCTCACCAATATTCCTTCCTTCGGTACTCTAACCCTAACTCCCAAGGATTCTGTGAACAGCAAAATTTTGGATCTACGGATAAACAATGTTGAGCACACCTTAGGTATTGATGGTGAACGGAGATCATGTGTTAATCTTATCTCATGTGTTAATCGCTAATCTCATGTACTGATCGATGAGAGATCGATACTCTTATCTTGAGACCCCTCCCCCCTCACCCTCACCTCATAATTTGGCTGTTTTTTTTTTAAGGTATGTGTTTACTGCTAACATCATATAAAACAACCTTGCATGGCATATTGACTGTTTTTGACAAGTGTGTCGTTATCATGGCTTAACTAGCAGAACGTCAAACATTTGTGTGTCATGCTGCTAACACGCCTAACACCTCCAATCATTCTTGATTTAAAACATTGAAGTACTACACGCAGTGGCGGAACTAGAAAAAAATGCCCCCCCCCCCCCCGCAAAAAAATTTTTTAGGCCCCTATATATATATATCTATATGTATATATATGTATATATATATATATATATATATATATAATATATATATATATATATATATATATATATATGTATATATATATATATATATATATGTATATATATATATATATATATATATATATATATATATATATATATATATATATATATATATATATAATATATATATCGGGTGCAGTGGCGTAGCGAGGTCGGGTGTCACCCGGTGCGGCACTTAATGGTGTCACCCCCCCCCCCCCCCAGAGCCATAGAGACCCTTCCCAGGGATAAACTTTCAAATTTTCGATTTGCACCCCCCCCCCCTCAAGTTTTCGATTTGCACCCCCCCTCAAACTTTCGATTTGCCCCCCCCCCTTGAGTTTTTCTCTATATATTTTGCTATTTTTTGCCTTGGTGTCACCCCCCTAAATGGTGTCACCCGGTGCGGTCCGAACCCCCCCGCCCCCCCCCTCCGAAAATTTCAAGTACCCCCCCCGAAGAAAAAAGTCTGGAAGAAACACTGCCAACAGAGGCGTAGCGACCCTTCCCGGCGCCCGGGGCGAACTTTCAATTTGGCGCCCCCCCCCGCTTATATATATATATATATATATATATATATATATATATATATATTATATATATATATATATATATATATATATATATATATATATTATATATATATATATATATAATATATATATATATTATATATATATATATATATATATATATATATATAGATATATATATAGATATAGATATATAGATATATATATATAGATATAGATATATAGATATAGATATAGATATATATGTATAGATATATATATAAAGATATATATATATATATATATATATATATATATATATATATATATATATATATATATATATATATATATATATGTAACTAGGGGAAGTTACCAGAGACATAACGCAGTACAGCGCTGTCAACTTTGACACGACTGATGCAATAACACAGGTGTTGGCTGATAACGATCAGAAAGCCAAGGCGTAGTATCTTGGGAAGCGATACGATAAGAACGCAATACGGTCTGTCAACTTTGATGTGACAGGATGCAGATGGCTTATTAAATCGGACTGTACGACAGAAGCGGCGTAATTAACATTCTGATGCAACGATTAGAATCGATTACGATTACGATTATGATAGAACCGAATACGATTACGAATACGAAGGGGATATATAGGAAGGCGACGGCTGAGCTCGCAGGGTCTCTCTCTCTCGATCAGTCAGTCAGTGAGGCAGTATCAAGTTGGTTATTGAACGGGTTAGCCGTATTGTGTTAAGAAGGACGATAGACATGTGCATTCAGTTATGTGAAGACTAGTGAGGACTGTTGGGGGTCAGTTGATTCAGACTATTATTGTGAAGCATTCCTTTTGATTTATTATATTATTGTGAAGCATTTCTTTGATTCATGTAATAAAAGGATCAATAGCGAACCTGCATCTTCGAGTATCTATACTGTGGTCGATGTTGTGTAGAATGAGTGGTTAGACTCGGTAACATTTGGCGTTGTCGAGCAGAACTCGTTAACATTTGGCACTACAGGCAAATAGTCTCGTTACATATATATATATATATATATATATATATATATATATATATAATATATATTATATATATACATGTGTGTGGAGTTTCTTCCAGGCATCTCTTCGGGGGGGGCTAAGCCCCCTGAAAACTTTTTACCTCGCCCCCCCCCCCGAACGAAATGAAATTTATATAATTTATATATAGAAAATATATACGTTTAACAGTGTCCGCCCCCCCCCCCCCGAAGAAAGTCTACGCCCCCCCCCCCCCGAAAATTTCAAGTGCCCCCCCCCCCCGGAGAAAAAAGTCTGGAAGAAACACTGCTCGCTCAACGTCAACAACAAATGCAGAACTAATTGTATTGATTGAAGAAGCAGTAACAATCAATTTAATGATAGCCCATGACGTTCTGATTAAATCAGCAGCAATAAAACGCGTTTTTAACACTCTAAGAAAATGTAGAATTCAAATGCATTGTCAAAAAAATTCAATCAGGATCTATAACTTAATGTGGTCTCTTTTACTGTATGGCTTGGAGCTAGATTACAGACAGTGGAGAATGAAATAAGAGCATGGAAAAAAGTGGTGGTTAGTGGCTTAGGGATTCAAGAATCCGTGATATTTAGTTCTCTTTTAATATAGTTCAGTGATCCAGGTAAGATGTAATGCAATCAATCAAAAGTATCTGATCTCTCACGTTGAAGTTGAGAGAATCGTAAGAATCTTACAAAGAACTCGTCGCGTCTTTTTTTACTTTCTCGTATATACGAAGTATAGAGAAAGTCTTGTAATCGTGCAAAAAAAAAAATCGAGATTTTTACAAATCTCGACGTTTTACACCTCACTGATACGGAAAAACATAATTTTGCAATCTTGTCCGTATGTCTGTGTGTCTGTCTGTGTGTCTGTGTGTCTGTGTGTCTGTCTGTCCGTGTGTAAACACGATAACTTGAGTACCGTTACAGCTACGTTGATGAAATTTCATATATAAGTATTTTATCAAAATCGTAGATCCGTATCAACTTTTGAGCGATTTCCGATAACCGGAAGTGGTACTTTTCCTACTTTGAATTTTTCAAAAGCCTATAACTTGAGTACTATTTCAGATAGATAAATGAAATTTCAAATGTAAGTAAAAGATCTAATTCTCTACCTTCTGTTAAATTTTGAGTAATTTCCGTTGACTGGAAGTAGTAATTTACGCTACTTCCGATTTCTCAAAAAACTAATGTAAATTTTAAAAGTACTAATAATATTGCGCACCATTATGCGCTTTTTTATTTGGCGTTCACTTGGTGTGCAATTAATTTGTCTACGAGATTTTATTCTATTTTTAAAACTTTAAGTATTTAAAATGGATTAAAAATCATGTCTATAGCCCGAGTTCCCATCCCCTGTTATTTTATATAAGAATATTCGAGAAAGTTTAGGGGAGATCACTCCCGGTTTATTTTTAACAAAACTGGCTATTGAAATTGTACATTACGCGTTAATACACTTGGTTTCTTTACTAAGTGTACAAATACTTGCGATTTTTGTTAGCGAAAAAAGCGCCCCCCACCCCCACACACACTCATCACAACCATCTTGGACAAAGTTTGTAGAGCGGTTTTTAACGTAACTAACTTTTTTTTAAATGTTACACAATTATACAATGCACAGTACAATTCGTTTCTTTCTGAGAGCTAAAGGTTGTTTACTCAGAATCCTGTGTAATTTTGCTATTTTATTTAGCCTAAAAGCGCCCCCCTGCACCATCTTGATAAAAGTCACTAACGTATTTTACAGTTCGACAATCGTACAAACGTTTTAATACAATTGGTTTCTTTTAATAGTGGTAGCGTTTATCGACTCAACAATCTAGTGTAAATTCTTCCGTTTTAAGTCTCGAAAAAGCGCCCCCCCCCCATCTAGGAAAAGCTTCAAAGCGGTTTTGCCGGTCACTGTTTCTTAAGAGTATATGTTTTACATTAAGAAATCAAGGTAGAAAACAGTTAAATCAGTATGTAAAGGCGTGTAGCCATTACATTTCTTAACTTAGACAGTTTATAATTCAAAACTGCAGCATAAAATCAGCTTTAAAAAAATTTTCCCACCCCTTTTGGCGCCCCCATAGGGTCGGCGCCCGGGGCGGCCCCCCCCCCGCCCCCCCCCCCTAGCTACGCCTCTGACTGCCAAAGACCCACCCATATTATAACCGAATATAACCCCTCCCCGTTACGGGCTAAACATGAAATTAAACATTACTACATTCAAAGGTGATATAGATCTTTTGGTTGTTTTTAGGCTTAAAAGCTAGATCATTGTATCCTAAATTTGATTAACTTTAATGTATTTAGTGTTAATAACTAATGTTCAATTAATACGTGTACTAATTATAAAACAATTAATAATATAAGGACGAGCCTTACCTTCCTTGTTGTGTGAATTAGACTCGTCAACAAAATACTTCATCAGGTAAATGAACAACTACTGACTAGTGTCTTTAACAAAATGTGCAGAAGTGGTCAGTTTACAGTTCAGTAGTTCATAGACGGTTCGTTAATCTATGCATTACATCTTATTGTAAGAGTAAGGGTGTGGTGAGGGGTAGAGGAGAGGGGTAGGGGTGAGAGGGGGGTGAGGGGGGAGGGGTGAGAATTGGGAAGGTTCAAGGGAAGGGGACTAGAAAGTGCCGATAAACATCTACATCAATAGTGCCGACTTTTTCCGGTCGTCTAGAAGACCAGAATAGTCGCCGCAACATTTCCCCAGCCCGATTTCAAAGCGTGCCGGCAAAAACTTCAGATGCTTCGCTAAAGGGAGATAACTTAAACTTTCACACGTTTATTGATACAGTTGTTAAAGTAAAAATGAACGCAATTATAAATGTATGACATCGAAATAAATAATTATATTTTTTGTAGAGTCCAGGCCAGTAGTTTAAACACACAATCATATATATATATATATATATATATATATATATATATATATATATATATATATATATATATATATATATATATATATATATATTTAATAATGTAAACAATATAACAATCCTTTTTTGTTCTCCTAATCGACGCCACTAAAAGTAAAAAGGTAGGCTACGTCTTTGAAGTTGTCTATATGTCTGGCGGTCTCTCGAGCCATAGTCTGTGCATTTTTCTCAAAGACGTTTGCCGACTATCGTGTTTTTTTGTAACTGTAGAAGAAAGATAACTCAACCTCCACCTAATTTAAAAAAAAAAAATTAATTTAAAAAAAAATAAAAAATTTTACATTTTTTTTTAAAAATAATTTAGCCAGGATTTTTGGGCCCCCAATCGGTCTGCCCCCCCCCCCCCCCCCCCCCCGCATTGCGGTGTCTGGCGGCACTGTTGTTCCGCCCCTGCGTCTTTGAAGTTGTCTATATGTCTGGCGGTCTCTCGAGCTATATTCTGTACATTTTTTTCAAAGACGCTTTGCCGACTATCGTGTTTTTTTGTAACTGTAGAAGAAAGATAACTCGACCTCCACCTAATTTAAAAAAAAAATTTAATTTTTTTTTGTTTTAATTTTTTTTTTACATTTTTTTTTAAATAATTTAGCCAGGATTTTTGGGCCCCCAATCGGTCTGCCCCCCTCCCCCGCATTGCGGTGTCTGGCGGCACTGTAGTTCCGCCCCTGCGTCTTTGAAGTTGTCTATATGTCTGGCGGTCTCTCGAGCTATAGTCTGTACATTTTTTTTTCAAAGACGTTTGCCGACTATCGTGTTTTTTTGTAACTGTAGAAGAAAGATAACTCGACCTCCACCTAATTTAAAAAAAAAAAATTAATTTTTTTTTTGTTTTAATTTTTTTTTTACATTTTTTTTTAAATAATTTAGCCAGGATTTTTGGGCCCCCAATCGGTCTGCCCCCCTCCCCCGCATTGCGGTGTCTGGCGGCACTGTAGTTCCGCCCCTGCGTCTTTGAAGTTGTCTATATGTCTGGCGGTCTCTCGAGCTATAGTCTGTACATTTTTTTTCAAAGACGTTTGCCGACTATCGTGTTTTTTTGTAACTGTAGAAGAAAGATAACTCGACCTCCACCTATTTTTTTTTTTTTAAATTTTTTATTTTAAATTTTTAAAAAAAATAATTTAGCCGGGATTTTTGGGCCCCCATTCGGTCTGGGCCCCCCCGCATTGCGGGGTCTGGCGGCACTGTAGTTCCGCCCCTGACTACACGTCAACCTGTTATGCACCATATACGCCGTTGATTCTGATTTCAGCCTGCTTTTCTTTCTTGATTTACACCCATAGCCTTTGTACAACCAAGAACAAACTACAAGGCAGCAGATTTTGGAGTTGTCTCTCCTAGAAGAGTGGCTGTCCCCAGCTATCTACCCCGGGGTTAGAAGAGTGGCTGTCCCCAGCTATCTACCCCGGGGTTCGAACTAGGGACTTTTCGGTTTAGCAACCATGAGATTTACCACCCCGACCACGCCGACCTCCTACGCCTGGAATGTTTTGTAGTGCTGTGGGAACATACTCACATCGTCTGCAGGGTTTGGTCTGAAGCAAAAGGTCAAGGCCGTCCCTCCAGCCGCTGTCCAGACGACGAAACAGGTGGAAGACATTGACGGGGTTGGCCAGGTACTTCTCCAGGTCAGGCCCGGCCAGACGGTGGACCGTCTTAGTCTCGTCGATAACACTGGGGAACATAGAAACATAGGAACTTGTTAGTGGAACATGGGAACATAGGAACTTGTTAGTGGAACATGGGAACATGTTGATGGAACATGGGAACATGTTGATGGAACATGGGAACACGGGAACTTGTTGATGGAACAGGGGAACATGATGATGGAACATGGGAACATGTTGATGGAACATGGGTAAGTGTTGATGGAACTGTGGAACATGTTGGTGGAACATGGGAACATGGGCACATATTGATGGAACATGGGAACTTGGTGGAACTTGGTGGAACATGGGAACATGTTGATGGAACATGGGTAAGTGTTGATGGAACATGGGAAAGTGTTGATAGAACATGGGAACATGTTGAAGGAACATGGAAACATGTTGATGGCACAGGTTAATGGAAAATGGGAACATGTTGATGGAACATGGGAACATGTTGATGGAACATGGGAACATGTTGAAGGAACATGTTGATGGAACATGGGAACATGTTGGTAAACATGGGAACATGTTGATGGAACATGGGTAAGTGTTGATGGAACTGTGGAACATGTTGATGGACCATGGGAACATGTTTAAGGAACATGGGAACACGTTGATGACACAGGTTGATTGAACATGGGAACATGTCGATGGAACTTTGGAACATGTTGATGGAACATGGGAAAACGTGGATGGAGCAGTGGAACATTAGGAAACTGTTTAGCACAAAGACATCCTACAAGCCTATAACACCAGTACACCAGGCTACATGTGCTTGTTCTAATCTCCAGCTCAGGATCAGATTTAGCCAATAGAGATTTAAATATAGGCCAAAATCTACGCCAACAGCTGCTGGGTTAGGTCATCACAAGTTGCTGTACATGTTCTGTGTTGTGTTGTTTATTCGACAATCCAAGATGCTGTGTTGTGAATGTTGATTGTTCAACATTGTCACGCTATATGACTGCGGGGGCGGAGGATGGGGGGGGGGGAGTGGAGTGGGGATGGACTTCATCTTCAATGCATGTTTTACTCTTGAGACAAATTATACATTAAATGACCAAACGATCTTTCTAATTTCTATTATATTGTGGTATAAAATAATTGCCTTCTCTATGCCTGAAAGAAACGCTGGTCTGCTGTCATTTTATAAAGCAGCAATGGTGACGTTTTCTATGAATTTGAGACAATCGACATAAGTGCTGATCATAAGTAAAACTACAAGCTTTAAAAAAAGGTTAAGGTTAGAGCTGTATTAGCCTGTTGAGTTGTATGGGTACGTCTAACCTAAAAGAAGAAACACTTTTATCTATTGGTGTGAATTCTGTTGACTAAAAACGACCAACTTACGTCAGAGTCGAATAAAAACGACCAACCTGCGTCAGAGTCGAGTAAAAACAACCAACCTTTTAAACAGCGTCAGGTTCGGCGCATGTTTCAGATGCTCCTCCTCCTCCTCCTCCTCCTCGGCACCGAAGTAGTCGTCACGCAGCAACACGTCAGCGTTGCTCAGCACGTTCTCCTCGATGACGTAATAGTGCTCCAAGTTCACCATCGACATAAACCGGTCGTCGCTGATGATCCAGCCGGCATTCCGGCTGACCAGCGATGCCAGAACGACGGAGATGAAAACTCCTAGACCGGACATGTCACTGAAAATATGGCCGTCCCGCTTCGGCACACGTAGGTTATTTTTGTCCAACTCTTTTCACGAATTTCCTTTTTGATTTTTCAAAACCAGAATAAATTCACGAATTTTAAATTCACGTGGTAATTAATTAACGATAAAAAATGTGCGTGGCTATGTAAAAGTTAACATTTCAATTAAAAAAAAGACATCCAAAAACTAGAAAATTTAGTGAGTAAAAAACTTCTCTACGATAGATGTGTCACACAACACACAGCCGACTAGCGGTGGATGCAGAACCACGTGGTGGGTCGATAAACTGAAAGTGAAAAATCTGGGCAAGAAAGCATCGGGCTGGGGTGTTTAGCTAGCCATCAATAAATTGTCACAGATGTTTTCGATTTGGTTTGAACTGTGTAAAGATTTTTTTTAATTCTAGCAGTCACGGTGGTATTTAGAGCTAGCTGAGCACTCTACACAAATAGGCCATCATCAAGCTGCCTGGGGTTCAGTGGCGTCACTAGGTCGGGTGTCTCCCGGGGCGGTAACTAATGGTGGCACCCCAACCCCCTTCAACAATTTAACATTTCCGGTTTAGTGTGACCGCTCTCCTCCGACTAATTTGTTATCTTACTAATTAAAACATTGTTATGACTGTAAATTTTGTCACACCCTAAATTGTGTCACCCGGTGCGGACTGCACCCTACTTGTGACGCCACTGCTGAGATCTACCTTGCATAGTTCACTGAGAGTACTTCTGGCTCCAAAACTCAATGTAGGCCAATATTTTAAGTAAAATTTACAGAAATAAAATCTAGCATATTGATCTAAGTTGGTCGGCTTGTTTCAAATGGCAAAAGAAAAAAAATATATATTCAGATATATTATACATAATGTAGTCTACTTATATATATATATATATATATATATATATATATATATATATATATATATATATATATATATATATATATATATATATATATATATATATATATATATATATATATAGGAGTGCCAATCTAAAATGAGATTTCACGCCACTTATACTTATACACAAAAAAACACCACATTTTTTTTAGATTTGCTGACAACCTGACAGCAAAGTTTATTTAAAAAAATTTCTCCCACTGATATAGAAATAAATTACAATCCACATGTCACACACAATCTATACAGTCATGTTACATTCATTCTCATGTCAAAATTAATTTGTCTCATTTCTAGTCAATATCACCTTCAGTGGCATAGGCAGGGAATCTGATGTTACCCTCCCCTACCCCCAACATGGGACCCCAACAATGAATGTTGCCACGTGTAACGTTACAACTTTTGGTGTCTGCTATGTCACTATATGTTTACACTTTTAAAAGTTTCAAAGTAAAAATTATTTGTTCTTAAAATCAAATATATATACACACGTGTAGACCTATACATAATTCTTAATATATGTATATATTAAAATATATATTATGTATTGGGGAAAGTTTTTTAAATCCCCCTCCCCATGACAAATTCCTGCCTATACCACTGATTGTCTGCCTTAGTAAAATATGAATAGAAAGTTGCAAGAAATGATTGCGTAAGACAAGTAATCTGCTGGGAAAAGTCCAGCTACAAATATAAGTTACAACCTTCACTTAGAACATTTATATTAATGAGGTTATTTTTTTAGTTACATTCACTTTTTAAAAAAAAAATGGCTAATAAGAATATAAAGAGTTTCTTTTAAATTTGACAACACACATTATTTACATTACAATTCATTTCAGTTCAAAAACTAAAATCTGTTCAAAAGATTTTCTCTTTAAAAATTAGCAGGAATAAATTCTGTTGAATCTGGTAATGAAAGGACAACCACCCACACAGAAAACAACACACACCAACAACCACCTACACAGACAAACACCAACACCAGCCAACCACAAAGACAACCACCAGGGTTTACTCTAGAAAATCTCACCCTCCTGTGGCCAGCATGTCAAACATTTGGCAGAAATAAATCCTTTGTATCTGGCAATCCAAGTCCCCCAGGTTAAACAAACTTACAGCTTAACACAACAAAACTGATAGAACTTTTCATTTAAAATATGCTTTAGAGGGGGACCAACAGACTTCAACAGAGTGATGTAACTGTGGTCAGATCAAATGCTGGCACTCAAATAAGAACAAGATGTGAGGTCGTGGCTTCTCATTTCATAATTTAAAAAAACAAAACAAAAAAAAACAATCAACAGTATATAATAATTAGTGACCCTTTAAATAAGCACAGCAGTATATATGTGTTGATAGACATTTTTTTTCTCAAAACAATGTTAGCATCAGACACTTATTAAACCCAAGATTTGGTTAGACAAAAAAAATGTGTACAAACAAATTTTGGTAAGTACAGCAGTACATCCTTCATAGCCCAGCACTAAAGGACATAGACCTTCATAGCCCAGCACTTATGGACATTGACCTTCATAGCCCAGCACTAAAGGACATAGACCTTCATAGCCCAGCACTTATGGACATTGACCTTCATAGCCCAGCACTAAAAAACATTGACCTTCACAGCTCAGCACTAAAAGACATTGACCTTAATAGCCCAGCACTAAAGGACACTGACCTTCATAGCCCAGTACTAAAGGACGTTGACCTTCATAGCCCAGTACTAAAGGACGTTGACCATAGCCCAGCACTTATGGACATTGACCTTCATAGCCCAGCACTAAAGGACATTGACCTTCATAGCCCAGCACTAAAGGATGTTGACCTTCATAGCCCAGCACTAAAGGATGTTGACCTTCATAGCCCAGCACTAAAGGACATTGACCTTAATAGCCCAGCACTAAAGGACGTTGACCTTCATAGCCCAGTACTAAAGGACATTGACCTTCATAGCCCAGCACTAAAGGACATTGACCTCTCCTGACAACACTACTGGTGAAAACATGAGGTAGCTGTTGCAAGATGGCACAGGCCACATGTGGCTTTAAAGATGGATACTGGATCAGGATTTGATGCTGTGCAAAATCTAGTTGTTTTTTTTAAAGTGAAGCATCAAAATCACATTATTAGCTGTCAGAATAATAAAATTACATGCTTAATTAATGGAAGAGACACAACATAATGCAGGCTATACAATGTCAATGGTCTTACAGGGATAGACGTATGGTCTACTGGTACACACTGCACATGATACAGCACATATAAATAGTGGTACATGTATGGTCTACTGGTAAACACACCACATATAAGCACACAATTGTACACGTATGGTCTACTGGTACACACTACACACAGTACAGAACATACAAACACTAAGTGAAATCTAAGCAGAGTAGGCAGTTTTACAGTATCACAAATGGATGGGCTTTGTTACAGAATTACATCAGATAAGATTAAGATACAAACCCCAAAAAGGTTACATTTGAACAATGAACTATAAACAAACCCACATTGGGGTCCATTAGAACAATGAGCTATACAAACCCCAAAAAGGTTTCATTAGAACAATGAGCTATACAAACCCCCAAAAAGGTTTCATTAGAACAATGAACTACATCAACTCCCATAGGGGTCCATTACAGCAATAATTTTATATATAAATTTAAAAACATCTTCACTCCATGAAAAAATGTTCAGACATACGTCATGTATCAACATAATGTTTTACTGTTACACTGCTCTCATCCAGTATGTTCTCTACATGGGTAAGTGTTTGGGGGGTAATCACAAGTTGTCTGTGTGAAAACTGCTTTACTATACTACAGCAATGATAATGTGGAAAACTTATAATGAAAAGTTCTTTGTGTGAAACTAACTTAACTTGGCTACAATACTGGTGAGATAGAAAACTTGTAAAGACAAGTTGTTTGTGTGAAAATAGCTTTAGACCTGCCTACTTGTAAAGACAAGTTGTTTGTGTGAAAATAGCTTTAAACCTGCAAACTTGTAAAGACAAGTTCTTTGGGTGAAAATAGCTTTAGACCTGGAAACTTGTAAAGACAAGTTCTTTGTGTGAAAATAGCTTTAGACCTGGAAACTTGTAAAGACAAATTCTGTGGGTGAAAATAGCTTTAGACCTGGAAACTTGTAAAGACAAATTCTGTGGGTGAAAATAGCTTTAGACCTGGAAACTTGTAAAGACAAATTCTGTAAACTTTGGTGATCTGCTATCATCCACAGCTTTTGATAAATGTAAAAAAATAAAAAGCAGTAACATAAGTCTTCTAGGCTGTCACCTGATACCAAAGGCCAACAGAGCAAACAATGGGTGAAAATGTTTTGAAATTCATCAGGGTTTTGTGTTTGTACAAAATACAGGTTGGAATAAGGTAAGAAGGGGGTCATCTCTAAATGATGTGTGATTTAGCAATTAATGTCTAAGAAGGAAGAGACCACACTCTCCCCGTGGACAATCCTTAATGAAGGGACACCTAATGAGGGACAATGTATATTGCAGATGTACCATTATGTACTAAGATATTATTCTTCCCTTCAAGCAAATTATTAACATAACATAATGCCTACGTTTATCAAGAATGAAAAATAGACCCTTCCTACAGATAAAAAATGTGCCTCTGACATTATGGGTGTGAAATACTGTGTTCTGAGGCTACAGATACATATATATTGACACAATAAGAGTAGATCTTTTTCAATTTCAGCATTAGATCTTCAGGTTCAGTGGCGTCACAAAGCGGGGTGTCACTAAATGGGGGTAGCACCCCCCAACCCACATTCTGATGCAACCAATCATAATTAATAAATGACATAAAATAATAAATAGTGTCATTGTTCATATGAGAAGAAACATTCATACATTTTTCAATCAATTAATTTCTCTGAGAAGTAAACCAATTATAATGAAACCATGTCGTACATTATACATCAAATTTTGCAAACGAAAAGCTATAATTTTTTTTAAGATGTCTTTAGCCAGACCCTGTCAAAATGGGAAATTGTATAATTGATGCTAGCTCTACACTAATTGTGTTGTGGTCTGTCTATGGTTTACTTGTGGTGTCTGTGGTGTAGTAGAGTCTAGGTGAAGTAGAGTCTAGGTGTAGCAGAGTCTAGGTGTAGCAGAGTCTAGGTTAAGTAGAGTCTAGGTGAAGTAGAGTCCTGGTGTAGCATAGTCTAGGTGTAGCTGTGTTTTGTAGAGTCTGCTGGTGTGGCAGTCTAAGAACAAAGGATGCTTCAGGCACTGGGTGATCACAAGATGATTTGATTCTTGTAGCAGCCATTCAGGTCCTTGTGAGGCAGGACTATAGAGTTCAGGATGATGACCTCTGGTGGAACTTGGACATTGGAACCTGTGAAATAAAGGGAGGATATTCTGTCACTAGGCATTCAAGGGAGGAAATTCTGTCACAAAGCAAATAAACTGGGAGTGATCTCCCCTAAACTTTCTCAAATATTCTTATATAAAACAACAGGGTATGGGAACTCGGGCTATAGACATGATTTTTAATCCATTTTAAATACTTAAAGTTTTAAAAAATAGAATAAAATCTCGTAGACAAAAGAATTGCACACCAAGTGAATGCCAAATAAAAAAGTGCATAATAGTGCGCAATATTATTAGTACTTTAAAAATTTATATTAGTTTTTTGAAAAATCTGAAGTAGCATAAATTAGTACTTCCGGTCAACGGAAATTACGCAAAATTTAACAGAAGGTAGAAAATTAGATCTTTTACTCAAATGTGAAATTTCATTTATCTATCTGAAATAGTACTCAAGTTATAGGCTTTTGAAAAATTCAAAGTAGAAAAAGTACCACTTCCGGTTATCGGAAATCGCTCAAAGGTTGATTCGGATCTATGATTTTGATAAAATACTTATATATGAAATTTTATCAACCTAGCTGTAACGGTACTCAGGTAATCGTGTTTACACACAGACACACACACAGACATACGGACAGAATTGCAAAGCCCAGTTTTTCAGACTGGATTACGCATAAAACCTCTTAATTTTGATAAATCTGGATTGATAATTTTTGCCAGATAAAAATAAGTCCTCTATACTTCGGATGTGATGAAGGACTGAGGTGTAATACGGTGAAAATTGTTAAAATTTCAAGAGATTTTTTTGCACGATTACAATACTTTCTCTATACTTCGTATATACGAGAAAGTAAAAAGGGAGGATATTCTGTCACAATAAAGAAAATAAAGGAAAGAAACTAATTCACGATATAAAGAGAGATAAGGGTAATAATAAAGAGAAAGAAAAAAATGAGGGAAATAACTAATTTTTCTTTTTACTAAAATTTTCAATTTTTTTTCTAGATTATTTAATTAAGAAGTTAAATATTATATAGAGAAAAATATTAAATACATTTACAAAATGTACCATCTATGACAAAAAACAATAATGACCCATATTGCAGACTTTATGCAATATTAGTCAAAGATCCACCATATTGACCTATGACCTTTACTGTGTTACCTATGACAGTGATGGATGGATTGAGCTTGCCATCATCAGAGAACATGCAGGGGATCTCAAGTTTGGCAAACGGCTTGTTGGGATTGGGGTCGTTTGGGGTCCCCTCAACTCTAGTCCATACCCCCACTGTACTCTGCCACCCTACTATACTGTGTAGTATACAGCAATGTGCCTAGAGAAGAAGAAACAGACATTAAATCAGTGTTAGGTTGGGGCAGGCCAATCATACAAAAAACGGATAATTTATCCTACATACTCAAAAAAGTCTTTGAGAAATTCTTAATATTTTGAAGAACATACTGTTAATTGCGAATATTAAGAAGAATAACTCTTACTTGTAAATTTGCTCCCTCTAAGACAATTGTCTCCCTTACTCTAACACCTTCTCCAACAGTCACATTACGACCAATGGTAACGTTTGGTCCTAGCTGTTAAATTACATATATAATCTTTCTATTACATTGTACAAGTAATATGTACATCCAAATAACAATTTTACATGAACAAATAAAGATTTTGTATGTTAAATTATTTCCTTATATAAAATAGCTTATAGGCCTACATATAAAATAATTCCCAAATGCACAGATGTAGATGTAAAATATTGTCCTAATAAAGATTTTTCCCGCTAAATAACAACACAGTAATATTCAACATTGAAAAGTACTTTTTGAGACAATTTTAAAAATCCATTTCTAGAAAGTGCAGTCACCAAAATTTTAATTTAGATTACATTTTCCAACAATGAAATGGAATTATTTCCCTTGAGGTATACAAAAACATTAAAATTTAGACACCCTAAAATCAGCAGTAAGACAAAGGCAGTAAGACAACGACAGTAAGACAACAGCAGTACCTACCACAGCAGTAGGATGGACTGTAGCAGTTGGGTGGATGAAAACATCCCCTATGATCTTTGGCAAGCCGTCGCCATTTTTGGCCAGGCGTTCTGGGTGTGAGGACTTGTAGATTGCCAGGTAGTGTCTGTTGGCATACACTGCAGCTCTAAAAATAGACATTTAATCCCCAAGTTAACCCTAGTGTTTACATATCATATTTTCAAATATTTTTTTGTGCTCAGATAGTCCAGCACTGCTTGACAATGTAGTTACCAGGCAACAAGTTACCCCGCTCATCTCTGACCTCATGTAATTACCAGTAAATAAAAACTGTTACCCCATGTAGTTAACAGTTGTAAAAAAAACACTCTGCTGACATTTGACCCCCATAAAAAACTATTGCTTACCCCCACTGACCCCTATAGTTCCCCATGTAACAAACCATCCCTTACCCTGCTGACCTTTGACCCATGCAGTTCCCCATCTGACCTTTGACACATGCAGTTCCCCATCTGACCTTTGACCCCTGCAGTTCCCCATCTGACCTTTGACACCTGCAGTTCCCCATCTGACCTTTGACACCTGCAGTTCCCCATCTGACCTTTGACACCTGCAGTTCCCCATCTGACATTTGACCCTTGCAGTTCCCCATCTGACCTTTGACACCTGCAGTTCCCCATCTGACATTTGACCCCTGCAGTTCCCCATCTGACGTTGGACCCCTGTAGTTCCCCATCTGACCTTTGACCCTGCAGCCCCCCATGCAGCAAGCCATCACTTACCCAGCTGACCTTTGACACCTGTAGTTCCCCATCTGACCTTTGACCCTTATAGCTCCCCCTTGTAACAAGCCATCACTAACCCATCTGACCTTTGACCCCTATAGCTCCCCCCTGTAAGAATCCATCACTTACCCAGCAGACTTGATCTGGCTCCAGAAGCGTGAGGTGGTGTAAACAAACAACTTGCCGGAGCCCGCCATGGGGATGAAGATGTCCTGCTCCAGACGAATCACCTCCTTGCTGGGGGTCAGGTAGTCAAAGCTGCGGACAAGAGAACAACATGTCTACACTTGGTCTAGTCCAGCCATCACAATTTTAAAACAAGGGGAACATTAGTTCATTGTAATGTCATTGTTTTTCTTTCTTGTCACTGAAGTAAAAACAATATGTCTACACTTGGTCTAGTCCAGCCATCACAATTTTAAAACAAGGGGAACATTAGTTCAATGTAATGTCAATTTTTTCTTTATTGTCACTGAAGTAACAACATGTCTACACTTGGTCTAGCCCAGCCATCACAATTTTTAAACAAGGGGAACATTAGTTCAATGTAATGTCAATTTTTTCTTTATTGTCACTGAAGTAACAACATGTTTACACTTGGTCTAGCCCAGCCATCACAATTTTAAAACAAGGGGAACATTAGTTCAATGTAATGTCAATTTTTTCTTTCTTGTCACTGAAGTAAAAACAACATGTCTACACTTGGTCTAGCCCAGCCATCACAATTTTAAAACAAGGGGAACATTAGTTCATTGTAATGTCATTGTTTTTCTTTCTTGTCACTGAAGTAAAAACAACATGTCTACACTTGGTCTAGTCCAGCCATCACAATTTTAAAACAAGGAAAACATTAGTTCAATGTAATGTCAATTTTTTCTTTATTGTCACTGAAGTAAAAACAATGTGTAAATATAATAATTCAAATACATTAAGACAAACAAAATGTATTGCTCATAGAATTAAATCACCAATAAAAATAGTAGTTTGATTTGTTTAACAAACTTGAATTTTGATTGATACTTGATTAGAGGTAGAATAGGATCAGTGAATCAGTTTAAAACTACAAAATAAAACGTTATAAAAATGTGTACAAGTCTACTGAGATATGTTGATACAGGAAATAACAGGCTAACAAAAACATCAAGGTAAGGGGGGCCTGATCCAGGAGAAAAATTTGGCCTGAAATTTTCCCTATTACTGACATTAGTAAGTGTTTTACTGGTCAGATTAAATCTTGAAAAAATTGGCCTGAAATAGTCCCTATCACTGACATTAGTAAGTGTTTTACTGGTATTTTTAGACCACCACTATTACCAATGTGTCCTCTCCCATATCACAAGAGTTTCAGGCCCATGACTTCACTCTACCCCTGACAGATACTTTAACCTACACAGATAAGGTTTCCTACCACATAGCTGTTCCATAAGATATATGACCCCCAGACATAACCATATGATATATGACCCCCAGACATTGAACTGATATAGACTACCTAGCCAGATACCATCAGCCTGAATCAGCTGATGTTAGAAAAAAAAAATGTAAAGTTGGGTGTAAGATCTGACATATAGGAACATTGTAGTTATTACTCAGAAGATGGATTGTGATTGAGAATTTTTTATTTCAACAATCATTTAATTTGCAAGCTTTTTTTTTTACAAAGAAAAGGAAAAATGTAGTGTGCCAATTTGATTTTCATACAAATATTATTTCCTTGTATGTATCAATGAATAAAACAAGTTAGTTCCTGATAGAACTAAGCAAGCAGGCCACTTCAAGCAAGGTAGACAGGGTTGTTGAGTGCAGGGGAGAGAAGAACATGGACAGTGCTAAAGGGAAATAATCTAAGATTCTACAGCCTAGGAGAAAAAAAAGTGCCCTTCAACCACTATTAGGTAACTAGGGGAAGACAAGCTACACACACAAATTAATACAGTGACTCTCTACTCTACTTCAAACATTGCAAGAAGCTGACAACAATAGGAATTTTCAATGAACTCACACTAACATTACTAAAGAACAGACTCCAAGATAACATAGTGCCTTTTTTTTCTTTATTCTTTATTATAGAATAGGATTTATTACAACTCAACTGAGTGTAATTATATGGAAAATGTATTCAAACAGTATAATAAATATTTCAGAAAGTGAATTATTTTATAACCAATAAACACTCAGTAGCCATACACAAAATATGTATATAACAAAAAGTTGGTGGGAAAATGGTATCCAGTATAATTGGCCGTACAACGAAGTACCACTGAGCTAATCATATGGAGATCCATAGGGCAAATGGTAATTAATTTATTTAGGTAATGATTTAGAGTTTCAATGGGCTAATGATATAATTATTTCCACTGGTATACAGCTCAATAGGGCTCATGGTATTTTTTTATTTTAATTTTTAACCTTTTGTTTTTTTTTTTGTTTTTTTGTTTTATTTTTGATGTTCAAAATTATGTACAGAATTTGATGTTGATGTAAAGTAAAGTTTCGCATTTAAACCTGACAGTCTATGGGGCAAGTGAAGTAGAGTTCACTTGTTTCTGTGACCTCTCAGCACTATTCCCAGCTGACTTTACTTTCCCTATTATGAGTTAGGCACCCATCAGAGTTGGGTGGACTCAGGGACGGTCTACTGACTTCATCCCGGATTTGAACTCGAGACTTCCGGGTTAGCAGTCCAGCTCTCTAAGCCTAGACCACTCCATCCCATAGGGCTAATGGTATTTGGCTCAATAGGGCTAAGGGTATAGATTCCCACTGGGCTAAAGGTACACAGCGCAATAAGATAAATTACATATAGATCTAGTTTGCTTCAGCAACAAAGTCTGACTAAAAAGCTGCTGTAATAAATTGAGTGAAATTTGTTCTAAACTTTCAAAACATTTTACAACACCAATAACAGGCAAGCACATGCTGAACAGGACAAGGAACTCTCTAGTACAGAAAGTTTCGTTAAAAAAATTTAACATGCTTGATTTGGTCAGCTAAACCTGAGGTCAAGTAACTCTCTAGTACTGAAAGATTTGTTCAAAAAGTAATTTAACATGCTTCATTTGGGCAGCTACAACTGAGAAAATCTAAAACATTAGCGCTAAAACACACAATAACATGTTAGAGAACAATGAACTTAGTTCAAACAACATTATTTAAAACAGGACATGCAATAAAAAATTGACACAGATCCAGGGGTTAAAGCAACAACAAAAAATTAATTTGAGCTGATGCAAATAATGACTGCAGTTACGTACCCATATACTCTTGAATTCATGTCATAAAAACTGGAAAATGTGGATTGGAAAATCAAGGCAGCAAAAAAATAAAATAAATGAAAACAACCATCACATTAAGTTGCAACTTTTTTACCAATTAAAAAAAAATATTTCTGGGATGTTACATTTAGAAGCAAGAAGCAAAATCTGGACAAATCAACTAGTTCAGAAATTAAAGAAAATTGTCCAGAATTAGCAGTTGGGAGACTTGTTCAGTATTGTTTTGTTTATATCTGCAGACATTGGTATCAATATTGTTGCTGATTTTTTAAAAGAAGCTTTACAACATTTCAACTACAAGATTAGTTGCTGCTACATTATAAAAAGAAATACTGTCTAGAATTTAAGAGGCCTGATACCTTGCAATGAGATAAAATTTACTATGGAAGAAAAGTCAACATAGAATCACTTAGACTAGAACATAAGGCAAGTTCATTTAGTGGCCTATCATTTCACGTATTGGCCTACCCAACATAAGGCAAGTTCAGTTTATATAGTGGCCTATCATTTTATTTTCATGTCATCAAGGAAACCCAAATGTTGACAGCGGATTAAATTGGAACTAAGTTAATGTTAGGGTGTGACTTTATGGCTATGTGAAGTATTTTACTCAATATATAAAAGATGCTTTACATAATTACTAATTGGTGGATGTAGAACATGGCTAATGAGCTAAAAAATCAATTTTTTTTCTATATAGCAACTGGTAACTTATTTTTTAAAAATCAAGCCTATTTCATAATACAGAAATTTTGTGAAGAGAATTTTTTTGTTGCAACTTTTGAAACAACTCAGAAATCAATGATGTCCGTGGTTTAATGACAGTTACTGTCTAAATAATCAATTGTTGGATCGCATAAAATCAAACAAACAAGAGGGGAGGTAAGGGAGTTGATATGGGCAGTTAACTTCAGTGGTCGGTACATTAAATATTGGTGGTATGCTAGTGTTAACTTGATACTATGACCCCCACCCCCCATTCCTGCCTATACCTACCACTACTCCGATCAATAGTTATCAACAAGTTATAAACATAATAACACCTATACACATACAACCTCCCACACAAAATTAAAATTATGAAAAAAATAGTTAAATTTTGTTTATAAACATTATTTGAACACACATTCTACAGAATAGTTTAATATAAAGCAAATCTAAAATATAATATAAAATCTATAAACCTAAAATATAATATAAAATCCATAAACGTAGAATATCATAAAATCTATAAACCTACAATATAATATAAACTCTATAAACCTAGAATAAAACTCGCCACATCACAGGATGCAAGCTAATCATAAATACTTTGTTTTGAAGCTAGTCAATACAGTATGCTGATGTAGAATAGTTGTATAGACATACTCAGAGCGCGTAAAATTTTATGGGCCATCATGAGCCATGGGCCATTAGGAGAAATGGGTAACCAAGAGCCAGATTGGAAACCCAAGCCAAAAGCTTGGGCAGTAGGTTGAAACGAGCCAGATGTTGCCCATGTATCAGACCCCCCCCCCTCTCTCTCCACACAGCTGATGGACGTAAGGGACAGGGATAGCCACCATACTTCGGATTAACAACTTCATTACAAAGCTAGCTCCAGTTAGTTCATTTACAGGGTAATAAACTTCAACAACAGCTAAACTCATCCAAAACAAAATACATACAGACGTTATGTGGGATAAGCATGGCTGTACACTAAGAACCAAATACAAACCAAAAACAAAGCAGCTTAAATCTTACACCTTAAGGTAACAAGCTCACAAACAGGTTTATCAGGGAACACATGTAAGACAATGTGACGCACCTGACACAGACAAGACAGTTGTCACAAGTGCATTTTACAGCTGAGTTCTGCGCAGGTCTAGGTGAGACACCTGCAGTACAGTTCAGACACATGTGACAGGCAAGAAACCTGCGAAAACAAGACACCTGTGACAGGCAAGACACCTGTGACAGGCAAGACACCTGTGACAGGCAAGACACTTGGAGCAGACAAAACTGATAAAACATCTACTCACTTGTAATTGTCCTCCAGATTTTTCTTGAAAGTCACCTCCAGTATTTTGAAGATCTCAGGTGTAAAAAGGTAGATCCCACAGTTGATGGTTGTACTGACAAAGGTCTCAGGTTTCTCAGCATAGTGCATTATCTATGGGAAATTGTCAGCATTTTGTATTATCTTTGGGAAAATGTCAGTATTTTGTATTCTTTGGGAAAATGTCAGTATAGTGTATTATCTTTGGGAAAATGTCAGTATATTGTATTCTTTAAGAAAATGCCAGTATATTGTATTATCTTTGGAAAAATATCAGTATATTGCATTATCTTTGGGAAAATGTCAGTATATTGTATTATATTTTTGAGAAAATGTCAGTATATTGTATTTTTTAGGAAAATGCCAGTATATTGTATTATCTTTGGAAAATGTCAGTATATTGTATTATCTTTGAAAACAACGTCAGTATATTGCATCAGCTTTGGGGAAATGCCAGTATATTATATTATTTTAGAAAAAAATTGTCACCGTATTGCATTATTTTGGGGTAAGAAATGTCAGCATATCACATTATATGATGAGAAAAAAAGGTGATAAACTGACCTCATGTGTCTCCCTGTTCTCCACCATACACCCATAGGTCAATGACTGCTGTCTGGTTGCCTGGTGGAGAAACATTTTTATAGCAATTATAAAACTCTGGACTATTTAATGGTGACCAGTCATTTCTGCAACCTATAGATTTTTCATGGTTTCATAAACCTGCACCTACCTTAATCCCTCGTACATCAAACTTAGTCCCTAGCACTGTGCCATAAATCCCCCTCGCCCCACTTACCTAAGTCCCCAGCACTGTGCCATAAGCCCCGGGCCCCCTCTAACTTACCTCAGTCCCCAGCACTGTGCCATAAGCCCCCCCCCCCCCTTAACTTACCTCAGTCCCCAGCACTGTGCCATAAGCCCCCCCCCTTAACTTACCTCAGTCCCCAGCACTGTGCCATAAGCCCCGGGCCCCCCTCTAACTTACCTCAGTCCCCAGCACTGTGCCATAAGCCCCCCCCCCCCCCCTTAACTTACTTCAGTCCCCAGCACTGTGCCATAAGCCATGGGCCCCCCTCTAACTTACCTCAGTCCCCAGCACTGTACCATGTCCTGGGCCCCTTTAAGTTACCTCAGTCCCAAGCACCGGGCCCCCTCTAACTTACCTCAGTCCCCAGCACTGTACCATGTCCTGGGCCCCTTTAAGTTACCTCAGTCCCCAGCACTGTGCCATAAGCCCCAGGCCCCCCCCTTAACTTATCTCAGTCCCCAGCACTGTGCCATAAGCCCCCCCCCCCCCACTTAACTTACCTCAGTCCCTAGCACTGTGCCATAAGCACCGGGCCCCCCTAACTTACCTCAGTCCCCAGCACTGTGCCATAAGCCCCGGGCCCCCTCTCCCTGTGAAACGTGAGCATGTCCTGTAGAGGGAAGTCCCCGCACACATCAGCATTCATGACAAAAAACATTTCTGGGTTTCCCGTAAGGATTTGATCCCTGAAGTGGTACAGCCCCCCAGCAGTGCCGAGTGCTGTGTACTCCTGCAGGTACCTGGTGATAAGGTATATTGTTGACACGTTTATATTGGTGATACATCTATAGGTATTTGTTTTTATTAGTGACACATTTATATTGGTGATATATTTATAGGTTTAAATATTTAATGGTGACAGTGACAAGGGAAATATAACTGGTGATACAGACAAGGGCTTTAACTTATAACACAGGGTGACATAGGCACGGGTTTTAAAGTAATAGAGTATAAACACTTCTGTCAACGCCCAACAAACAAAAGACAGCATACAACCTACAAAAAAAAACAGACAGCACACAGCCAACATTAGACAACACCCAACCCACCAACATACAGCATACAAATACAACCAAAAACAAACAGCGCCCAGCTAACCAACAATAAACAGCACCTAACCAACACTAGACAGCATACAACCCACCAAAAACAGACAGAACCCAACCAACCAAGACCAGACAGCACCCAACACACCAACAACAGACAGTAGACAACCCCCCCCCCCCCCCCCCCCAACAGCAGACAGAATTCAACCCACCAAGATCAGACAGCACCCAACACCCAACCTACCTAATCTGTATCTGGAACTCCTGTTGAGACTGTGTAATAAACTGGTTCAGGGCATCGTTGCGCTGGTAAAAGCCTATCACCAGAATCTCTTTCAGATCTGGAACCTGAAAAAAACAACTTCACAGCTACAGCAGAGATTTGATACAGAGGTCCATGTTCCATCTCAAATAAAACAACTACCAAATCTTTTCCTGATCTAAACAATGTCTTACCTGTTGGCTGTAAAGTATTCATCATGAGGTTGAGACATAAAAAAAACAGACCTAAAAACTGGCTAAAATAAAAACTTTTGACTGCTGCAATAAAAATAACAACAGCCTTACCTTGCTACAGGCCTCAATGTGGTGGTAAATAATGGGAAACCCAGCAACAGGAAACAGGGGTTTGGGGAGTTCCAGGGACAAGGGACGGAATCTGGTACCTGTAGGGGAGATAATACATATCTTCAAAACCTCTAAGTTACATTATAGGTGCATAGAGTATTTAGGGGAGACAGGGCATTTTCATTTTCAAATGCAATGTTAGGTAAAATAATACTCAACATATACAGCTAGAGCGTGTGTTTTAAATAAAAAAAAACAGGTCAATGTAATACAGATCATTTGAAGCCTCAGAGTTTAAAATAAATAAATCCACCACTGGTCTTTATAGTGATTGTCATCAGTCAATCAATTCAACAGTCACCTTGTTACTGGTTGATTAACAATCAACACCATCCCACCCACCACTACATCATCATTTCAACACCAACTGTACACCCCACTACATCATCATCTCAACACCATCCCACCCACCAACACCATCTCTACACGCCACTACATCATCATCTCAACAACCCACACCATCTGACCCACCAAAAACATCTCAACTACCAACACACACCACCTCAGAAATGAAAACCATCCCAACCACCAAAACCATCTCAACAACCAACACAATCCTACCCACAAACACCACCTCACAAATCAACACTCTTTCAACAACCCACACCATCCCACCCACCAACCCATATGTCATTAGTTACAGCCACAGTTTCCATAGCAAACAAAACAAAACTAACAGGTGGTGTATTCTCATCAAATCTCTATGTACACTGTAATATGAAACTCAGACCATCTTGTGCACAAACACATGAGACAAGCCTGTACAACTGCTTGTCCCTATTTGCCTTTATACATTATAAGCAGAACTATGAATATAACCAAACAATAATAATGTATTCTAACATTAGCATTATTTGAAAAGATGTACTGTACATGCCACATACAAGAACTGAATATTCAAAAAAGCTGGCGATGACAAGGGCAGTTATATAATTATTTTTTTATTTTTTTTTTTGCAAATATGTTATCACGTTTTTACTCTCTGTATTCCCCAGTAAGGTGTCAATAGTCCAATTAAACTGTAGCAGCTCATGTAATTCTCTAAAGCATTAAACAATAATTCTTTTCTGTTAAAGCCATGAAAATAAAGACATTGAAAGTATGAGAGTAAAACAAAAGGTCAATCAATATATAAATGTAAGCCTTCCAGAAAATCTTGTTAAAAAAATGCTTTTACACTGTAAGAATTTTTTCATCAACACACTGGATGTTTTAGTTTTTTTTTTAGTTACAGGAGAAAGGTATGAACACTGTATTTGTACATGAAAAAACAACTTCTAATACTAACATTACTGTTAAGGGTGATATCTCCCCATCTGGAGCTGAAATAATCTCAGTGGGCGCTTTATGCTTCAAATGAAACAGGAGAGGGTAATCGGGTATTAAAAAATCAAAATATGGCCAGGGAAAACTTTAAGAAGCTTCATGTAATTCTACTGAGAAAATGAATAACATAAGGCCATACACATATTATGTGTTATAGGCCTATGTGTTAAATTTACTTCCTTTCAGTTCAATATTAAAAAACCTACGAGGTCAATATCCTTTAACTTTTAGTATATAAATGTGTCTGGTAGTTTTGGTGCAAACAACGTGCAACAAACTCTTCTGAAAATAGGTGAGTCAGCAGAATAGCTTTGAAATATTGGATTAAGTGTTGGGAGTCAAAATTGTATTATTTATGAATTCAATTGCTATGCATTTAGATCTACTAAGATCTTATTCTAATCTACAGAGTATCTAATTAGGCAGTGTATTGGTGCTTGCAGTGTCTAAGTACAGACTGTACTGAAAACAGATGTGTTAAATTGTTACTTATAATATATTAGGCCTTTAGTTAGTAGTATTATAATATTTATAATATTAATATTATTAGCTTTAGTACTTTAATATTGAATAATGGGATCAGAATATTGCGGTTGAGGTCCATTATGACTTTTTCCCACGTTTTCTTTAACTTGCTTTCGTCTCTGTTTGTCTTTCCAATCAAATCTTGCGATCGAAATTTCTGGCACTTCCCAGTTAGCTAGCGCGCTGAAATTTTCAGGGAAGCTTTGTTTTGGATGACATTAGAATATTCAATTGTTATTATTACTAAATTGATCCATGGAAACATTTTATTGAGCATTTTAGACCGCAATATAATCTATATCTATAATTCTCCTCTGCGAGCCATTAGAAAACAAGCTGCAAGCGCCTCCTTACAGTCCCCTCTCTTTCTCTCTATCACTATCACTACCACCCTACCCCACCCCCACATGGTCTGCTGAGCTGTGGTCACGTTAATGTTTACAAACCGTACAGCCAGGTTTATTGACGGCTATTAGGGGCAGATAATTTAGTTTGAACCGACTTTAAACTTACAGGAGGTAACTAAGAGGAGGCTGCTTTTACGGGGGGGGGGGGTGTAGGGTCGGGGTTAGGGGAAAGGAGGGGGATTAGTGTTTTAAAGCAAATATTTTCAGTGGCAGCATTGGTACTGTCGAATTCACAAATTATGAATTACTGAAAAGTAGAAAATAAATCAACTAAATAGCGGCGTATGATACGCCGCGGGTCGGCTCGTTGTAGTAAAAACGTGGGGAAAAAGGGACATAACCCAGTAACTGTAATTTGTGTACAAACAACCGTAACAACTGGTGGCCAGTATGGTGGAGACGATATGGTCGAGTGGTTGGGCACACGATTGCTATCCCACTCGACACGGGTTCAAATCTATGTGTTCTAGTCAGTAACGTATTCACACAACGTGTTTTTTACGAGTTGTCTTTTTACTAGTTGTCTTTTTACGAGTTGTCTTCGTTTACCCAAAAAAAAGTGAAAAGATAAAATCGATAGCAAGATTTTAATGCAAACAAACAGACAAAGACTAAAAAGTAGAAAATAATAATCATTAAAAAAGTTTTAAAAAACCCACGTTTTCTGATTGAACTAAAAAGTAGAAAATAAATGCTATACATCACAATAATGCAAGCGATCACTCTACTATAAGCGATCAAAAACGTGGGGCGCCGTGATTTTCTTACAGTTTCTAATACTGTTGACTCTCTACAAGCTCCCTAATAAAAGTCAATAGTATTATCTAATCAATAGTAATATAACTTTAAATTCGGCGCCCCACGTTTTTCATCGCTTATAGTAGAGTGATCGCTTGCATTATTGTGATGTATAGCATTTATTTTCTACTTTTTAGTTCAATCAGAAAACGTGGGTTTTTAAAAACTTTTTTAATGATTATTATTGTCATTCAGGCTTATGTTAAAGTTTGGGTTCGGTTAACAATGATATTACTCATACTACTTTACTTTTGTTATTTTGGGAGAATATTTATACCGGTGTCCAATAATGGAATCTTCTTTAAAAAAGGGGTGTTAGGTTACTGGTAGTTAACTAAATACACACATTGCTGGATGATGTCAATGCTAACCCTGTCCCTAACCCTAACCCCAACCCTGGTCCTACCATAAGCCGAGCCCTAATTTCTAACCATAAAATTAGTCGAGATTTCAATACTACTAACAACCCAACACCCCTTTTCTAAAGAAGATTCCATTATCGGACACCGGTATCTAAAATTCTAAAGGCCGGATCATCCGTTATTTTTTACTATAGAAAGTCAAAACGCTCTACATGCTGATATCATTCATCAATGATTATTTATTATTTAATTTAGCCTATTTTAATTTAAATTGTAGTTTGCAGCATTGTAGGACACTGGACCTGGTACATACCTACATTACCTAGATCTATTAGTAGTATTAGCTATTAGGCCTATTGTTACACTATGACTATTGTATTTCACTAGCCTAATCCAATGGCTATTCTATAGAATTAGAATTGATAGCATAGAAAATTAGAAATAGAATCTAGAATAGAATTTATTAGAATTGAATCATTGATGAATAAAAAATAATTTGATCTAGATTCTATAGGGCCTATAGGCCCTAGATCTAATCTAGATTCTAGATCTAATAAAAATAAAATGGATATGAATAATAAATTATTGTTATTAAGGCGCCTATTGAATTGATTGAATTATGAACAGAAACGTCAGGACATTTTTAATTTTAATTTTTACCTTTCATTGGCCCTCCAACAAGTATGATAGCTTTCAGCATTTTTGTATTTTAGTTTTGGCTTTTCCCACTAAAAATAAAGAAATAGCTTAGATGTAGATTTTCAAGCTAAATTAATATGTGCTAATATACAAAACAATATATTTAATTATATTTTCTTCTGTTAGCGAAGCAGCTAGCCTAAGCTAAGTGTACCGGACTAAAATAATAAACAAGTTGTCGGCAAGGGGTTATAACTAAAAACAGCAGAGAGACACGTATTAGTAGTCTTAAGAATGCTTTCCCTTTTATTGGTATTATTTAGTTTCGAATTTAAGTCTAATCCTTAATAAATTAATTTAAACTTATTATGTTACTAAAATAACTAAAGCCATAACATTTACTTCGATATTCAATTTCAATATTTTGAGTTGTCAGTCTAAATGATTCAATTGAGATTAGTCATTACTTGGTACGCTAATAAATAAAAGGCGTCAATGACAGGTCACACCCACATTCGAATATGCCTACGTGATAGACCTGGGTTACAAAAATCTCTCAACCGTAGCCTTTAATTTAATATTATTAGTTCTATATTTATAAAATAGGTGGTGGCAAAATGTTTGATTTTGCATTGTGTATTGCTTAATGTCTTGTATGTATTATTCTTGATAAAGGCGGAAATAATAGTAGAATATATTTAACTGGCCCATAAAGTGAATTGAATGAATAGATCGATATGGACCTTCAATAGCGTCAAAAGGCATGGTTTCAGAGTTTCTTCCAGGCATCTTTCCGGGGGGGGGGGGGGGGGGGGGGCTCCGCGTTTACCGAAGAGAGTCTAACACCCCCTCCCACGAACGAAATGGAATTTATATAGAAAAATATACTTTTAACAGTACACCCCCCCCCCCCCCGTAGAAAAAAGTCTGGAACAAACACTGCATGGGGTGCGTACCGGACCGGGTGATACCATTTAGGGGCTACAACATGAAGAAAAATTGTAAATTTACTGTAAAAACGATGTTTTAGTGATGGGAGAATGATTGAAGCAAGAAATTTGGCAAAAACGACGTCACTATTCTTTGCCAAATTTCTTGCTTCAATCATTCTCTCTCCCCATTTCAGATTTCCGGAGGGGGAAAGGACAACACTGGGTTGAGTGTACATTTTCTATCTATTTTTCGTCCAATGAGTGGAGGGGGGTTTCTGTGAGGGGATGGAACTAAAGACAGATGAGTTTGTTGAGATTAATTGCGTTGTCTCCCTTGATACAGTATTGAGTTCTAGATTAATTTCTAATCAATTGCATACTACTAAACTTAAACTGTAGGGAAAATGACTATCATTAGTGTATTATAAATCAGGTGAAATGTGTATTTAAAATTAATGTCTATGAGATTTTTTTATGTTGATGTACCTTTTTATATTTCAAATACAAAACATACAGTTGAAAAATGAAATAAAAGAAGATATTTTTTTATATAAACAAAAAGGCAATGTTTTAATGTTGGTAAATGAATTCATTTTATTTTTAAATTCAAAAAATAAATACATGTTACAGAAACTTACTGATTTTTTAAATACAAAGTTAAAATAGGAAGCTTTTGAATAACTTGAAAATTTCTACAAACATTTTCTACAATTAAAAACCTAATATAATCAAAATTTTAGCTTCAAAGCTAATTTATAATAAATATTTACTAAAGGAAACTTATTCACTAACTTTCAATAGCTGTTGCTAAGTGGTAAAACAATGACATGGAAATTAAAGAGAAACAATTTGTCAAGCTACAGGTATTCCTCACTTTATATTTAACAAGAATCAAACACATTCACACTCAAATTAAAAGTGAAGTTATCAACCAGGTTATACACTCAACAGAAGTATAACTGTAAAAATAACTCAGAAAGTTAATTAGCTGCTTTGTCAGTGCCATCTTTAAGAAAAAGATGTATATTTATTACAGCTAATTTAACACCAACAAAAAGCCTTCCATTCAACACAAGGCCATGAGCCAACCAATTCAATAAAATGTGAAAGACCTAAAATTTTTCTACAATCACTTCTTCTTTCCTGACAAACCAGCCCCAGCATTAAATTTAAAGAAAATAATATCTCCATCTTGTACAACATAGTCTCTTCCCTTCTGTTTGTACTTGCCATGGGCCTGTGAAATAGAATAAAATTAATGTAATGTCAGGAATTATACATGGGGATCGTCTAAGAAAAACTATCTTCAAAGTTTCATTTATCAACAGAATAATTTCTTTCCCCATCTGGATTAAGTACAACTATGATGCTATTGTTAGCCTTTATTTCCTTTTTATCTTTTAAAGTATCAAACTTTGTTAAGTGTCATGTAACTGCCATATTAAATTTTATAATGCATTTATGTTCGTATTTAAATTGTTAGTTAAAATATAAATAGAATTGGGTATTCGGTTATTTCCAGTATGATATTAAACACCATATGTAAATGCAGTGGTAAAACTAACCTTGCATTCAGCTTCGGATTTCAGCTCAAAGAAGTCATCGTAGGCCATTACTTCAGCCATGATGAAGCCTTTTTCAAAATCTGTGTGGATCCTACCAGCTGCCCCAGGTGCTTTTGTTCCAACCTAACACAACAGATTCAAAACAAGTTCTAGTCACAACATATTCTAAACAAGTTCTAGTCACAACATATCCAAAATAAGTTCAAGTCACAGCATATTCTAAACAAGTTCAAATAAACAGCATTTTCAAAACAATGTGTTGCAGTTACAACCTAATACCACATTCAAAGTTGTTTGAAATATGTTCAAACAGAAATACTTCACACTATTAATAAACAAAATAGTGTTAGTATTAAGTATCAGACATACCTGAATTGTCCATGCCTTAACTTCATCTTTACCAGATGTAAAGAAATAGATCAAATTTAGTGCCTTGTAGCCATTCACAATGATTTTCTCTAAAGCACTGTTAGATTGACAATATTTATATCATTAGCAAATGGAAATATTGAAAAAGGAATAAAATATTGTTAACAAAAGAAACAAAGGAAAAGAACATTTGTCTGTTTAAAAAAGTGAAACCTTATAACCATGGGTTGCTGGAACTCACCCATGCTCTTTCACTTTCCCCAAACTACAACAATATGATATCTATGAAAACTATGTCTAAACCAGAGTACCAAGAATGACCAGTCTGCAAAATACCATTATTGTGTTAACTTAAAAAAACAAAAGATGTAGACCTGGTTGTTTCATGCTCCTTGAGATAAGCATCCCTTTCCTCCTGTGTGGCCATGTCTAAAAGCTTTGACTCTAGAGCCCCACTAAATAAAATAACAGTAGCCCCATGGTCCTTAGCGTCAATCCATTCTTTAATCTTTAATAGCCTGAAAAAAAAATGGCAGCAATTTAAAGATTTATTCTAAGAAATTGCATTTGAATATATTGAAATTAGATAAATTCCATAATATAAAAAAGTATTATACAGAAAAGTCGAAGTGTTGAGATCCAAGTCTAAACAAAGACATTTGTTGACCAGATACTTGTAAAATTACAAAAACAAACAAATACAAATAAGTTTGACAGATCATTAAAAAACCAGATAAACTGACCATTTATTTTTCTTCCTAATGTAATCTTTCTCTGACAAGTTGACCAGGTAAATCACAGGTTTGGATGTTAGGAACAGATGCTGGTTAAGTACTTCAATCTATTAGAGAATCAATCATTGCCTGTATTAGTTTTTAAATTTTAAATTACAAACCAGTCTAAAATATGGTACCTAAAAATTCATTTTCCTGATGAAATTTTTTTTCTTCTGATTTAGAAAGAATTATATAGTATTTTTAAAGAAGAAAATAAATTAAAAAAAAAAACTTATAAAATGTCTGACGTAAAATATTGAAGGCTTACCTCTTTCACATCCCAAGCCACATTCCTCACCCACTTGTTATCATTCAGTGTTTCTTGAACTTTCTTTAAAACATCCTAAAATAAATTTTTTAAAGGCTTTTAAACATCCTAGAACTAACTTTAACACTAAGCATATAAAACTTTTGTTATAAAAACAGCAGTTTGAAAACAGTTGAGAAGAGAAAGCCTTTGAATGTACTCACAAACTCTTCTTTTTTCTTCTTGTCCCCTGCACCTCTTGTCACACTTCTCTCTAGAGGTTCCAAATGCTTGTTCAAATATTCCAGATCTTTCAAACGGATCTCATCATGGATGATTTCCAGATCACGGGCAGGATCTACGTCCCCTTCTACGTGTATGATTTCTTCATCAGAAAATGCACCTGGGAAAATAAATCCATCAATTCACTGCTCAATTTCAAGACAATATAAATATACCTTAAAATACTAAACAAAACTAACAACATAATAGGATGAATACTCCTGAAAAATACTTCAATTTTTCACTGATTTACTAGGCCTTAATAGTGAGGAAAGACACATACGGATACAATGAAATATGGCATCACAAGCACTGATGTTTGACAAGAAAGCATTGCCAAGTCCTTTTCCTTCATGGGCACCCTTGACCAGACCAGCAATATCAACAACATTCAAGAATGCTGGCACTTTGCTGCGAATAGAAACATGAAGACATTTAAATAGGCCTACATAACTGGTATCAAATGCTTTTTTTTTAAAACATAAAATTTTAGTATATATATTTTTAAAACCCCCAGAAATTATTAAATACCTGAGTGGTTCATAAGTTTCACACAGGAAATCAAATCTTTTATCTGGTACAGGGACACGACCTAAAACAGACAACACAAAATGGTTTCACATTACATCACATGTGGGAAGGGGGGGGGGGGGGGGGGCGGGCTTCATATCTTTATATATTTTCATGTTTCTATTATTTCATTTGATTTACTTCCACAATTCTTTATTTAGTTTGTATCTGGTAAATCTATACATAAGTATACTTTTTTTGGCTACAAGTTAGTACAATAGCAGCTAAGGAATGATGCATGTATAAAAATGAACAATATAGCCACATAAAATTAAAAACAAAATACATTTAAAAAAAAAAAACCAGATTTTTAGCAATATGTCTATTATAATAAGAGATATTCAACAAGTGTGGAAATAATAAATATGTTTGAAATCATTGAACAGAAATTCTTACTTTCATTTGGATCAATTGTGCAAAAGGGAAAATTTTCAGCCTGAGCCTGGCTCTTTGTTAGACAGTTAAAAAATGTAGATTTTCTGCAAAAAGGAAACATTTTGTTGTAATATTAAATAGCACACAGCATCATAGGAGCAACAACTCATAGAAATTTTTTTTAACAGGTACATGAGAAAATTGCAGCCAATTACCCTACGTTAGGCAGACCAACAATGCCTATTTTGAGATTGGTTCCTACTCTACCGATAAGTGGTGGTGGCTTGTCAGACTCATCCTTCTTCTTGGGTGGCATGATGGACTAATCAAACTCTGCAGTTGGAAAAAAAAATAAAGCCTAGACTAATATATATGAATAAAAGGGTAATCTATCGTTTTGGGTATGTAAAATCGTCCAAGGCTAGTAATGTGAAAAAAAGAGTGACTCATACATTTTTTGTAATTATTTCACATGTTTAGAAAGATTTATTTTAAAAGTTACAAAATGTTTCAAACTTTCATTCATGTACCTGTTTTTAAACAATTGTATTAAAACTTTTCAGTAGCCTAATAAAGTTTAGCTATGTTTTATTCGGATACAACCAAGCTCATTTAGAATCCATCTTATTTTTTGGAAATATTTAAGCTAGGATTCAGGGGAAACCACTCTAATTTACAGATGGCCGCTATTTATATAGCATATCTGGCTTGCAAACAAGGCTATTTTAAGTTTAAAGTTGATTAATTTAGACATTGCTTTTGGTTTATTATTTAATTATTTATTAAGTCTGATAGAGTACTGATATATTATATTTGACATAAAAATAATAAATATAAAATAATAGGCCTATAGTTTATAGGGGCCTACTTGTATTAATGAGCCACCTTTCTCGCACATTACTAGATTCTAGACAAGGCCACTTTTACATACCTAAAACGATAAATTAGATTTATTACTTAGATTACCAATATCAATAAGAATAAAAAGGGTAGTCTATCGTTTTGGGTAGGTAAAATCGCCCGCGGCTATTAATGTACAAAACGTTACCTCGTTGTCAAGGCTGTAATAGAATTTGTGTCAAATATTATAGATAAATGAATAATAAACCTAAACCAATGGCTAAATATATCAATATAGGCCAGAAATTAACTTTAAACAGCAGTGTCTACAAACAAGATTTGCTATATAAACAGCAGCCATTTGTAAAATAGAGTGACTTCCCCCTGAATCTCGCGCTAAAAGCTTATAAAAATAAAACTTAAACAAGATGGCTGATTTAATAAATGAGCATGGTTGCATCTGTTGGAAACATCGCTAGTCTTCATTTATTACGGAAAAGTTTTAATTCAATTGTTTAAAAACAGGTAGATCTAGAATCTAGATCTACATAAAAATGAAACAAGGAAACATTTTTGTATTTTAAGAAACATAAATCCACCTCAAAATGTGAAATAATTATTAAAATTTAAGGAGTCACCTGGTTTTCACATTACAAGTCGCGGGCGATTTTACGTACCCAGAATGATAGATTACCTAAAAAAGCTACAGACAGGAGGGTGGGAATGCTGAAGGTCTGGCTTATAGTGAGGATAGGCAAGGGGGAAACAACGGTAATAAAAAGTGTGACCCTTATTTAGGTAAAACTCCATTTTAGCGTATTTTATTCTCCGTTGCTTGTTTACATCCAGTTGAGCGTATTTTATTATAATAACCGAAACACACCAAAACATTAGGAAAACACAAATGTAATATTTGTATTGTGTTGTTGTTTTTCATAAATGAAAAAAAATGAATATTCAAAAAACACGACTTATTTATTTGTTTTGTATTTTTGTTTTAACAAATGAATAAAAACAACAAAGAGACTGACTGAAATGCTTTGTTTGTTGGTTGCAAAAATAGAGATGCACACGTACAAATAAGTGTTACAATTTCAACTAACAGAATAAAAGTATTAAAAGGCAAAAGGGGTCGTCCATAAATTACGTCACATTGTAGGGGGGGGGGGGGGTGTCCGTAATTTTGTGACGGTATGTGATGAGGGGGAGGGGGTTCAGATGGTGCGAAGTTACACTTTTGCATTATAAAAAAGCAATGTTAGAAAGCATATTCAAGACGTTATTTCGCGTTTTAGAAAACTGTTTTAATAAATTGTAATAGGAGTTGATTAAAATACTCTATTTTGACAGAGGCTGAGGTGTGACGTTATTTTAGGGGGGGGGGGGGGGTGTCTGGGTTTTTGTGACGACGTGTGACGGAGGGGAGGGGGAGGTAAAAATCGTCAAAAAAGCGTACGTGACGTCATTTATGGATGACCCCTAATAATGCTGCCGAAAGTGGGAGAGGAGGGGTGGTGGAATTCGGTGAGGGATGGCTTGGAGTGTTAGAGAAAGTGTGACAACTCACGTTACCATTTTAAAAAATAGTGTTAGACACTAAATTCCATAAATTATTTCGCATTTTTAAGGCTGTACAGAAATAGACTAATATAACTAATAATGTAAAAAAATGCAATCGTGATGCATGAATTTAAATAGTAAAACGAACAGCTAAATAATACAAATTTTCAAATTTATTACAGGGATCATTCATAAATGACGTCACGCTTTTTAAAAACGATTTTTACCTACCCCCTCCGGTAGCGTAGCGGGGGGGGGGGGGGGGGGGGGGGGGGGGGGGACATATGACCCCGGGCGCCGACCTTAGGAGGTGCCAAAATGGGTTGGAAAAAAATTGAAAGGTTGGGGAGGGTGCAAATCGAAAGTTTGAGGGTGGGGGGTGCAAATCGAAAAGTTTGTCCCCGGGAAGGGTCGCTACGCCTCTGCCCCCCCTCCCCTCCGTCACTTACCGTCACAAAATTGCGGACCCCCCTCTCCCCTACGAGTGTGGCGTCATTTATGGACAACCCCACATCATTATTTTTTTTTACAGTCAGAAATTTACTCATACAAAAAATCATACTTGATACATAGATCTATATCAAAATATTGGAAGGATGGTAGATTTACTATGAATTTAAATAACATACAACTATACAACTCTATAGTAAAATACTTTTTTTTTTAGTTTTGGCAAAATTTTCAAATTAAAAAACACAAAGTTTGTACATTTATTTATAGCATAAATACGAAAATATCATACAGAATAATTAACAGTGTATCAGCTTCACCATGAGACAAATGCCTTTAAAAAAATACAATACAAATGAAATAAACATGTCGTGTTTTTTAAATATTCATTTTTATTCATTTATGAAAAACAACAATACAATACAAATATTAAATTCGTGTTTTCCTAATGTTTTGGTGTGTTTCGGTTATTATAATAAAATACGCTCAACTGGAGGTAAACGACAAGCGGAGAATAAAATACGCTAAAATGGAGTTTTACCCCTTATTTAATAGGGAGGCTCACTAACTTAAAAGCGTCCTTGGTTGCTAACCAGAACATGGCGTAAGGATCGGACCATGACTTCCGGCGAGTTTTTCGACTTAGTTCCAGAGACCTTCTTAGAATTACTTTTAAAAATGTTTATTACGAGTAAAATGGCGGGTTTTCACGTTATAAAAACATGCTATAGGTGGCAAGGCTAAATATGCCAGAAAAGCATTTTCAAAAATTGCTTTGGGGAATGTAGGCTAAATTTAAAGTCGGTGTCATTCAAAATAATATAACTTTTTAAATATAGATCTCCCTATCACAAAATTGATTTCCAAAGTAAAGCATTATTAGTTTTATCATTCTATGAAAAAATAAATCAAATATCTTCAACACTTTTTTTATATGATGTGTCCAAAAAATGACAACCAATTTTTTATATTTTTTTTGACCACGTGACCGCTATTTGAATGGATACGTTTACCTGGCATGGTTTTTTATTTTGCTCTTTTGTACAATAAAAATTGTTATAAAATTAAAGAAATAAAAGAATTCAAACATCACTTCTGTCTTGTCTTTTTTAAAATTTATTTCTGATGACATTCTCTTAATTTTTTTTCCTCTATAAATATATCCAGACGATAGACGGGCCAAGTCTACTTTTAGGAACTCTCTTGTGAAAAAAAATTAGATCTATTTCACGGTCACTTAAAAAGTTAAACCTTTCAACTTTTAACCAGGTTGTCATGGATGATCCGTCATATCATAGCTGTGAGTGACAAAACATTTTAAAATTCAATAATTTAGTCTAAACTCGCTACAACCCCCAAATTAGTGCCTAGAGGATAAAGTATGGACGTTTTTTATTCAGTTGTCATGTTTAAACTGAGAATTGAGTAGATTTCACATATAGTAAGAAAAACTATTATTTAATGTATATCTAATTACTAATGGGTCAGAATTAAGTCCTAGAGATCTAGATTTGTCGCTAAAGTGAATTTTATGTGAAACATTGAGGATTGCTGCATTAAGAACTCAGTGCTGAGTGAGTGCATTGCATGCGATTGTCACTTGTGCCATTCCAGTCCAGTCCCTCAAATCAGACAGCAAGTAAACTAGTAAATTTAAATTTACGAAATATTAGTTAGGCATGCACGTCAAGGTAGCGAAGAATGTTATCTGTTTATAACTTAACTATAAATCTCTAGATCTAGATTTAATCTACGTACACCGTTCTTTACGTTCAGCGAATTAGTACCGCAACGCGTGTATTTCCCAATATGGCAACAATAACAGTGGTGTAGTTCCGGTTCATTACTTCCTCCAATGAGTTAGAAAAATTCGAAATATTATCGTTTGGTTTATAATTTTTATACAATAATCAGGCTATGGTAAAATATGTAGCTTTATTAGTACATTTTGTACAGCTAGCATGGTAGATAGTCTTGAATTAAGATATACATATATTTAAACCATACTACAGTGCAAGAAGAGTGGGTACCACAGATTATAGCAAAAAAAAAAAAACAACTCATGTTCTTCTGGAATGAAATGTGTCAATTTTGTTAATTCTCTTGAACTTCTGCTCCTTAAACACATGAATACTATACATTTTTTATTCAAATTTTAGCTATTTAGCTAATTACTAACTAAATTGATTTTTAAGTTAAAGTGTTCAACTGATAAGCCTATATATGGTACCATAGTACCATATTACTGGCAGATTAGTCTCTAAGAAAACACACAGAATCATTACTGATTTCTGGTGATAATAAAAGTTTAGGCAACAATTAGAAATAAGCCAAGGATAAAATTTAGGTTGGATTAGCTTAGGTAAACTATTGGTCACAAGGTGGGAACTAATGAAAAGACATATAGCCTGACCAATGAGAAGCAAGATGACCAGTCACAGACAGTTGAGCAGTAGATAGCAAGTCCATAATAATTTGTCAAGGATGTAGGTTATGGTCAAGCAATTTAGAAGTAGGAGACAAAACAAAATAGTTGATAGGAAAACAGTGAGTTATAAAAGAGTAGATAACATTCAGCACAGGTTGATGTTTGTAATAAATAATCTGTTAATGTTTCTTAATATGGAACAATGGAAGCTGTATGACAAAGCTGGACATGTACTCTCCCTGTATTCCATGACTAAATAATTTTAACTGACAAAACAGACTAGATACTACTACCACCTCTGCTGTAGCCTTACTGATTCCTTGTTTTACTTTGATTGATGTTCTTAATTATTTAATAATTAACGAGATAAATTTGGAGCTCCTGATTTTAGTTTTTACAAATTGAACGTCCTTTAAAATTATCCAATTTCTCAACCAAAACCCAACATTCCCTCAGATTAACAACAATTAGACATAACAATAATAAAGACAAAGTCTAGGTTAGAGCAAGAACTGTTTAATGAAGAGGAAAAAACATTTATCTCTAGGGCATATTGCACAAAAGTGGTTTGGTCCACAGTATGGAAGTCTACAGCAGTAAGAAAAATTTTCTTATCTAAACATTGATGTCACTAGGGTTGTTATCTCCACAACCAGAAGAGGTCACAATTATGTGCTGCACTAAACATAAAACAATGAGATGATTAGGGGGAATATAGAAAAATAGTTAGTATAAAAAATTTCCAACATTCACAGATTTTCAAATTACGTAGTAATCAAAAAACATACGTTGCTTATAAAAAAAAAACTAATTTTTTCACTGAAAGCATATCTAAATTTCCTCAGTTTATGTTATTTTTTTTACTACTTTTAAATGATCAAACAACATTCCTCAGAACAAAGCGCCAAAATAATAATAATTTTAAAATACCACAGATTTAATCATAGTTAATTTGTATTTAATGGTGCAAAAAAAGTTCTGCTAATGCCTCAAACTCGATTTTCCTATAATGAAGTTATTTTAACTTAATACAAGTCAGCTTTCATACAACTTTATCGAGGATAAAACTCCAAGATAAAGTATTGAAAAGGTAAGTAGTTTAGACAAAGTGCCTAACATTTAAATTTTATCAGGCTTTGTCAACAATGGCCACTTTATCGATGTTGAAGATGCATTACAATGGGAATGTAACAAAAAGAAAAACACAGCAGGGAATGTGGCATCAGACACTTATTAAAATTCTGTCATACAGTTCTGCTTCCGATCTCGCTAAATATCACCACTAAGTTATATTAACAAACTAACAAATCCCAAACTACAAACACTCATAAAAAATGGTAAACAAATGTTTATCATACAGAAAAAAAACCAATTAAAAAACTTTAATATTTATTAAGCAATAGATTTATACACATTAGTATTTAGAATTAATATTTTCATTTCTGAACTTATTTATCAAAATCTTTTGTTGATCTAAAGTACAAAAATGAATATTTTAGTGGCATCCTTAAAGAGAAAATACAATTAGCTTGTATTTATATCACTGAATAACTTTGTGGGTATACTGAGAAGTTCAAAATAGCACAGCATTTTCTAACAGGTCTGCACTTTGCCTATATTTGAAACCAATTTTTGGTATAGTCAGTAATTATTACTCAAATATAATACACCCACTAAGAATATTTTGGATATATATACAAACTGACATGCAAATCACAATTTCTATGTACAAAAAGAAAACAAAAAGTTAATTTGTTTCTAATCTACCCTTGAAACAAGTGTTGATGTTTTACTGAATGATATTAATAGCCAGAAAACAACTACAATATAAGTATTCATATTCTCTGAACCAGCTGTATATAAAGAACTTCAAAAACTAAATACTGTATTCTGACTTAGATAAAAACAAAAACTATATTGTCTTACACTATATTGAATAATTGAGCAAAAACATATAAGACGAATTTAATTTAAATTTTTTTTACAATTTTATGGCATAAAAAACCTCTTATAAATGACATCTCTGATTTGTTTTGACTCATCTATTCCATTAAAATGTAATTTCTAACACTCAAGAGGTTTATAATTAGACACAACACTGAGGCTAAGAATTACATGAATTAATTGAATAAAGAATTAAAATCAAGACCAATTTTTAAAATACTAGTAAAAATCCATTTAACAATCGTAATGAAAATAGAATTAAAGCTAAAAGTTGTACACACTATTCATAAAACAAATCAGAATTATGACCATAAATTGACACAAAATTATAAGTTTTCTAATTTATGATGACTGGTTAGGTCAGTTTCTACCAGAATTAAAAAAAAATGACAATAAAAATTTAAGTAATGACTAATTCTAATCAAATAATTTTTAAAAATATAAATAGAAAAACCAGATGTGGATTTTCACAATGAAAACTAGAGTTTTTTTAAATAAAATATTTAATTACATTAAAACTTAGCTAGAGAGATATTCATCACACTGCATAGCCAATGGCAATACATGGGAGACTGAGGCTGAATGAGCAGAATACTCTAGCAGTGAGTGGCCTCAAAAACTAATAGCACCTACATCTTCCAGCAGATTTATCAATTTCTCAGCCCTCTCTCCAGCAACCATCTGGAATAAATAATATTCTTTTCAGTCAGAATAAAGATCTCATAATGCATGATGTGACTTTTAAAAGGATGTATACCTATATTAATAATGGATAGTATAGGGCTTTTAACAGAAATCTTAAAGTAAAAAAACAACAAAGGGGAAGAAGGGAAATAAACCTCAATCATGAAATCAATGAACTTTGTTAGAACAGATGAGGTAAGGTAGACATGCAGAGAAATGAATGTTTAGATGAGGTATCAAGCAGGTTTAAGATGATGTGCCAAAATATACAGAGAATAAAAGTAAACATACATGTTTGGCTATGTCCATGAATGTGATTAGAGTTTTGATGCCAATAAATAACCTGGAAATTAAAAAAAATATTATTACATTCTTATAGTAAGTACTCACAATTTAAAATTATTATAAGCAAACTCCTAAATGTAAAACAGATACTTTGAGGTGACAAGAATTAGGTCTATGTGAACGTTCACAGATCAACATTATTAAACTTATGGGTAGAGAAAACCATCAAATACATATTTAAAAAAACCTCAGCTTAGGCTTACTTAACTTAATAGGTATTTAAATCACAGTATTTGTATTTTATAAAATTAGCAGGCCAATCTCTTAGCAGTAGAAAACAATTTAAGAAATAAGAAAGGAGTAATTACTGACATAGACTATCAGAAATTATTATATTTTTCACTTTCCCTTCAATAAAAAACTGTTTTTCAAACATTTTCAACAATTTTTGTTTAATTTAGAGAAAAAGAATTTCATGTCATAGCTGCCATCTTTAATGGATGACACCTATAAATGACTCAATACACAGAATAAAAACTGCCTAATTGCTTGTGCCATCATTAATGGATGAGGCCTTCTATAACTTATTCTATACACAGTTTTTAAAAAATAGCCTTACTGCTTGTGGCTTGTCTTCATCTCTAACTCTGTTATCTCTTCACTGGTGAAGACCTCAGAGTCCCTGAGTACACGCACCAGCTGCTCCGATGTGCTGACAGAGCTGACGTGGGCCACAGTCCTGAACAGCGAGTACATCTCTAGGTCCTGCAGGACGTCCTTGCGCGAGGTGGTTCCAATGATGAGCAGCTTGTGGCCCTGTTGATGACAAGCATCACTGGTACATTTAGACTAACCAAAAAACTTAATAATACCTTTGTAGAAACCACGCAATAATGAACAATGTTAGCACCAAGAAAATTAATACATCCTGCTAAAAGTTATTCCAACCTTTGGTGGGTTTTTCTTTAGCAGAACTAGCATTGCTTGCAGTACAAGATTTGAGAAGCGAGGACCCACAGGTACATAATCTGAAAATTTGAAAAGATGTCACATGAACAAAAAATAGAGACATCAAGTTGTGTTCATAGCACCAAATAAAGGGAAACTAACCAACAAGAAATAATTTATTTTTTTTATTTGTGTTTCAAACAAATATACATTATTTTTAAACAAAAAGTCTAGCCTTATGTGATTGATTTTTTTTTTCATTAAGTATAAAAATTACAAGTATAAATATAATTTCATTATACTCTAATTACCCAGCAGTCTTTCTATATCATCAATGATAATACAGCTTAGAGGAGATTTGTATGCATCATCAAATATCTGTTTAAAAAAATTAACAAAAGGAATTTAAACACAACTGAATAATACTAATGAAGATTAAACTAGATGTATATTTTAAATTGAGATTTTAAAATAAAACATTTAAATAAGCAAAGAAATTGTTTTCTTAAATCTTTAAAATTGGAAAAGCTAAAAGTAATGACATTTTTTTTTTGGCTTCACTTACCTTCTTAATGACCTGGCACTTGGCTGCCTCAGTGTATCCAATCATGTTCTCAGGTGTGCACAGTTTTAAGAATGGAAGATCAGAGTCTTTAGTGATTTTAGCAGCCAGTGCTGTTTTCCCTGTGCCAGGTGGGCCTGCAGAAGATTAAACACTATGTGATAATTCTGTACCTCAAGAATTAACTCTTAGATGGCTGTTTTAAATGAATGACATAGCTACAGCAGGCCAAGCTCAACCTGGACACAGCTCATGAAAAACAACGCTCACCTTCTAGCAGCATGGTCATTAGAGAAATCTGGTCACTGTTTTTAATCTCAGTCACCATGAGGTCACCAGCGGCCAGGACCCGGTTAACCGGTTCTCCCCAGTTTAAGATGCCCTGGGCCAGGAAAAGATCCAGCTCTTCTTTACTGCTGCCAAATGCCTGGAGCAGGACAACAAGATGTCAGGGGGTGCTACAATGTTTACTAAGTTTTGTAGTTACATCAAAAGATAATGTCAGGGGGTGCTACAATGTTTTTTAAGTTTTGTAGTTACATCAAAAGATAATGTCATTGCTTGTTAAGTTCTGTAATTACATTGAACTATTTAAGCTTAAGTTATCTTAACCATAACATTGGTAATATCAATGGTATTTACATTTCAGAAATAAATATGTTTATTACAAAAAACTGAATGGGGTGTTATGTTAAGGAGATAAGAGTTCAGCACTGCTAACTCAGAAATTTTAGTGTTAGGTTCCGAGACATAGCACGTCATGAAGTTACCAAACTATGATGAGTGTCTTAGTCAGGAATTTGTCAACATCTATAATATGTACAGTGTGCACCTACACATCCCAGCAAGAGATAGTGAGTGTGTCCATTATGATAAGACTACTCACAGGTTTAATGTCGTACTGGAGAGCATGCATGAAATCTAACAGATAGTGTCCACTATGATATGACTACTCACAGGTTTAATGTCGTACTGGAGAGCATGCATGACATAGAACAAATAGTGTATCCACTATGATAGTGTGTCCACTATGATATGACTACTCACAGGTTTAATGTCGTACTGGAGAGCATGCATGACATCAAACAGTGTCCACTATGATATGACTACTCACAGGTTTAATGTCATACTGGAGAGCATGCATGACATCAAACAGTGTCCACTATGATATGACTACTCACAGGTTTAATGTCGTACTGGAGAGCATGCATGACATCAAACAGTGTCCACTATGATATGACTACTCACAGGTTTAATGTCGTACTGGAGAGCATGCATAACATCAAACAGTGTCCACTATGATATGACTACTCACAGGTTTAATGTCGTACTGGAGAGCATGCATGACATCAAACAGATAGTGTGTCCATTATGATATGACTACTCACAGGTTTAACCATTAATGTCCCATTCATTCTACCAAAACTCCACCCATGACGGCCCAATGTAAGGAGCATAACTCTGTATGATCAAGTGAATAGTTTCACAAAATATTTGTTTTTGTCTAAATGAAATTTAAAATTAAGATAAAAACTACTGCTTAATGTTGGGAATAAACCTGGCTTTCCAACAGTATTAAATAGAATATATTATATTCGGTACAAGTACAGAATAAAAATAAAAAATGTCGGAGAAAATTCAAAACTGGTCATTTTCGGTAGTCAACTTTATTTATTTTTGTCTAAACAACTATGCATCGAATTTAACAGTTAAATATCAATTTGGTTATGTTTAAGATATATAATTCATAAAATACATGCCTAGATACGTTAAGAGGCATTATTTTATTTTATTTTTAATATTAAATCTACTAAAAATAGGACAGATGAGTCAAAAATTTCGAGATAGAAAGAAACTTTTATTTTTTATCTTTCAAAAGCGCCATTGAAGTTAGAAGACCGGAAAAGGATGCTGAAAGTATCCGACTTCCTGTTTGGTTAAAAATTAGGATTTGTAGGCCAAATTTTAATGAAACAAATTTAATTTTTCTATGCGTATTGTAAGCGGGCGGCAGCGGGCGTTACGGGACATTAACGGTGTCGGGCGGCAGCGGGCGTTACGGGACATTAATGGTTAATGTCGTACTGGAGAGCATGCATGACATCAAACAGTGTCCACTATGATAGTGTGTCCACTATGATATGACTACTCACAGGTTTAATGTCGTACTGGAGAGCATGCATGAAATCTGCTCTGGTGATCTTCAGCTTCTCTATGGCGTCAGTGTCCACCTCTACCTTGGATGTAGCCTGGAGGAAACAAACATTGGTTGATAGATGAAAATTTAACTCCCTGTCAGAGGGCTACAAGAATGATAAGTTTTGTATTCACGTTGAGAAGTACTTAACATTTGTATACTCAGTTAAAAAACATTTTTTGTTAGTGGACAAAAAACATGCGAAGATTTTATAAAAATTCTTCAGAGATTTAGTGCTGGAACCAGCTAGAAAAAAGGTATAGTTTTAAAAATTTGGAGAAAACATGTGATAATGTAATAAAGTATTATTAAAATAAAAACCGAACTCTACAGTTTAATACCAAGTTTTAGGGTTAGCTTTACGGTCAGGGTTAAAATAAAAGTGAGTTAAAATCCCCTATTTAACAATACTAAAGTAATAAGACAAATAGAGTTGACTGGAGCAGCATTAAAAGAGGTGACGAATGTTCTACACATTTGATTTGACACCTACTTTAATCAGACGATTCATGGCGGTGGACTGGGCGGCACGCACTAAACCCTCAATCTCAGCTCCACTGAAATTTTTAGTTAGGGATGCTAGTTCATTAAGGTCAACATCTTCAGCCATTTTTTCATGATTCCGCATCCTCTCGGTGTGGATGTTGAGAATCTGGACACGCCCATGCTCGTCAGGGAGACCAATTTCCATCTGGACCTCAAGACGCCCAGGTCTGGTCAAGGCTTCATCAATCATGTCTTTCCTGTTTGTCATACCTGGTGTACGATTTTTAAAAAAGACATAGTAAATATGTTAGGGTGTTGTATGCTGAGAATATGTTAGGGTGTTGTATGCTGAGAATATGTTAGGGTGTTGTATGCTGAGAATATCACTCAACTAACAGATTCTAACTTTGGTGAGATATGTTGATAGAGAGAGAGGTGAGTTTGGGGTAAAAAATTTAATATGGAAAACATGGTAATTTTTAGAATCATGGTTACTTGTCATGTAATTTTAAATTTTAGAGGGTGCGGAAAGATCTGACTTAATGTTAAGTGCTACAATAGGGGAGACAAAAATTCTATTTAAAATTTTTATTTTGCAGTATTGTTTTTTTTTTTTGCTGTATTGTATTGCAGAGTAAAATGAGTTGAACTGACCAATGACCAGTATATTATTGAGCTGCTCAACACCATCCAACTTGGTCAACAGCTGATTGACCACAGTGTCATGGACAGCTGAGTTACCTGCCTGGAAGGTGGAAAGACAATTTTAGCCAATCATAAATGTCGGAGTGACTATATTAATTAGTTATCATTAATGTGTTATCATACGAGACTGATGCATTTTAAAATTTGAATCTTGAAATAGTAAACCTTACCACAGAGCCTCTCGCTTTACAAATGGCATCAATCTCATCAAATATGATTATGTGAAGCCCACTCGCAGATCCACTCTGGAAAACATAAGCAGAAACACTTTCTATGTGTGTACAGAACAAGTACATTTAGATTACTTATTTTAAAAACAAATATGTACATTAAAACTTTAATGTTTGTGAGCTTAAAAATATTTAAGATGTAAAAATATATAAAATTGATGCTATATATTAGTGTAAAAATATGTAAAATTGATGCTATATATTAGTGTAAAAATATATAAAATTGATGCTATATATTAGTGTAAAAATATATAAAATTGATGCTATATATTAGTGTAAAAATATGTAAAATTGATGCTATATATTAGTGTAAAAAATGGCTTTACTCTTTTTTCCTCTTCTTCAGCAGCAGCAAAAAGTTTTCGGATGTTAGCCTCAGATTCACCCACATACTTGTCTAAAATCTGTGGGCCGTTTACTATCTGAGGTTCTCTGGCATTCAACATCTTGCCAATTTGTCTGATGAAAAGATAGGATTATAATAAAAATTATGTTGGTTTTTAATCTTTAAAATAATAAATGAAGTATGTATTGAGTCTAAGAAAGTTTTGAGTAATTTAACTTGTAAAAGCTAAACTTACCTGGCCATCAGAGTTTTACCAGTACCAGGTGGGCCATAGAGTAGTATACCTCTCACATGTTTCATACCTAGATAAACCAAATTCATTCACTTAATGATTTATTTTATAGAATGAGGACACTCATTTTTAGCTTTAAAAATTATATCATTAAAGGAAAAAAATAAAAAGTTTAAAAGAATTGATAGAAACATGAAAATGGTATAAACATAATTTACCCAGCTGCTCAATGACATCAGGGGGAAACACTCTGGAAGCAAAAGCTCTTCTAAAAATACCACTGAACTCATCATCAAGACCACCAATGCCCAGCTTAGTGAAGTCCCAATCTGGGTTTATAATGGAGGTTTGTGCCATTTTCCTAGGACAAAGGTACAAAATATTTCACTGCATTTGTTACACAACACATTTTTAAAAAATATAATTAAAAAAAAAAGCAACTAAAGTAGACTCAAAGCATATTTTCTATACTCTACTATTTTAAAAGAACATTAAAAGTCTGTATACTGTGTGTACTTACCCTTTTGATTTTCCTATAAAATTAAGAAGTGACCCTTCAGTTTTTTCAAACACTATCAGGGAGTTTGGAGTAAGGACGCCATACCTTGACTGAAATTTAAAAAAAACCCAGCTATTAACAGCTAATAACATTGTTTTCTTTACCACAAAAAAATAACTGCTTGGTTATGTTCCATAAGTTTTCAAAATTTGCGAGGTCATTTAAAAGTATATAGACTATGAATACTTCATTCTACAATTAATATAAAAATATTTTTAAAAAAAACATCAACATTAATAATACAAACCACTTTTGGTACTGGAGCCACATTTCCTTTAGCATCCACCTTAGAGAAATCAAGAACTGTGGATGATAAGAGGCAGCCTTAGTAAGGACATCATGATTAGGAATAATGGGAAATACCCTCATTCGTACTTAAAACAGTAGTAGAGCATCTAGTGCGAGACCGACAGTCTTGAGCTCGAATCCGGGTTCAAGCAAGTAGAATGGACCTGAGTCCACCCAGCTCTGATGGAGAAAGTAAAGGTGGCTAGGCATAGTGCTGTCAACACTATCCCTTCATATGCCGAGTTCGCAGAAACAGGTGAACTCTATTTCAATTGCCCCATGGACTGTCAGGTTTGAAAAGGTAATGTTAGATAAAGCAGAGAACAGCTAAAACTTTTAAGACATACATTTTCTTCTGCATTCATTCAAGAGAAAAATTTGACAGATTTACCTTGTATATCCTTGACGGTGGAAGAATTCTATTTTTTGTCATATCAGATTTAAGCAACAGAAAAATTTGACAGATTTACCTTGTATATCCTTGACGGTGGAAGAATTCTATTTTTTGCCATATCAGATTTAAGCAACAGAAAAATTTGACAGATTTACCTTGTATATCCTTGACAGTGGATGAATACAATTTTTTGTCATATCTGAACACAAGTGGCTCGTCAACTGAGAAACATCTGTTGACAAACAACATGGAGAACTCCAGCGCCATTTTGTCACTGTCAATGGTTGTGTTCTGTTGGCTGGAAATTAAATAAAATTCATCAAAAACTGATAATCTAACCTATCATAAAAAAGCTGATCTACCAATAAAAAATAAAATACTGATCAACATAACATCAAATACTGATCATCTAACCTATAATTAAATAAACCGGGAGTGATCTCCCCTAAACTTTCTCGAATATTCTTATATAAAATAACAGGGGATTGGAACTCGGGCTATAGACATGATTTTTAATCCATTTTAAATACTTTTAAATACTTAAAGTTTTAAAAATAGAATAAAATCTTGTAGACAAAAGAATTGCACACCAAGTGAACGCCGAATAATAGTGCGCAATATTATTAGTACTTTAAAAATTTGCATTAGTTTTTTGAGAAATCGGAAGTAGCATAAATTACTTCCGGTCAACGGAAATTACTCAAAATTTAACAGAAGGTAGAGAATTAGATCTTTTACTTACATGTGAAATTTCATTTATCTATCTGAAATAGTACTCAAGTTATAGGCTTTTGGAAAATTCAAAGTAGGAAAAGTACCACTTGTGGTTATCGGAAATCGCTCAAAAGTTGATACGGATCTACGATTTTGATAAAATACTTATATATGAAATTTCATCAACCTAGCTGTAACGGTACTCAAGTAATCGTGTTTACACACGGACACACACACACACATACACAGACAGACAGACAAGGTTGCAAAATTATGTTTTTCCGTATCAGTGAGGTGTAGAACGTCGAGATTTGTAAAAATCTCGATTTTTTTTTTTTTGCACGATTACAATACTTTCTCTATACTTCGTATATACGAGAAAGTAAAAAACTGATCAATAACATAAAAAACTGAACAACTAACATAACGTTAAAAACTGATCAACCAATTTAACACCAAAAACTGATATACCAATATAAAATCAAAAACTGATCAACTAACATGACATCAACAACTGATCTACCAGCCTATAAGTAATTAACCATTTTGAAATTTAGGACAATAACATTAATAAGTTGTATAAATGGACTTGCCCTTTCTTGGTGAAAAAGTCAGTCTCCAAAACAATTGTTCCAATGCCATATAGCCTTGAGTTTAGCTTTGCTGCCTCAACTTTAATATCAGAGTTGAGCATAATGCTTGCCCATTTGCGCTGATATAAAGTGTATAATGTGATTATATTGACAGTGCATTATTCATGTTAAAGCAGTCAAATTATTTAATAAAGCAATAACTATTTTTATTTTTCAGGGGGTTTCAAGTTCAACATTCTGAACTTACATTTGATAACAAATACATAATGCATCACAAGCACTTAATTTACAAAGAGAAAAGAACTTACATGTGAGGCGTTAAATCCCATTTGACCTTGTTTAATAGAAGGATCAGTTTTTACTCTATACAGAAATGGGTTGTGATCCACAGAATAAACATTAATATAGCTGAAACAGAGTGTTTGGACAGGATAAATGGACGACCTATTAGCATTAAAAGCATGAAAACAGTTCTGATGGTAACAACAGAATGGAGTATATAAAACAGTGTACAGCTTTAAGAAATAATAGACTTTTTAACCTAAAAATGTATGCGCTTAGGAAATATCTAAAGTGAAGAGGAAAAGAGTCGATCAATTCAGATGATGCAAAGCCAAAATTATTTTATCTTTAAAATTAGAATCGTTCAATTGAAAGTTTATAAATATATTAAACATATTTATGAACTTAAATCTAATTTTAAAAATGGCAACAGTATACAATTATTACGATATTATTATTACCTAAAACTGTACACATAAAAATATATAATTTTTTCTCAATAGAGAATTATAAGAAAATGTTTTCAATAATCTAATTACCTCCCATCTTTGAAATCTCCTTCATTAACCAAAACATCATTTAACAGAGAGAGCTCTTCTGATGGACATTTTACTGCTTTATATGTCTGTGAAATCATAAAGTTTAGACAACTCCTTAAACATTTTAGTAACAAACTGATTGCATTTTGCATTAATACATTTATATAAAAATTGTTATTGAACATAATAGAAATCATGACTTTAACAAAAAGAAAAGAAATAATTTAAAAATTGTTACTGTTAACTGAAAAGCCGTTGGATTTCCTTTTAAGAAAACTAATTGTTAGGTTAGTTCGGATTCCGTCGTGCTTATTTAATAGCTTTATCATGAAGTGAGAAATATACCACCGGTTATCACAACAATGTTACATTCCTTACATGAATAAATTGTAGATTTTGCAATAGTTGTAGAGGCAGAACCTAATCCTAAACTGAATCCTGTGGCAGAGAATATCTTAGCCATTAGTAACATGTATGCTTAGAAGAAATTTTTTTATCAGTGTTTTCTGGTGTTAGAAGGAAGCCTGGCACTAGTCTTACTTACTTCAAATTCTATTTTGATTCGATATTCTTCATCTAAAGGGGCTTCTAAACTTGACAGTGTATCAGAACTTGGCTGTAGCAATGACCTTGACCCTCCAGCTGTGTAACTTTTTGAATTGTCAGCAATGTAACTTTCTGAATCATCAGATATGTAACGTTCTGAATTATCAGCAATGTAACTTTCTGAATTATCAGCAATGTAACTTTCTGAATTATCAGCAATGTGACTTTCTGAAGTGTCAGGGAAGCAGTTTTCTGAAGTGTCAGCAAAGCAGGTTCCCGAACCAATGAGGTGTGCTGTGTTGGTTCCCGAACCAATGAGGTGTGCTGTGTTACGCTTGTGCTTGCCAGACTCCGCATGGTGAATCAAATCCCTGCGGTGAGCCCTAATCTCACAGCAGCAAAAGTGGCAGAAAGCTTTTCCGTCTTCACCTGGCACTTTTTTAACCCAGTCTTTTAAGATGTCATCATCCTCCCATTTATCATTATAGCGACATTTTCTTTTGGACCACTTACTCATTTCTACAACCTATCTAAACTACACTCAACTTAAACCTGAATTTATAAAAGAGGATATTCTAGGGCCCTGAATAGATTCACAAAACTACTTGGTAGGCAGACATGTCCTTTAAAAAGATCATGATTCAGTATAGCTGGTAGAAAAACAACAGTAAATAAAATTTGAGTATAACATGACAGAAGGAGTTATGTATAATTTACACGTGTAACAAGTAAACAATTAGAAGCTAGTAACAATTAGTCATCCCCAGACATCAGTAAAACTGGTAGTGAACATGAACTTATACAATTAGCTTTTATGTTAGGTTTTGAGTTTAGATTAAGGTTACTGTCAGGCAATGCTTTTTAGCATTTTTATGACAATGTTATAGAATAATGAAATGCCATTTTAATCTCTGTGGTGTTTTAAACAAATATAACAGTTAAAATGTTAATTTTTAAAATACATAATTAAAATTAACAAGGCTTCTGGCACTCTTTTTCATAAAAAAACAAAACAACATCAAATTTCTGCTTTGTGTGAATATTATATATAATAACAAAAGTTAAATTTATAGCCTATAAAGTATGTTGTTATGTGACAGCATGTGGTTAAATAGAAAAGTACCAGAATTGTGTTAGAATTGTATCAGTTTGAAAGTCAACTATTATTTTCTACCAGCAGTAATGATTCATGGTCCATCTAAAGGACAAGCATGTGGTGCTTTTAGTAAATAGATATAATAAAATAGTAGTACTCGATTGAAAAAGGATTGTGTTTAAAGCTTCTCATTAACCAGAACTTAATTCTTAAACTCACTAGTTAAGTTCAAAGGTCTCATACAAACATGCTTAAAAATTGGTCAACTGTTTCTCAAATACGACCAAATGAAATGTATTATGCTATATATAGGCATATATATATATATATATATATATATATATATATATATATATATATATATATATATATATATATATATATATATATATATATATATATATATATATATATATATATATATATAGGCTATTAATATGCCTTTAGGCCTATGAAACATAAAATTTTTATATAGACTATTTGTTTGGCTTAAGCTTAAACAACATAATCAATAATTTGATCACTGCCTGTTAATACTGTTATAACAGATCATTTTGAGTAGGAGTTTGCATCTTAATTTAATTTTTAAGAATTTAATTTAGGACGGAGCACATTTTTTTTTAGATCCAGGTTATTTTAATAGAACTCTAGTTTCTAGTTAGTATTAGTAACCTGCAACAGGTGCTAGTAAATTGAGAGACGCAAAATGGCGAGGTGGTGAATTGCAAGAAGGTCACGTGACATTTTTTGTCCAGCATGTTATCCCCACCTGAAACTAATGCTGGGTAGGGGTAAAGTGCTAAGATGTCTGCAAAAGTTATACAGCGCATGATTTACAATGAACTTTGATGTAGACTCAAAGATGTTTAGTTTGTATATCTATAACTTCTGATAATTCTTTTATGTGGAACACTGGAGGGGCCCAATATATCACCTTTGAACATCACCATATTTTTTTGTATTACTACTGCTGCCTACTATTTAGTTTTTCATTGTATAAATATCGATTTTGCTGATTTTTAAAACTGCTTATAATAAAAGAATTACACTTTTAAAATTGTTTATTATTGGCCTTACATTAACAATGTGGCTGAATTTTTTACCCTCTGACATGAAAACATGAGCGATTATCCTAGGAGTACAAATGTATAGATTTTTGAATATTTAAAAAATCTAAACTAGATCAAGAAAGAAAAGAACAACAAACTCATGGATAATTTGTTTAGTATATACTTTTTGTTTCATGACATTTATAACTTTTCTTCTCGCACATCTGGGAAAAAAACAAAAAAAAGCCTTGCAAACTGTTTCTCGCTATTAACCCCTGATTCAGCAGGTATTGGTATGTCTCGCATTTTCTTCTTGTGATTTACTGCCTCTCCATTTGGCTTTTCGCGTCTCGCAAATTATTACTATACTTAACTTTACTAAGCTATGTGTCTAACAGTCTAACCTTAATTCTTAAAATTTGTCATCTGGAGTTTTTGGGAAATAAACTATTATGTTTTATAGATTTAATTTGAAAACACTATTTTAACTTTTAATAAACCTATCCCCCCTATCTACAGCCAAATAATAATAATTATTGGGCCTAGGCCTATTCATTCTGGATTAGATTACAATTTATATCTAGATCTATCTAGATTCTAGAGTAGAGTAGTTAAGAGTGTAAGACTTAAGAGTAGATGTCTAACAACTAACTAATGTTTAGATCTTGATCTACAACAGAAACTAATTAGTATCTAATTGTGAGTAATAGTCTAAGTTAATATTATTAATAGGCCTATTTATTATTTAATAGGCCTAGTGTTGTTGCACTGTCACTGTTGCACAGTAGACTATTTCAAAAATTGGTCACTTACGAAGATGTGAAATAAGCAAATTAATATAGATCTAATCTAGGATCTAGATCTAACTGCTAGCAGATAGATCTAGATATAGGACTACTAACTAATATACTTTACCTCCTACTTGTGTTAAAAATAATTTAAAAAAAAGAGACCCAGTGGGCAGTTTCAGAGTTGAGAACAAACAAAAATATTTTGGCCACTCCACTGCAGTCACTGAGTCACTTTTACTTTATAGTTTATTAGATCTAGATTAGATCTACTTACCTTAGCCATTGTTTGGTAACCAGTAGCAGTAGATGAATATTAGTTTCGTGATCACTTCATGAAACAGGAAAACAAACAATTTAGTTCTAGACCTAGACTAGATTTAGATTCTTGAGTTGATCAAAACAGATCTTACTCAGTTCTAAAAAAAATCAGAATAAATCATTACATTAGAAATAGCCACAGAGTGATCTCCTCATTAGAACATACTAAAACACAAAACAAAACAAATAATATTCGTAGTTAGGCTATTGGTACCATATTATTAGCCTTACCACTAACAGATCTCTTTTAGTTTACAAAACTGCTGCATTGCTCGCTTGAAAGTCCATCGAAATTATGCAATGCACAATCTGTGGCCAGTACAGTAATATCAAGATGTGCAGGATTTACAGTTCACGTATAGGAAAACAAGAGGCGTCGCGACCGCACCGGGTGACACCATTTAGGGGGTGACACCATGACGAAAAATTGCAAAATATATAGAAGAAAAATGCTTTTTGCCAGTTCAATTAATGATTAATAAGAGTAAACCCACTTGTATTAATAACTGACTATATGTAACTAGGGTAAGTTACGACAATAGTGGCCCTGCTGTTTTAGGGGTGGGGACAGAGCGACGAATCACCTATACCCACGTGTCAACCCGGGCGTGGCCAGAGTGACCATAATTGTTGTGGACCCAGGAAGACGGATCGCTGAATGCATTCTGGACAAGCTCTTAAATTGAACACAAAGGCATGCTCGCGGACTACAGGACGGCTTACAGTTTACGACACTCTAAATTTTCTGAAACTGACCGGGGCGGGACAATAGGATGCGGGGCCGGGAAGAATAGCAACAGGTAACCTACGGGGAAGACGAACTGACACTTTTACAGCTAGGGTATGACCTTCAGGATCATTCTTAGATTCTAGTGGTAGCGTATATATACGGACACCACGAAACACGCCCGGAGAATACGACCAGAAAACACAGAGACGGTAATTAGACCAGAGGCGTAGCGACCCTTCCCGGCGCCCGGGGACATACTTCCAATTTGGCGCCCCCTCGAGAGCAAATTTTCGATTTGCACCCCCCCCCCCTCGAACTTTTCATTTGCACCCCCCTCCAACTTTCGATTTACACCCCCCCCCCCTCGAACTTTTCATTTGCACCCCCCCTCAAACTTTCAATTTGGCGCCCCCCTAAGGTCGGCGCCCGGGGACATATGTCCCCCCCGCCCCCCCCCCCCCCCTCGCTACGCTACTGCATTAGACTTCGGTGCTGGTGCGTAAGTTGAAGATAACAGAACGAACGTGTTTGCTGTAACAAGACTTAGGGCTGAGTGAGATTGTAGCCCAATTAGCTGTCGTTGTTAGTTTATACGAGGTGAATGTTCTGTATGATTTGTGAGTGTTGTCTTAAAGTACAGTTTTAGTTGATACGTTGTGAATGTGGTGTACGAATGTACGATGGTATGTTAATAGGGTATGGTAGTGTAAGAATAGCTTGTGATGATTAAACTTTTCTTGTATCGATTTATTTACAGACTGTGGAGGTCTGTTGTGTTTTTTGTGATTTAGTTTTTGGCTTGTAAATAAAGTCATCGAACCTACCATTGTGTAGAGGAAAGCGTGTTGCTGCATTTCTTTTCATTGGTTACATATAGATAACCATCTTTACTATCAACTGTGCACACTTTAAAGCTATCATCCTGGGGGGGGGGGGGGGGTGACACCAGCTGAAGAATTTAGAGAGGAATAAAGGCTTGTTGAGTATTTTGATTAACTGATAAGTCAAAGAACGACAGTAGAGGGGATGACACCAAAATCTAAAGAATTAAGATTAAAATGATGCTTTTTCCACATTAATTAATAGGTGGATTGTATGTACAAATTAACACCCCCCCCCCCTCATTCACACCAACTTACTATATCATATGTTACATTTCAAAATGAATTATTATACTTACAAGTTACAAATGCCCCACACCCGGAAAAAATGTTTGTAAGAAATTCTATCCCCCCCCCCCCCACACACACACTAACCTGCCCAAATATTTTGATACCTCCTCACAACCCAACTCCTCCACTGCACCCAGTGTTTCTTCCAGACTTTTTTCTCCGGGGGGCACTTGAAATCTTCGGGGGGGGGGGGGGGGGGGGGCGGTAAACTTTCTACGGGGGGGGGGGGGCGGACACTGTTAAAAGTATATATTTTCTATATAAATTATATAAATTTCATTTCGTTCGGGGGGGGGGGGGGGGGGGCGGTAAAAAAATTTCGGCCCCCCCCCCCCCGAAGAGATGCTTGGAAGAAACTCTGACTGCACCATGCTAAACATAATACACAATATATGTACTTTTAAAACGAACATTGCTTTTGCCTTAAAGATAATTTATTTATTATGAATTAATTTTCGAGCAGAAGTCTGTACTCTTTATTACACAAAGTTGATAAAGACCAACACATATGTACTTGGCATAATGGCCAGTCGGCACTTTTCTCTCACACACATCCCACCACAAAGACGATATAACCCATAAAAACTTGTCTGGAACTTATGAATAGTTTCTATTACATCCTAAAAATGTTCGCTTATTTTTTAAAAAATAATTTAACAAAAATTATTGCAATTTTTAAGTCTTTTGTAAATTAACGAGAAACAAGTTTTATAGAAAGGGGTTAGATAATACGGCTTTGGTCCCCACCCACTTCATTCGTGTTATTTAATAATATCTGTAACTTTATTGAGACTTGTGCCCAGAGTTTCTTCCAGGCATCTCTTCGGGGGGGGGGGGGGGCAAAGCCCCCCCCCCCCCCCCGAAAATTTTTTACCGCCCCCCCCCCCCGAACGAAATGAAATTTATATAATTTATATAGAAAATATATACTTTTAACAGTATCCGCCCCCCCGAAGAAAGTTTACCGCCCCCCCCCCCGAAAATTTCAAGTGCCCCCCCCCCCCCCCGGAGAAAAAAGTCTGGAAGAAACACTGCTTGTGCCAGTATAGTTTTAATACCACAAGAATACAAACGCGCAATTACAACGCAGATAAACAAAATTATCTTAGTATCTGTGTTTACTTTACAGCTTTAAAATGTGTTGTGATTTAGAGTGCTCTTGGTTAACATGTAAACAGGAGTGGGCGTGATCCACGTCATTTAAAACGACCCGACAAAATCATTCTCATGACTATGAACTATGATTGCCAATATCGATGACGAAGAGCTGCTGAATAAGTGTGCAAATTTAGGTAGATAGAATTTAAAAAAATGTTTTAAATTGGATTTAGTACTACAGCTGACTATGCATTTACGAATAATTAAGCTAGGCTAGGGTTTATACAACGCATATTATATAATAGACATGCGGATTAGGTTTATGTTGCAGAAAACGTGACCCGCTCTTTACTAAAAGGAAATAATAAAATGTTATGGTGTCTGTACAATCTCTATAGTTGTTTACCTTTTTGCATTCTACGTCTTAGCAGTTTGCCGGTACTAGAATCAACCTATCTAATTTAGGTCTTGGTGCGCTTTATTTAATCAACGGTCTAGGCCTAAGATGTAATAATAATTTTAGATCAAGACTAGCACTAGATATAGAAAAGTCTAGAAGGTTTGAATTTTTGTTCTGCTTTTATTTTAAAGTAGTTAAGTAGAAAGTAGAAGGCCTATTTTAAAACTATTTTTTAAAAACTTGCCAAAACAAAAACTAAAGAAATGACGCAATAGTGAGAAATTGGGTCCATAAATTAATTAATTGCCTGTTGCTTATCATATGTAATATGTACTAATATGTAGGCCTATTTTACTTTGTGCACTTTCAGAATCAAGGTAGAAGTGAAAATGTTTTGCCCACATCAAATCAGAAGGATCTGTTCCAATATAGGCCTACTATGTGTTCATGGATCTTCTCAACCAACATTATGTCGTTTGCTAACCAGGTATAGATCTAGATCTAGATTCTATATCTAGGCCTTATATTACAACATCCTTTAATTTTTTACAAGTAACAGTAATTTACAAATTGTGTTTGTACTGTTATAATTTCCTGTAACATGATTGAGAAACATTATCATTGTTTAAGCTGCGTCTGATGGCAAGAGTTTCTTCCAGGCATCTCTTGGGGGGGGGGGGGGGGGAAGAGCCCCTTTCCAAAGAAAGTCTATGGAATTAAATAGTAAACTTATACTTTTACCAGTGTACCCCCCCCTGATAATACCAAGTGTCCCCTAGAGAAAAATAAATGTCTGGAAGAAACACTGCTGATGGCCTTTTCCTTGAACTATCTCACTTCATTCTCCACTGCTGGAGACTTTTCCTTGAACTATATCACTTCATTCTCAACAGCTGGAGACTTTTCCTTGAACTATATCACTTCATTCTCCACTTCTGGAGACTTTTCCTTGAACTATATCACTTCATTCTCAACAGCTGGAGACTTTTCCTTGAACTATATCACTTCATTCTCCACTTCTGGAGACTTTTCCTTGAACTATCTCACTTCATTCTCCACTGCTGGAGACTTTTCCTTGAACTATATCACTTCATTCTCCACTGCTGGAGACTTTTCCTTGAACTATATCACTTCATTCTTCACTGCTGGAGAGGTACAGGCTGTTTTTACCTATGTAATTTAATCTTTGGCTAAATTGCCAGAGTTTGATAAAAACTTGCAGCTTTAGTCGTGTTTTGTTTGCTTTTATTTTATGTTTTTTTTTTATAATTTACTGTCAATTATTCATACAACACAGCTGGTATATTAAATTAGTAAAATTTATTTTGAATTCAAGTTGGCCAGCTTTGATAATGCAACATTTTTCTACTGGAGTTGGAACACAATTCTGTATTAATTCAAGACTATACTATAGTTGGTAGATGAATACTAAGCTTTGAAATTAGAATTGAGTTTATTGCTTTTGATTCATATGTTTTTCCTAATTAAAACCTTTCTTGTATTTGAATAATTTCAGGATTGAGGTGCTAAGACATGTGTGTGGGGCTCGCTCCTTGCACAGCACACCCAAACCAGGCATTGGTAAATTAATTGACAAGAAGACAGATTTGAATCGCTTCTTGATTGAGGTTAGTTGTTAGATAGTTTTTGTATATGCATATTATACTTAAAGTTTGGTTATGTGTATTATATAGTTAATTGTATTACAGCAGTTATATTTGTCAGTATTTTGCTTCAAGTTACTTTAATGATATTTGATGAAAAAAAGATGGAAAAATGTATTTTTACTGCTATAGACCTGCAATAAGAAGTTGACTGTATTATTATCAGCTTTTTTGTCATTAACTATTAACCAGGAACTTTGTACTGTATTTCTTCCACCCATGTAGATTGGTACTGACCCTAAAGAAGCCAGGTACTGGTTGAAGAACTTCAAGTCTAGTGTTGAGAATTCAGATGTCTTCATGGTGGTCACAGTTGAGCATGATGTCATGGATAATCTAGAATTGGTAAATAGGTTGTTAAACTGATAACTAGATCCACAATTTTTACATTGAGAAATTTTTTTTTTCACTTATTAAAAACATTTTTATTAGAAATAAGTTACAAAAACTAAACTTTTTCAGTTGGAGAAGTTTGCCTCCAGCATTTCCTTTCTGAAAAGAAACAGCATGTCTCCTCTTATTGTATGTGGAAGTGGACCAGCAAAAGGTTCTTTCAATGTAAGTCTGGTGACAAGTTATTGATGGATACACAATTAAGGTCAAGGCAACAGTTATTTCCAGAAAGTCAACATTCCTTATTTTCTTTAGGCAGTACCTGAGCAGTGGGTATATTTGTAATGTCCTTAAACCTGCTCAAGAATGGCTGACACATTCTGCTTATACATGTCACCTTGTTTAATTAGTGACTGACACAAACATGTTGTTTTGTTTTTATGTTTTGACTCATTGAGTTCAACAGTTTAAATATAACAAATGAAGCTAAAATTTGTGATTCTGGCAGTCTTGCATTAGAAAGCAAATTTCTTAAATTTTGCCTACCATATGTTGTGTTTAACATGCATACATGACTGAAGAGTTCATTTTCATTTATTTATTACATAAATACATGTATGATTACTCACACTAGTTTTCATTTTAAAACTTTTACCTAAGTTTATCTTATAAATTCATTTGGTTGAAAAGTAATGCTACTGGTTCTACACTTGCCCATTACTGAACTTAATGGGTTATTTGCACCATATGGATATGACCTCCAATTTTTATGACGGCCTATGAAGGCTTTGTTCTGAAATGATTCTCAGAGAAAACAAGTTTAGAGCAAATGTTCACTTGCTACTTGTCATTGACAAAATCTTACACAGCTCCAGCCTTTTATCTGACGCCTATACAAAGGTCGCTGCTACTCAAAACCATGATGGCATGTGCCAAAAAGGTTTATCCGAAAAGTTAATCCATCTGCAATACCTCACCTTACTAAAAAAAAAAAATTACCATACACCTGTAACAGGTTGACAAGCAGCGGTTACCACTAGCAACCAACCAAACCTTCTAACTTTAGCTCCAAATTTTCTCCCTTCTTGCCATAAACACGGACCCTGTTTATTCTGCAGAAGACAAAGGAAGCTTGTGTGTGGAATGCTGTGACTCTCAATGATATGCTAGAGGGCCATGGCACTAACACAAGAGTTCTGTACCCTGGCTGTGGGGTGGTAACTGGAGAAGTGGAAGAGTAAATATTTTAGAAGGCTTAACCCACTCAGTACCATCTTTTGCCTGTTATACACACAGTACCTTCTTTTGCCTGTTATACACGCAGTACCATCATTGGTCTGTTACACATGCAGTACCTTCTTTTGTCTGTTATACATGCAGTACCATCTTTTGCCTGTTATACACGCAGTACCATCATTTGCCTGTTACACATGCAGTACCTTCTTTTGTCTGTTATACACGCAGTACCATCATTTGCCTGTTACACATGCAGTACCTTCTTTTGTCTGTTATACATGCAGTACCATCTTTTGCCTGTTATACACGCAGTACCATCATTTGCCTGTTACACATGCAGTACCTTCTTTTGTCTGTTATACATGCAGTACCATCATTTGCCTGTTACACATGCAGTACCTTCTTTTGTCTGTTATACATGCAGTACCATCTTTTGCCTGTTATACACGCAGTACCATCATTTGCCTGTTATACACGCAGTACCATCTCTTGCCTGTTACACATGTAGTACCATCTTTTGCCTGTTACACACACAGTACCATCATTTGCCTGTTAGACAGTACCATCTTTTGCCTGTTACACGCAGTACCATCATTTGCCTGTTACACATGCAATACCATCTTTTGTCTGTTACACACGCAGTACCATCTCTTGCCTGTTACATATGCAGTACCATCATTTGTCTGTTATACACGCAGTACCATCTTTTGCCTGTTACACACGCAGTACCATCTTTTGCCTGTTATACACGCAGTACCATCATTGGTCTGTTATACACACAGTACCATCATTTGCCTGTTACACATGCAGTACCTTCTTTTGTCTGTTATACATGCAGTACCATCATTGGTCTGTTACACATGCAATACCATCTTTTGTCTGTTACACACGCAGTACCATCTCTTGCCTGTTACATATGCAGTACCATCATTTGCCTGTTATAGACGCAGTACCATCTCTTGCCTGTTACATATGCAGTACCATCATTTGTCTGTTATACACGCAGTACCATCTTTCGCCTGTTACACACGCAGTACCATCTCTTGCCTGTTACAAATGCAGTACCATCATTTGTCTATTACACATGCAGTACCATCTTTTGTCTTACACACACAGTACCATCTCTTGCCTGTTACACATGTAGTACCATCAATGGTCTGTTACACACGCAGTACCTCACGCAGTACCATCATTTGTCTGTCACGCAGTACCATCTTTCGCTTGTTACACACGCAGTACCATCTTTTGCCTGTTACACACACAGTACCATCTTTTGCCTGTTACACACGCAGTACCATCATTTGTGTTCCTTCAAACAGCCTGAAAGAAAGTTTCTTTAATCACAAATTTTTAAACTTTAAAATAACATTTGTTTGCATTATTTAGTCTGGATTCATCTTTTTCTCAAAACTTTTTTTAAAATATGGACTAAAAACAGACTAAATGTAACAATCAGACTTTTTGTGAATTGAAGCTAAGTAGAAGAAGAAAATTAAAATTAAACTTTATTTGTGGTTGATAAGATATTGTTCACCTGGTTAGATTAGAGCAGTTTGAAACTTGAAGATCACATTTGCTGTGTAATGGTGCCAGCTCTAGATTCTACAGGCTGATGAACCTGAGTGGGTTAGGTCATGTAGATTAGATGACTTATAAGCTTTACATCAGTGAAAATAGAAAGTTTGGGTAGCTTTACCATGTATTTGGGCCTACATAATAGACAGTGCTAAATAGTTGTAGCTCCCAAGTATGGTATTTATGATTGGAAAATTGGGCAGAAATTTATAAATCCCAGCATTCAGATGAAGAAAAAGTAATTTACTGAATGTTAAATTTAATTTTTAAAAAATGGACACAAGAGGCTGAAGAAATTGTTCTAGACCTAAGTGGTGTAAATGTTGGAATAGTGTGCTGGTCATTTCAAAGGGAGGTAACTTATTGTTTTTATTGAATGGGATGGTAGTTTTAAAAACTAGGATCTTATTACTGTTCTTAACAGAGTGATGTTTCTAACATCATTGCCGATGCTAAATATCATCAACTTTCTTTTCTTAATGATTAATGTATTCAAAGTGTTAACATTCTGCAGTGATTGTTGATTTAGTGTGAACATTCTCCTGCGATTGTTTAGTATCAACATTCTCCTGCGATTGTTTAGTATCAACATTCTCCTATGATTGTTGGTTTAGTATCAACATTATCATGTGATTGTTGATTTAGTATGAACATTCTCCAGTGATTATTGATTTAGTGTCAACATTCTCCTATGATTGTTGATTTAGTGTCAACATTATCATGTGATTGTTGATTTAGTATGAACATTCTCCAGTGATTGTTGATTTAGTGTCAACATTCTCCTATGATTGTTGGTTTAGTATCAACATTATCATGTGATTGTTGATTTAGTATGAACATTCTTCTGTGATTGTGGATTTAGTATCAACATTCTCCAGTGATTGTGGATTTAGTATCAACATTCTCCTGTGATTGTGGACTTAGTATCAACTTTCTTCTATGATTGTTGGTTTAGTATCAACATTATCATGTGATTGTTGATTTAGTGTCAACAGTCTCCAGTGATTGTTGATTTAGTATCAACATTCTCCAGTGATTGTTGATTTAGTATCAATTTTCTTCTATGATTGTGGACTTAGTATCAATGATCTCCTGTGATTGCTTATTATATCCTTCAGCTTTAGTAGACTTAAATTTTCAATATTCACCATTTTTTGTCTGGAATTAAAATGTTATGTGCATTCTCCAGTTGCTTAGATATAAAATAATGTCAGTAAGATGGAATTTACTTCAATATCTAAATGAGTAAATGCTGTATCTTCAGTCAATCCTTGCTGCACATGAAGCGAATGGTTTGAAGATTAATGTAACTCATTTTTAATTCTGACTGAAGTAAACTACGGATATAGCTGTAATAATACACTCTCTGATGTCATATCTGTAGAAACTAATACGCTGAAGAACTTGTTCTCTTTTTATATAATTTACCATAGTTATTCTTTTTTGCTTCTTTCTATTATTACTTTGATTTTTCTCTCAAACTGCCTTTAAACAAAAAATCTGATTTTACTATTTTGTAGGCCAGTATGATAAATATTATGTGTAAAATAAGATTAATTGGATTGTGACATTAGTTTATATTCTATCTAATGTTAAGTAAAAAGAAAAGTCACTTAGTAACTTATCTTTGGTCATAACAACACATATAATACAGTGTGTTGTTGTGACCAATTAGTACACAAAGTTATTTTGCCTGATGTTTTTTCAGCCAAACAGGCAACTCTAAAAATCTGCAAATCTCCACTGAAATCATTCAGTCCAGTCTGGCTACACAGCACCTCCCCATTCTTCTCAGCTATGGGGAGACAGCAAGTGGCCAGATTTTCCCCATCAAATCATGGGAGCTGTCAACTCAGGTTTCAAAGGTTTTTCAGCCCAAGAAAGTTATGTTCGTTAATTCACATGGTGGGTTTTTGGATGAGCAAGGCAAGGTCAGTCTAATAGACCTACACATTCACTAGTGTTAGAATACATTATAAGCATTGGCTACCCAGTAGTTGTTATTGTATTAGAAAATGTGTTTACTTCTGTTAGCAAATAGCTACTGTACAGTCATGCAAGTTAGATCATTGTAAACTATTTCAGATCAGCCCAGTTGTAAATCTTCTCATTTATTTAACAACTTCACTAAATTACAGACATAAATCTTCCTATTGACTAAACATCCTATCATTTCAAGTGAAAATCTTTTAATTAAACAATTTCAGTTCAATTTAGATGTAAATTTTCCTATTGGTTAAACAATTTCAGGTCATTCCAAATGTAAATCTTCCTATTGGTTAAATAATTTCAGGTCATTCCAAATGTAAATCTTCCTATTGGTTAAATAATTTCAGGTCATTCCAAATGTAAATCCCTCTATTGGTTAAATAATTTCAGGTCATTCCAAATGTAAATCTTCCTATTGATCTTGAGACAGCTGAACAGAAAAGTTGGTACAGGCCAGATATTATGAGCACTGTAAGTATGACCATTTGAATTTTTAAAAATAATTAAATCAAATGTATGTATGAAATAAGTACAATGCAATGTTTTCAATCCAATAAATCTGTACCATTCTCTAAGTCAACACATTTTTACATTAGATGATGTATGTGTGTAAATTGCTGGGAGAGCTACCTATCGATAGCTCAGTGGTCATCACATCAGCAGACACCATGTTGAGAGAGCTCTTCAGTCACAGAGGTAGTTTCTTATTTCTGTACTACCTCTGCTTGTTAAATTGTATTATTTAGTTAAAGTTAAGGTTACATTATCACCGTGTTTTGTACTGTAACAGCTCAAAATGTTTCTGAGTACCAATACATCTTTGTTACAGGTTCTGGAACATTCTTTAGGTCCACGGAAGCTGTCCACAAATACTCATCGCTTGATGGCATTGATCTTGACCGTCTGAGGTGCTTATTACACAGGTAATAATGAAATAACTGATAGAGTTAAACATTGATTAGATTTAATTTAATTAGATACATCGATAAGGTTACCAGAACTCTGTTCAAATTTAATTATTGTCTTTAAAAAAATCATCTACATACTAGCATATGTAAACTGTAATAATTGTTATTTGAAATGTCTACTAATAACCCTTGATAATTTGTTTTAAACCACTGGTTAACTGTAATAAACTATTTGATTGACTTTTATCTTGAATAGATCTTTCATGAAAACATTGGTGGATTCTTATTTTAATGACATTGCTCCCAACATTCATGCTATTTACTTGTCAGAGTCGTAAGTATTAAGACCTTAACCACCTCATCATGGTTATTAATTGATCTTACCAATTATATGTATATAAATTCATAACATTGAACAGATTTTAAAAAAGTAGTCACCATTCCTTAAAATTTATAAGGAATATGGAGTGGAGTACACTTATTTTGTTAAATAGGTGCATGAAGAGACACTGTGGTCCGTTCTGTGCACACATTTTTTCTGTAACTCAATTGAAATACCACAAAAGCTGGGTGGACTTTCAAGTCTGGGATCTGAACTTGAGACTTTTGAGTCAACAGGCATGTGCTCTACCCCTCAACCATTCCAAAGTAAAAACCTGTTGCTTTAATCAGAAAAATGTTGACATGACATCTTAATTTGTGAATTGACTCGCTACAGGTACAGCGGCGTGGCTATACTCCTGAAGAGCCCCAACAGCAACATCCCGTACATGTGCAAGTTTGCTGTGACCAACAGAGCCCAGGGTCAGGGCACAGGGGAGCTGCTGTGGGACAGGCTGATCAAGTCAGAGCCCTGTCTGTTCTGGAGATCCAAAATTGAAAACCCAATCAACACCTGGTAAGTGCTGGAGTAGCTTACCATAATAAGAGTGATAACAGTAGCTGCCTATAATAGTTATATCAATAGCTGACCACAACAGTGATAACAATAGCTGACCACAACAGTGATCACAATAGCTGACCATAACAGATAACAATAGCTGACCATAAGAGTGATAACAATAGCTGACCACAACAGTGATCACAATAGCTGACCATAACAGATAACAATAGCTGACCATAAGAGTGATAACAATAGCTGACCACAACAGCAATAACAATAGCTGACCACAACACTGATAATAATAGTTGACCCTAAGAGTGATCTCAATAGCTGACCATAACAGATAACAATAGCTGACCATAAGAGTGATAACAATAGCTGACCACAACAGCAATAACAATAGCTGACCACAACACTGATGACAGTACGCTATTGTAACTGTGAAAGTAGTTCAACAACTCAGCAGTACGCTATTGTAACTGTGAAAGTAGTTCAACAACTCAGCAGTACGCTATTGTAACTGTGAAAGTAGTTCAACGACTCAGCAGTACGCTATTGTAACTGTAAAGTAGTTTCACGGCAGAGTAAGGACAGTGAGATGAAATCTGATAATTTTACACGTGATCCTGTATCGATTTGTCTCCCATGTCGCGCTTGGGTGAAAGGTAATTTTATTACAGCCGACGTGATGTGTGTATGGGTGGAGGAGGGAGGGAGGGCGGTACCCATAATTAATAAAGGTAATTTTATTACAGCCGACGTGATGTGTGTATGGGTGGAGGAGGGAGGGAGGGCGGTACCCATAATTAATAAAGGTAATTTTATTACAGCCGACGTGATGTGTGTATGGGTGGGGGAGGGAGGGCGGTATCCATAATTAATTAATAATATTTACAGCTAAAAGCCGTTAGAGTTTCTATGGATTACTAGCTACCACATTAATGATGTTTGGAGACAAGCTGGGCAAGAAACTATTCATATTGGCAAGAAATATAGAAGAGCAAATTGGGGAGGTTCTGATACACCTTGCGTAAAAATAAATTAGCAACATCACCAGACAGGCACCAAATTTGGAATCCCCCAATGAAAGAGGAAAGCAGGTATGCCAACACAAACAACTCTCAGTGAAGCAGAAGCAGCAGCAATGACGTGGGCCCAACTTGGAGGAATAGCCCAGCACCGAGTACTATGGAGAGGTGTGGTTGCGTCCCTGTGCTCCACGAGGGGTCAGGTGAATGATGATAATGGTGTTACCTACAACATAACAACAACCTACCCCATATCACGCATCTCTTCATATGTATTTAACATAGATCAAACAATGTGTAGGCTACATCCTCTTGTAGAGGGAGTTATCTTATAACCCCCCCTCCTCACACAAATCTCTTTTATCATTATTCTTCAGCACAATATCAGGCTAGATTGCACACACGCAAATTAAAACGCAAAGTATAAATACTTAAATAATTAATAATATACATTAATGACCAAAAAAACTCATCAAATAATCAATGTATATATCTTAATTAGCTAAGCCAGTCATAAGAGGCTCGTTAATTAATCAATGTGTGTATCTTAATCAGCTAAAATTGTAAACGAATGAAGTGTCAAAGAGAAAAATTATTCCATCAATTCCCAAAAGCTACATCGATCTACATTCATACTCCAGTACCAGCCTAATACATTATGCAGCATCAGCCACTAGCCCAGTGCGTGGCGCCAGACATAAGTGCGGATGTGTCGACTGTTTCAGGTCGTGTACTTATTACACAAAACATACGGCTCTTTACATATTACACAGAACATACGGCTCTTTACATATAAGACAAAACATATGGCTCTTTACATATTACATAAAACATATGGCTCTTTACATATTACATAAAACATATGGCTCTTTACATATTACATAAAACATATGGCTCTTTACATATTACACCAAACATGGCTCTTTACATTTTACACAAAACATATGGCTCTTTACATATTACACAAAACATATGGCTCTTTACATATTACACAAAACATATGGCTCTTTACATTTTACACAAAACATATGGCTCTTTACCCCCCTCCCCCATTTAACGCTACAACACGTCCACAGACCACCCCCTTTCATATCGTAGAACCTTCTAAGAAACCATCACGGACTTAACAGTGAACATCCTGGTTCTACACGAAATGGGACTTTGCTTTAAACAAGTTGTGGGAATCAAACCATTAGTGTAGACGTTGCTAGTTACAACTTATGTTAAGCAGTTGTGAAGCCGGCAATTATGTTAGAAGAAAAATATATGTAAGCTAGTTAAGGAATCCATTGATCCATCCATTTTAATAGCAATTATTTAGGAACATAAATATAATTGGAGATATCAAGTCAAGGGTTATAAAACTTACTTCTATATTCGATAGAAGAGATTATATCTGAATGATAAACTACCCTTATTCCTATTCCTCCGTGTTATATAATATCTGCACGATTCGTCTAGTGTGTGTGGGGGGGGGGGGGGTGTCGTGTCTTCACTAATGCAGGAGCTGTTTGTCTGATGATCAAAAGTTTTGACAGGCGCGTACACTTGTACGAGTGCTCTCAGCTTAAACCAGCGGTTCCGTAACAAAATGTAAACAACCACAAGGCGATGAACCCCTCCCCCCCCTCTACTGACCAGGGTAGCACCCTAAACATGTAGTAAACACGTCTCCCTATGACGTCAGTAAAAAGCGGTTTTAGATAGCATCGATAGGCTACTGTGGATATTACATCTGTGGGGCGGCCTATACTCAGAGGCGTGGCGAGGTCGGGGCGGGGGGTGCGGACCGCACCGGGTGACACCATTGGGGGGGGGGGGGGGGGGGGTGACACCAGACAGAACAAAAAAGCTTTTTTTTTTGCCAGTTCCATTAATGATTAATTAAAGCTACATAGTCTTTTAAGTGCAAATCGATAATTATTACAAGAGGATGGGTGTGAAACCATGAAGTAAACGTGCGAACTAGAGAAAAAACAATGCTACATCATAGTTGACCCTAAGAGTGATAACAATAGCTGACCACAACACTGATAACAATAGTTGACCCTAAGAGTGATAACAATAGCTGACCACAACACTAATAACAATAGTTGACCCTAAGAGTGATAACAATAGCTGACCATAACAGTGATAACAATAGCTGACCCTAAGAGTGATAACAACAGCTGACCACAACAGTGATAACAATAGCTGACCACAACAATGATAACAATAGCAAAAATAGACCCTATTGCATATCCTCCCAAAACTGTATGACATAATGGTAATACCAAATCCTAACACTCAAGTGACCAAATAAATATCAAACTTATGAAGATGACCTAAAAACAGTATCCAAACTGTCCTTATTACAACTTATTTGTTTAACTAAAAATATTTCATAGTTGAGGATAAAAGGGTTCCCACAATTTTTTAACAAGAAAACTCTCTGCTATTTTTCATATTACTTTCATCACATACAACCAGTGAACAGAAACTGGCCAAAAAAAAAAAAAATGAAAAAATTCCACACAAAAAAGCATTAAAAAATGAGTGCCACTCATTTTTTGAGGGAATCTTGAAATTGAATCCCACATTTTATCAATTATGAAACCCAAACTTTAACCCTGAAACTTGTCATATCTGAGATTTTTAAAAATAAAATTGATGTTTTAATATTTTTCAAGACATTTGATTCATATTATGTTCAATAATCAGTCTTTGTAAGCTATGTTTGTAACAGTGTTTAAAAAGCATTAATATTTAAAGTATCGTGTATATTAATATTAACAAAAATAGTTTAAAATTTTAGAGTTTTTAGATTTAAAATCTTGTCCCCATAATGTAGTATTATATTTCTAGAACCTCCCCAAATAAAAACTGGTTATGTTAATACAGTTATTAATATAGTGAGTTTTGCTAATGGTGGTTGCACTTTGTACTCTGTATACAACATAGAAAAGAATAGAAATATCTTTAAGAATATTTTAGTATGCCAGAACTATAAAGTTACAGAAATGCACACTGATGTATTCTTGCTTTTTTTTTTAATTGGGTTATCACATTATGGATGTTGTATTTGTTTACAAATGTCTGTTTTTTTCCTAATGCTGAGGATGATATTTTCCTCACCTATTTTTAAAGTTTTAAGTACCAGAATTTTGTCAACACAGGTGTCTGTAGTCCTATAAGAAATTTGTATGTAAACAGGAACCGTAACTTTGATTAATGTAACAGGATGTATTTTTATCTAGGTCAATCACTATATAACAAACAAGTTAAACAATGTCATGTGACATGATGTGTTTTTATCTGGGTCAGTCACTAGTTAAAACTAGTTAAAGAAGGTCATGTGACTTATTAGACCTGGAAGTTTGTTTATTTGACAGTTATCTCTGATGAGAATACATCATGTTTACAGAATAAAGTTCTAACATTGTTTAAGTAAACACTACATTGAAATGTGGTATTCCAACAGGTATTTCAAGAAATGTGAAGGTTCCCACAATAATCATAAGTGGCTTGTCTTCTGGTGAGTTCATGTTAATTAGTCAACCCCCAGCTTGTTTACATAAGTTAATTGAGGCTCATGTCTTGGTTAGATCATGTTAACTGGTTAACCTTCACCTTGTTTATAAAAACACCAGTACAGGTGAACTTTTATCCTTGACCTTCCAGGTATGGTGTGTGTGACCCTAACCTTTCTGTTGGGCTCATCAAGGATGCTGTTGACAGGAAAGATTCCTTCATTGCTGATGGTGATATTTCCTGCCCAGGGAGTGATGATGAGGAGGAGAGGATGGGAGGATAGATACAAAGAGTACACAGATATCTTTAGGAGGAGAGGATGGGAGGATAGAAACAAAGAGTACACAGATATCTTTAGGAGGAGAGGATGGGAGGATAGAAACAAAGAGTACACAGATATCTTTAGGAGGAGAGGATGGGAGGATAGAAACAAAGAGTACACAGATATCTTTAGGAGGAGAGGATGGGAGGATAGAAACAAAGAGTACACAGATATCTTTAGGAGGAGAGGATGGGAGGATAGAAACAAAGAGTACACAGATATCTTTAGGAGGAGAGGATGGGAAGATAGATACAAGTAACCAGATATCTTCAGGAGGAGAGGATTGGAGGATAGATAAAAGGAGTACACAGATATCTTTTGGAGGAGAGGATGGGAGGATAGATACAAAGAGTACACAGATATCTTTTGGAGGAGAGGATGGGAAGATAGATACAAGTAACCAGATATCTTCAGGAGGAGAGGATTGGAGGATAGATAAAAGGAGTACACAGATATCTTTTGGAGGAGAGGATGGGAGGATAGATACAAAGAGTACACAGATATCTTTTGGAGGAGAGGATGGGAGGATAGATACAAAGAGTACACAGATATCTTTTGGAGGAGAGGATGGGAGGATAGATACAAAGAGTACACAGATATCTTTTGGAGGAGAGGGTGGAAGGATAGATACAAAGAGTACACAGATATCTTTTGGAGGAGAGGATGGGAGGGTACATCCAAGAAGTACTGAAAGCAATAGAGTAGGTTGTGTTGGTTTTGTATAGTCTAAGGTGGTATCAGATGTAGGCTTTGTACAAACTGTAGCTTCTGTAGGTTAAATTTAGCATCATACGCTTGAATTGTATAATTGATGCCTATTGCATTCCTCACATGTGCCTGCCCTTGTTAATTTAAAAAAATGCAATCTCAAGATCTGTTCTTGCGATAAATGAAACACAGGCGATTTTTATAAATAATTGAAATCTACCAATGGATGAACAGCAAGAACACATGATGCTAATCACAGTGGTCCTGTTGGAATGCGTGAGATGTGGGTTGACCTCTCTCTATACTAAGACAGCCATAGAAAGTACAATACTTATAATTTCTTGTGTATTAATTATCTACTAACAACAATTGCTGCTTTCACGTAAACTACAGTGGTGCTTTTAATGATGGAGTGAATTGTTTTCACTCTAAATGTTATCAGTTAATTTATTGTGAAGTTTCATTTGATTTCTTTAAGAATAAGTCTATTATAGATATTATGAGTGATTAAATTATTTAAGTATTGTATATTAGCATCATTCCATTGTACATACATTTTGAAACACTCTGTTACAGAGTCTGTAATGAAGAAAATAATTTTCTGTTTAAAGTAATTTTGCCAAGCACCTTGTCAATTTTAACTTTTTTTAATATAAATTATAAGTTTTGATATTTTGTACGTCTTTATACACTTTTTGTGGACTGCATAATTTGTCTGTACAAAAGTTGAATTACAATGATTAAAATGTAATTTTATGTACTATATATTGAAATGCATTTACAGATAGCAATAACAGCTATTCAGTTGTTGTTTTTTTTTAATTTATTGAATTTTAACAGTAAAATTCAAAACCTTGTAGTTACTTGCTCAATGTTTTTAATGAAAAGGATGATATTTTGTTTAGCATACACATACAATTCAATATTCTGCAGTACAAACTGTTGTGTTCAATTTAAATTAAAGTGCTTTCTGTTGTTTTTTTTAAATCTCTCAACTTTATTTTTTTACATTTCACTTACTAAGAATTTTTGTAGCAAAATGAATCATCTTACTCATGTTAGTATGCTACTTATGCTGCCTTAAAACCAGGATTTAATCCCAAAAGCTAATAATTTCTACATGGTGGTATGCAATATGCTGCTCTTGTTGACATTTAATGTAATGAGATTATTTTGAAGAAGCTGCTGCATTATTTCTTTGGCATTATTTGTTTTAAAAGATTGTTACATGATAACAGTATAATCAAATGAGATTCAACAATTTTGTATACCATTTTATTATATTTATACAGTGATCATTCAATACATAGCTAGATACAGCTACATTAAATGTACAAAATATAGAAGTAATTTAAAGTCAAAAAGATGTACATTAATAGTTTTAATTTAATTAAAACAGTCAATAATGATTACAGTGTAACATAGTTTCAAATACATAGAAAGACTATTAGTATTATTAGTTAATATAACATTTCAATATTATTATAACATTTTATGTACTCAGCAACAAAAAAAGCATTTATATATTTAAAAAAAAAATCTTAATCGATCATTTCATTCCCATTATGATTATATCTTGAATTATAGGTATTTTGAAAGATTTCAAACTGCCATTTGTAAAATATATACAATGCACTATATTATTTATATAGTAGGCTTACAAAGCGGTCTCAAAACTATTTAATAATTGGTGTTGTAACATTTTTATACTTGCATTTGCTCTCTACCTGATCTGTCTTTACAAAGTTTTATTTACAATTGGTAACAGATTTTTAAATTTAATTACACATATGGTATATAACTTTTTTTTTAAGTTTGTTTATTGTATACTATAAGCAGATATATTTTTTAGATTTTCTCTGTTCTTACATTATTTAATCACACTTGGATAAAGTGAGTTTATTTGCTTTTTAAAAAAAATTAAGGATTACAATATAATCAGCTTTTAAAAAAAAGAAATAATCATTAATTAAAGAAAACAACTTGCAACAAGTTAAATGAAAACATTTCCCCACAAAATGTATACACTTACTTGTTGCGAAGATTTTTCTAGACTTGTATAGTATACATGTTACAAGTGTCAACACAGTTTTAGAGAGAAACTTCTTTGCTGCCCGGGTACATTTAAACAGATTTAAACCAGTATTTTAACTGTTGATGTAATTTAGGCTGTAAAATTATAACAGTAATTCACCGCTCTCAATGGATGGATTAATGAAGTGAAATTATTTATAAGGAATTAATCAAAGTAATAACATTAAAATTTTTTTTTGCAAATGAATTTTTGTGTTTGAGTGTGGCTAACTTTGATTGTGTGTTCATAAATGAAAACTTTAAACAATTTTAAAAATTAATTACGTCAGGAAAGTCTAATGGCTGTCAAATAAAACATTATTATTCTGTAATTTTTTTTTTGTTAAATTTATTACGTTAAAAATAAAAGCATTTCCTTTTACACTTCTCAGTGTGTAAGGCAAAAGAAGAACAGATAGTATTAGTTACCTCACAAGTTAAAGACAGTTACAAGTACTATGGACGTTTCGACCCAAGGTCTTCGTCAGCACACAACAGTGTGATTACAGATTAGACAAATAAAGACAAACAGTAACACATTTTTTGACTTAGCTCGACACTGTCGAGTAAATCTTATTACTAGATCTCTAGACTCAGGAATTTTTTTTATTTAGACTCACCTCGAAATTATATTTATAACAGATATTACAATTTTAAAATGATTTAAATATGATTTAAAAAGCATTTCATTTCATGGACTGTTTTCTTTTTGATAATTGAATATTTAGTTTAAAAACAATTAAAAATGGTAGTTTATGCAGCACATTTTTTAATTCAATGATCTTAAAATACCGCCCCCCCCGAACGGAATGAAATTTCTAAAATTTACATAGAAAATATATACTTTTAACAGTGTCCGCCCCCCCGAAAATTTCAAGTGCCCCTTCCCCCCCCCCCCCGGAGAAAAAAGTCTGGAAGAAACACTGTATACACCCCACTATAGTCACTAGAGGAAAAACTATATGAGGCACAGCGGATCTGGAGACCCCAGTCCAGTTCACACACGAAGTTGGACTTGTTGTTTAAATCCTCCACCATAAACTAAATTAAGAACGCAAAAGAAGAAGACTTTGATTCAATTTATTCTAAATTTAATTTATTGGAGATATGCTAACAGAAATGTTCAGAAAAAATATTGACAACAGAGCCGACAGACCTTGAACACCCCCCCCCCCCCCCCCTTACACTACATTTTGCAGGGAAAGCCAGATTATTTCTAAACTTAGTTTAAATTCGCTATAAGTTTTTAAAAATATGCAACAAAAAAAAAAGTTCAAAAAGCCACCCCCCCCCCCGACAAAGCCTAAAAAAATGTAGGCTAGGGCCTAAAACATAAAATTCTAGTTAGGGAACTAGCTTTACCTCCCTTGGCGAATCGAGGCGGCCAATCGTAAAAAGTCACGCTCCGGGGCATGTTCTATATTTACACCCAAAGGTTAACTTGTACGAACCACGACTAAAATAGAACATGTCATGTTATTACTAGTTTAACTAGAGTTCTAGATATAGATCTAGATCTAGATCTCGATTTTTGTATGAAGGTTCGTTAACTGTTCATACAATTTCCGTAGGTAACTATTAGATCTAACTCTAGATCAATAACGCATACGATTTAAATTAGAATAATACATGTTTAAAAACAGCTGGATTATCCTCAAATATTTTTTTACAAACGTGTGTACTGTGTTTACAATGGTGTAGCAAGCCATTGGCCAGAACAGAAACCGGCGAAATCAAGTTAGTTGGAATTTATGAATAGACTAGTCTAGACTAAATGTGTGTGTGTAAAGTAAGGTGACATCTGATGTTGACTACGTGGATGAATGAAAGGTAGGGAAATATTATAATGTTACGTAGTACGTGTATGCCTAAATCAAATACTCATTATACTGTAATATAATAGACTCTAGATCTAGATATAGAATATAGAGTCTAGACTAAACTAGTAAACTACAAATAGCATACTGATGTGTTAGCTAGATCTAGATTCTAAAATCTAAATCTACAATTGAAATTATTAATTATTCTATTTCTAAATCCTACGAGATCTAGAATCTAGATCTAGATCTAGATCTAGACAAGTCTAGACTAGATCTAGAATCTAGATCTAGACGTCTAGATCTAGACTAGATCTCTAGATCTAGATTAGTTCTAGATCTAGATCTAGATATCTAGAACTAGAATAGATTTCTAGATCTAGGATCTAGATCTAGATCTAGAATCTAGATCTAGTGACTGACTAGTCCTAGTCTATCTCTAAATCTAGATCTAGATTTACAATCTATCTAGATCTAGACTAGTACTAGATCTAGAATCTAGATAATCTAGTACTAGATCTAGATCTAGAATCTAGTACTACTAGAATCTAGGATTTAACTAGATCCTAGATCCAGAATCTAGATCTAGATTAAATCTAGATCTAATATCTAGATTCTAGAACTCTAGACCTAGATCTAGTAATTTCAAATTTGTAATAATAGGAATTGATTAAAATTTACTAGAATCAAGATCTAGAGTCTAGAATCTAGATCTAATTCTAATCTAGATTCTAAATCTAGATCATAGATCTAGAAATCTATGTTGACAGAGTTCAGACAAGATTTTGGAAAAAAATATCCTATTATTTTAAAAGAAAAATTCAACTTTAATATTGAGGGAAGTTGTTGGCAGAGGTGTGACGTGATTTTAGAGGGGGGGGGGGGGGGTTGTCTGGCTTTTTGTGACGATATGTGACGGAGGGGAAGTGGGGAGGTAAAAGTCGTCAAAAAAGCGTGACGTCATTTATGGATGACCCCTTAGATCTACTAGCTAGAGAAATCATGCCATTATTATTATTAATAATAAATAAAGGGTCAGACTCCAAGGGGATTTTTGTGACCAGGGGGAGTGGAGAAGAAAGTGTGACGACACAAATTTTGCTTTTTAAAATAAAAAGTAAGCCTAGTATTACTAACGGTAACAATGGTAGAAACTGAATTTTAATCATTATTTTTTTTTTTTTTTAAAGCTGTTTTTCAACTTTTGAAAACATTACGTGCTGCTATGTTAGTGCCAATGTACTATGTAATCAATGCAGTGGCGTAGCCAGGATCGTCTCAAAGGGGGGGGGGTCCAATTTTTACCCGGGGACAAGCTTTCGATATGTACCCCCCCCTCAGGCTTTTGATTTGCACCCCCCCCTCAAACTTTCGATTTGCACCCCCCTCATACTTTATATATATACCAAGGGGTCTATGGGGGGGTTATGACCCCCCCCCCCCCTAACCCCCCCCCTGCCTACGCCACTGAATCAATGTTGTTCAAAAATAATTAGGAATATTCACTGATTATTATTGATTACTAATAAATGCATATCATTTGATAATTACATTTTAATTAAATCTATTCCTGTTTTGTTTAAATAGTTTAATAATATGAACAAGCTTTTTATAAAAAGTATTCCTGTATTAATCTATTATAGTCTACTGCAGCTGATTAAGCTTACATTACTAGATCTATTATTACATATACAGGGCTTAATTAGATTTTAGGTTATGATCCTAAAATCCTAAATGATTAGTAATTCAGTAAAATGAGTAAGCTAACTAACCACACACATATAATCTAGATCTGTATCTTATCCAAAAAAGTTACTAAAGCTATAGATCTACAAGTCTAGTGTTAAACCATACGAATGTATGGAAGTCTTTCTTGGTGAGAGACCATCATACCTGTGGTGGTGTAGATGACTTAACAGAGATATGGACGGAGACAATGGACTGAGGACGTTTAGAATTAGATGATAATTACAGAAGACGGTATGAATGGGTGGGATGTATTCGCTTAATCTGGTAGTTGATCTGGGGTGACAGTATAAGGGATGGGATGGCAATGGACCAGGGCAGACCTCTAATTGGGCCCGACAAGTAATTAGACTGCACTTAATCACAGCGCCTATTGTGACCGGGTAAGGGTGGAGGGTAAATTCAAAGAAGTGGATGTACTAGAGAACTAGAATAACAAGTCCCACGCTACAATATTCACATATTCATATTTAACTATAGTATAGGCACTGGCGTCGCTAGGTGGGGTGTCACCCAGTGCGGCACTTGTGTCACCCCCACCCAAAAAAAAACGAAGTATATATATATATATATATATATATATATATATATATATATATATATATATATATATATATATATATATATATATATATATATATATATATATATATATATATAATATAGGCCTATATATATTATATATATATAATGTGTCTGTGTGTGTCGGCCTACATAGGCCTATAATTTAAATATGTGCGCAAGCGCGTACAAAAATTTACGTGTATGAGCTTTAATTACTGCAACATTAACAGTAACGATGTTTAGCTAGAGTTTTTTTTAATAATACAGTTGGATGTAGCATTGTTTTTTCTCTAGTTCGCACGTTTACTTCATGGTTTCACACCCATCCTCTTGTAATAATTATCGATTTGCACTTAAAAGACTATGTAGCTTTAATTAATCATTAATGGAACTGGCAAAATAAAAAGCTTTTTTGTTCTGTCTGGTGTCACCCCCCCCCCCCCCAATGGTGTCACCCGGTGCGGTCCGCACCCCCCGCCCCGAACTCGCCACGCCTCTGAGTATAGGCCGCCCCACAGATGTAATATCCACAGTAGCCTATCGATGCTATCTAAAACCGCTTTTTACTGACGTCATAGGGAGACGTGTTTACTACATGTTTAGGGTGCTACCCTGGTTAGTAGAGGGGGGGGGGAGGGGTTCATCGCCTTGTGGTTGTTTACATTTTGTTACGGAACCGCTGGTTTAAGCTGAGAGCACTCGTACAAGTGTACGCGCCTGTCAAAACTTTTGATCATCAGACAAACAGCTCCTGCATTAGTGAAGACACGACACCCCCCCCCCCCCACACACTAGACGAATCGTGCAGATATTATATAACACGGAGGAATAGGAATAAGGGTAGTTTATCATTCAGATATAATCTCTTCTATCGAATATAGAAGTAAGTTTTATAACCCTTGACTTGATATCTCCAATTATATTTATGTTCCTAAATAATTGCTATTAAAATGGATGGATCAATGGATTCCTTAACTAGCTTACATATATTTTTCTTCTAACATAATTGCCGGCTTCACAACTGCTTAACATAAGTTGTAACTAGCAACGTCTACACTAATGGTTTGATTCCCACAACTTGTTTAAAGCAAAGTCCCATTTCGTGTAGAACCAGGATGTTCACTGTTAAGTCAGTGATGGTTTCTTAGAAGGTTCTACGATATGAGTGGGGTTGGTCTGTGGACGTGTTGAAGCGTTAAATGGGGAGGGGGGTGTAAGGAGCCATATGTTTTGTGTAATATGTAAAGAGCCATTATGTTTTGTGTAATATGTACACGACCTGAAACCAGTAGCGTAGCGAGGGGGGGTCGGGGGGGGGGGGGACATATGTCCCCGGGCGCCAAAATGGGTTGGAAAAATAAATTGAAAGGTTGAGGGGGTGCAAATCGAAAGTTTGAGGGGGGGGGGGGTGCAAATCGAAATCTCGAGTGGGGGGGGGGGGTGCAAATCGAAAAGTTTGTCCCCGGGCGCCGGGAAGGGTCGCTACGCCTCTGCCTGAAACTGTCGACACATTTCAGCACTTATGTCTGGCGCCACGCACAGGGCTAGTGGCTGATGCTGCATAATGTATTAGGCTGGTACTGGAGTATGAATGTAGATCGATGTAGCTTTTGGGAATTGATGGAATAATTTTTCTCTTTGACACTTCATTCGTTTACAATTTTAGCTGATTAAGATACACACATTGATTAATTAACGAGCCTCTTATGACTGGCTTAGCTAATTAAGATATATACATTGATTATTTGATGAGTTTTTTTGGTCATTAATGTATATTATTAATTATTTAAGTATTTATACTTTGCGTTTTAATTTGCGTGTGTGCAATCTAGCCTGATATTGTGCTGAAGAATAATGATAAAAGAGATTTGTGTGAGGAGGGGGGGTTATAAGATAACTCCCTCTACAAGAGGATGTAGCCTACACATTGTTTGATCTATGTTAAATACATATGAAGAGATGCGTGATAGGGGGTAGGTTGTTGTTATGTTGTAGGTAACACCATTATCATCATTCACCTGACCCCTCGTGGAGAACAGGGACGCAACCACACCTCTCCATAGTACTCGGTGCTGGGCTATTCCTCCAAGTTGGGCCCACGTCATTGCTGCTGCTTCTGCTTCACTGAGAGTTGTTTGTGTTGGCATACCTGATTTCCTCTTTCATTGGGGGATTCCAAATTTGGTGCCTGTCTGGCGATGTTGCTAATTTATTTTTACGCAAGGTGTATCAGAACCTTCCCTTTTTGCAATTCTATATTTCTTGCCTATATGAATAGTTTCTTGCCCAGTTTGTCTCCAAAGTTTAACATCATTAATGTGGTAGCTAGTAATCCCTAGAAACTTGAACGGCTTTTAGCTGTAAATATTATTTATTAATTATGGGTACCGCCCTCCCTCCCTCCTCAACCCATACACGCATCACGTCGGCTGTAATAAAATTACCTTTATTAATTATGGGTACTACCCTCCCTCCCCCACCCATACACACATCACGTCGGCTGTAATAAAATTACCTTTATTAATTATGGGTACCGCCCTCTCTCCCCCACCCATACACACATCACGTCGGCTGTAATAAAATTACCTTTCAACCAAGCACGAAATGGGAGACAAATCGATACAGGGGTACGTGTAAAATTATCAGATTTCATCTCACTGTCCTTACTCTGCCGTGAAACTACTTTCACAGTTACAATAGCTT